CTGCCTCAGCCTCCCGAGTGCTGGGATGACAGGTGTGCACCACCGTGCCTAGTTTAAACCTTTTGAGACAGGATCTCTCACTGAGCTGCCCAGTCTGCCTTGGACTTGTGACCGTCCTGCCTCAGCCCCTCTGAGTACAGGGTTACAGTCGTGTGCCTCTATGTCTGGTGAAAGTTGAGTAGGCTATTTATCTGCTGGGGATTATGTTAGTTTGGACCTTGGGTTCAAGTGAAAGAAGCTGAGCTGAACTTGCCTAAAGCAGAGTGGGCACTTACTGGCCCTGGCTGGAAAGCAGAGCCAGGACAGTGCCCCACCTCCAGTTGTACTGTACCTGGGACTCTTTAGCATCGGAGTGGACACCAGCAACAGAAGACACCCTGGCCACCTTCCCTGGCTGTGTGCAGGACCCCTCCCATGTCACCACCGTGGGCATGTCTGCTGTGACTTGGCCGTCCTGAGGCTGAGTGTTGCCTCTACTCCTCTGAACACCCCCGAAAGTCACACAGTAATGGCAGTTGTGAACCCGTTTGGAAAAGGGGCAGTTCTAAGCCAGGGGCAGTGGGCTGGAGCAGGTCCACTGCCTAGGGCCCTGCTGTGGCCACTTGGGGGTGAGTCCTGACAAGGCTGTGCCTCAGAGGCAGCTCCTGCTGGTGGACGTGGCCTAGGTGGCCCACGGCCCATCTAGAATGCAGGAGTGTGTAGTCAGCTTCTGGGTCCAGCCCACGGCCAGGAACAGCAAAGACTGCCTGAGGAGTAAAGTCCCAGCTGGCCTGGGCTTGTGTCCTCTGTGTGGGCTGGGACAAAGATGCTGGCTTCCCCCAGGCTCTGCCTTTCTGCTCTGCTCTCCTCTCACTGATCAGTGGTCATCATGGGGTAATAAGTTCAGCCCCTGCACGAGTGTGCCCCACTCTGAACCTCCAGAGGATGCTCCTGAGCATTTGCTGTCTTGCAGGCCCTCCTGGAAGCACTCAGGAAGCAGCCCGAGTCTTCCACACACCAGACCTTCTAGCCAGCGGCATGGAGGGCAGGCTGGCTAGGGGGTGGCTTATCAGCTTCTTGGCTTCCAGGGCATAGGCTGTGCCCCCCTGAAGTCCAGGCAGGGCTTGGGCGCCTTATGCTCTTGCTGGGGGCTTAACATTGCAGCATGTGCTGTTCGCACCTCAGTTCTTTAATTCTTGGTGGTGTCTGGTGCACCTAAGCAGTAGGAGTTTCAGAAGGTCATGGGGCAGCTCCCAGTGTCAGAGAGGAAGTGGCTGTGAGGCCACAGGGGCCTGCACGGGTCAGGGCAGGAAGGGCTGACATCCATGTTTGTGCCTGCTCTGTGCCTTTGGTCAGTTACTGGGCAGAGAGGCAGTGGGAGGACAGTGCCGAGCCAGAGTCAAGTTGGTGGGATGCAGATGGGCTGGGGGTGTCCTGGCGCCACCCTGCCCCATGTGCTGCCTGGCCTGGCAGGCACACAGTGAGCTTCTGCTTTCTTTTAGGGAGCAGAGCTTATATTGGCTTGCAATCCAGCAGCTTCCCACAGACCCCATAGAAGAGCAGTTCCCTGTCCTGAATGTGACCCGGTACTACAATGCCAACGGGGACGTGGTGGAAGAGGAGGAGAATTCCTGCACCTACTACGAATGCCACTACCCGCCCTGCACAGCCATCGAGAAGCAGGTGCCGCAGCGGCTTGGCTGCCCACCACTCCCACCCTGCCACCTGCCTGCCTGTGGTCTGGGGTCCACCCCAGTAGACCCTGGGTGCCTCTTGCTCTCCCACCAGGGTGGCTGTCCCTTTGGTGCTGTGCCCACCCAGGTGGGCATTCCTGTCCCCATGCATGGATCTTTTTGTGTTTGCTTGTGGTGCTGGGGATTGAACCCAGGCCTGCCATGCTGGACAAGCGCTCTGCCACTGAGTTGCACCCCAGCCAGGGCATGGGTTCTGCTAGGCCCTTCCAGGTTCCACGATGTGGCTCCCCCCAACACGCACATGACAGTGAAGCCATGATGGTCTGTGTTTCAGCTCCGGGAGTTCAACATCTGCGGACGTTGCCAGGTAGCCCGGTACTGCGGCTCCCAGTGCCAGCAGAAGGACTGGCCTGCCCACAAGAAGCACTGCCGGGAGAGGAAGCGTCCCTTCCAGCATGAGCTCGAGCCGGAGCGATGACGGGCCGCGGAGCTGTCATGGCAGTGGGGCTTGTGGCCTCCAGCTCTTCGTGGGTACAGCGGAGACTGGCGGTTGGACCTAGAGGTGCTGAGGAAGCCAGTGTCGGCCCAGTCACCGTGAAACTCCCTGCAGCACACATTTGTGGGGACAGCGCCCTCCAGTGTTAGTCTCCAGCAGAGACAAGGGGGAGGTTCCCCAGGACGTTTCTCATTATTTATATGTTAATATGTTTGTAAACTCATGTACAGTTTTTTTGGGGGGAGACAAGGGGATGGTTAGAAACTGCAAATAGACTCACTTGGTGAAACCCTAAAATGGCAAACAGTTGGCTATGTGTCTAGAAACCATCATGTAGCCGAGCTTCTGTCCTTGGCAGTGGGGCCCCGTGGTGTGGCCTGCACAGGTTGAGTTTGAAAGGGCAGAGTAAAGGGGTGGAACCATCTCTGTCTTGGCTGTTCTCTCCCTGTGCAGTTTAGGTTCAGTGTGGACTCAGCCATGTGGCGTGGATTGGGAGAACCGGCCCCGTTCCATGTGGCCTCTGAGGAGCAGTGTGCCAGGCCCTTCTCGGGAGCTTGGCCGGCAGTTCTGTTGGCAGGGGCCGTGGGTGCCCCGTGTGTCTGCTGGCGTTGTGTGGCCCGGGGTGCCCTGGGCCCTCACTGTGTTAGTTTTCTCTTGTTGCTCAGACAAAATACCTGACACCAAAGTTAAAGGGCAAAAGGTTTATTTAACTTGGTTTGTAAAGGTTTCAGTCCGTAATCAAACTGGCTCCAAGACAGGGTGGCAGAGGGGCAACAGTTCATCTTAGGCAGACTGTATAGCAAAGCAACAAGAGAGCTTAACAGCTTCTTCCTGCCCCTTTTATCTTACTCAGAGTACTAGGGCGGGTAGCATTCACCCTTAATCCTAGTGCCCTCAGGCCTAGCATTATTGCGCGATGAGTCAATCCCATATTAGATTCAGCCACCTCTGAAAAAGCCCCACCTACAACTGCATAAGGCTTTTGGGGGACATCTAGACACAGCCATAGCACTTGCGCTAGTAGAGCCTCACCTTGGTTTATGCACGGTGCCACCAGGATCACAGCAGTGAGCTGTCCAGGAGAGTCCAGCAGGCCTGGGAGGTCCTGGAGTCCATGCCGGTCCCGTCCTTCCCTTTGGGGAGCAGCATCTGAGGGCTGCTCAGCATCTGCACACAGCAACTGCAGGAAAACAAACCTTGGTTTGTAGCTGTGACCTTCCCTGTCCTGAGCTCTCAGCTGTCCAACCTGGCCCTATGTTGGTCTGTGTCTTAAGACACTTTCCCGTCACTGGGTTGGAATATCTGATGCCTGCGATTTAAAGGAGGAAAGGTTTATTCGAGTTCGGGGTGTCAGAGGTGTCAGCCCACGTGTGGCTAGCTCCAAGGCAGAAACTGGTGGAGGGGCTGGCAAAGGAAAGCTGCTCAGCTCAAGGCAGCCAGGAAGCAGAGGCTCTGGGATAAGAATGCACCCTTCCAGGTCAGGCCGCCCATGACCCGCCCCTCCAGCCAGACCCTGTCTCCTAAGCACATGGAGCCATGAACTGTGAGTACTTTGCCCATGATTCAGTCACCTTCCCAAAGCCCCGTTGGAACACAGAAGATGGGCGTATTTTACATAATCAGTAGCAGACTGCAGGCCCCTATTATCGTCCCTCTTGTGGAACTGGGAATTGAACCCAGGCCCTTTGACTAAGCTATATCCCCAGTTCTTTTTCTCTTTAATTTTGAGGGAGTTTTGCTAAGTCAAACGAGATTCTCCTCCCTCTGCTTCCTAGAGTGCTGGGATTACAGTTCTAGGCCACTATGGCTGGCTGCCTATCCCAATGACTGAACCTTTTTAAAGTTTTCAGTGAAAAACTGCCCGCTGTGGCACACATGCTATAGGTTCGCCACCACTGCCCTGTCCCCTCTTACAGCACTTCTCCCAAATTCTAGGATGCTCTGTGTTCTCCTTGCTGTCTCTGGTTGTGTGGCCCTTTGGTGGATTTTGGTCTGTGAGCAAGGCCCTAGAGAAGCTGACAAATCCTGATGGCAGCACAGCAGCATGATCACCGCTGGGTGCTTTCTGGAGCCTGGGGGCCGCCTCATGCCCTTGGACCTTTTTACCAAGAGGCCTCACCAAGGTTCCTGAAGGTCAGGGTTTTGCTGGGTGGACGGGATCCTCATCAGACCACAGGTTGAACAGCATTGGGAAGGGGAGGTGTGTGTGACCCCAGCACAGAAGGGTGAGGTAGGCCAAAAGGACTTTGTAACTCAGGCTTCCAGTATGTACAGGGTCAGACATCTGCTAGTCCCTAGGTGCCTCCCACTGTCTCTCTGATGTCAGCAATCTGCACGACCTGCTAAGCTTAAGCCTGAATAATCATTCCATTTTAACTGGACCTCCGTACACACACTGTGAACAAAGGTCACATTCTGAGATCCTGGGGGTTGACTTCAACGTATCTACTTTAGGAGGATGCAGTTCAACGTTCATTGTCTCAAAACTGCCTTCCTCAAGGGTATTCCGTAGAACCTGGGAATTTTTTTTTTTTTTTTGAGACAAGGTCTCACTATAGTGCTGGGTGGCCTTGAACTCAAAGCGATCCTCCTGCCTCAGCCTCCCGAGTGGCGGGATTACGGGCGTGCGCCACCCTGCCCAGCTAGTCCGGGAACTTCCTCCAAGGGCTTTAGCATCTGCACAGAGTCCCACAGGGGATCGTGTGGCCTTCCTGCCTCAGCGGCCCCGCCTGGTGAGCGCCCCACGTGCTCTTCGCCTCCGCCCGCAGGGACTCCTGGTCCGCCCGCTGGCAGGGGGCGCACTAGCTCCGCCTCGCTCGGCCGAAGCCCCGCCCGGCGCCCCGGAAGGAGTCGGGAGAGGCGTCGGGCTTCCGAACGGGCTTGATGGCGGGTAGTCGGCTGCGGCAGCTGCAGGCCGTGGACACAGAGTTCACCGCGGACGCCGTGGAGTGGTGCCCTCTGGAGGGCTGCCGGCGCCTGCTGGCCTGCGGCACCTACCAGCTGCGCGGCCCCGAGAGCGCGCCCGTCGGCCCCGGGGGCGAGGTGCGGAGGGGAGCGGGGACCTGGGAGGGGCGAGGGGAGCACCGGGAACAGCAGCCCCCCAGCTGTGCGGGGCGCTCTTGGCCTGTTTAGAAACTTCGCAGGCTGGGTCCAGAGTTCGCGGACTCACTGGTACGAGCCCGAAGAGAGGGCTCGCCCCGCTCAAGGGAGCAGTTTTGCCTCTGGACCGAGCTGGTGTCGGCCACGCCTTTTGTTCCTCGGATCGATGTCCCATTCCTTGGGTTCTCAGCATCTGTTAAGGTAATCAGAGAAGGTGTATGTTTCGTAGGGTGGACTAGACGTGGACGGGGTCGTTGAGCAGCCACAAGTCCGTCTGGGCCGCGTTTACCTGTACAGTATCAGTGAGGACGACTCTGCTTATTCTCTGGTCGAGGTCCAAAGGAAAGATACGTCTGCAGTGCTGGACATGAAATGGTACCACTTTGGTGACCACCCCGCCCGGCCCGCCATTTGTACTGAGCATCTGTTCGCCTGATCGGACCTGGAGTCCGAGGGCCGTCAGCAGGATGTGAAACACCGGGACTGTGGGTCGCTTCTTTGCTGTCCCACCTGGCCCTCGGCAGGTGGTAGGGTTGATGCTTCCCTGAGGCTCGTTGCCCTTGCTGCTTCCTAGGCCCAGAGTGAGGTTCAGTCTGGGAGGCAGTCGGAGTTATGCTTTTGTGAACCGGGGAACCTTTGGGTTGGCTGTAGGGTTGTGGGCTCTGACTTGGTTTGGGAGCTGAAACTAAGTGATAAAGCCCGAGATGGTAAGGCTCCTTGTGCTACTGTACGCCCTGTGTTCTGACGGTGCACTCTCTCCCCAGGTGCCATGTCCCGGTGGCCGGCTGTGGCGTCTTGGGTGTGGCGGATGCCAGTGGATCTGTAGAGTTGCTCCGCCTGGTGGGGTCTGAGGTGGGTGCTTGGTTCTGTGGACGGAGAGGGCTGGGGAGGGGCTGTGCTGGGATAAACCTCTTCCTATGCCCTTTGACCCAGGGATTCCCCTGCCAGGGATCTTCCCAAAAGAATTAAAAGAATCATACCACAGCGATATGTGTGCACCCATGTTTATAGCGGCACAGTTTGTAATAGCTAAAGCTTGGCAACAGCCCAAGTGCCCATCAACTGGAGACTGGATAAAGAAGATGGGCTTTTTTTTTTTTATAAAATGGAGTACTACTCAGCCATAAAGAACAGAAACTGGAGTCATTTATAGCTACATGGATGCATATTGAGGCCATACTCTTAAGGGAAATAAATAGGACACATATGTGTAAGTACTGAATAGTTTCTCTAGTGTGAGAAACTGAGAGTGTAAATAAGAATTAAAATGATTAAAACAAATAATTGATAATTTGAAATAGGAAAAGGTCCAAAGGTGTAGGGGTGGTGGGAGGGGAAGGGGAAAGGAAAGAAGGGAAAGGAAAAATTATGAGAAAAGAAAAAAAATGGAAACAAAGTCTGTGTAAATAGGGAAGGGTGGAGGGGGTGAAGGGCGCACAGGGAATGGGGAAAAAATAACCAAGATACATCACGTGCAGGTACAAGCACCCAGTGATAAATGTAAACGTACTTTATACCTAAAATGGACCAATAGAAGAATTTAAGGAAAAAACAAAACAAAACAAAAAACCTCTTTCTGAAGCAGTCTGTTTGGTGCTGGACTTTGTCCTGAACATTCTGAGAAAGCGCAGGGTCTGTTTTAAATCCTACTGGGTTCTAGTGAGAGGAGGTCCCCAGAAGAAGGACTACAAGGACAAGCTGTTTGCTTCGTGGGCCTGAGGTTCTGCAGTGGGCCAAGCATGCATGGGGTCAGTGCTGGGGCTGAGAATGGCAGCGGTGATCCTGTGTGAAATGGTTTTCTCCGAGAGCAAGCGGTTCCTGTGTGGTTGGTTTCCAAGTGTTCTGCAGAGATCTGATCCTGTGCTGTGCTTTGGCAGAATGAATCCGTCCATTTCAAGAGGGTGGAGGGACACTGCCTGCCCTTGGCCACATGCTGACGTGGAGTCAGGGACACTAGTGGGTGCTGCTGTGAAGCCGGGCGCAGGCCCCTGAGCTGTGGTGGTGAGGGCCTGTATGGGAGGGGCCTGCAGCAGTCACCTGTCCTAGGGATGAGGGAAGGAAATGCCCAAGACCAGGTTTCAGGTGAACCGTGTCCATCTAGGACAGGGCTTTGATACCCTCTGAGCGGCTGGATGTCCATGGCCTTAGCGCTGTTCGGGTGTTTAGGTCCTGGACAAGAAGTGGCATTTGAATGGCTGTGGTGGCTCCTTGTCCTCATCTCTGGGGACCGGCTGGGCCAGGTCCCCTGGAGGTCTAGGCGGTGCCGAGCTCACAGGTAGTGAAGCAAGAGACCTTCGTGTCCCAGGGTCATGTGTGTGGGGAAGTCCTGGAGGTGAGTGCCAGGGTCCTCAACCCTGCCCAGTGCCTGGTGCATGGCAGGGTGGCCGTGGCCGGTGCCTGTGTCCACCTGGGGAGTGCGCAGGGCAGCGAGGCTGGACTGTGCAGGGCTCCTTCCTTTCTCTCCAGTAGAAGAGCAGGCCCCTCCTGGAGCCTTGGTGCAGCCTCTCACTGGGGGAGGAGCGTCTGGCCTTGTCACTGGATTGGTCCACAGGGAAGCATGCAAGGTAAGGCCCAGGCTTGGTCAGGGGCCCTCAGTCTTTCCTCTGACGGTTGATTCCGGTCTTCACACCAGTCATGATCTAAAAAACAGAAAAGTCCGAGCACGCTAGATGCGTGGTGTTAAAGTCATCGGGGAAGCTGACAGTGTAGTTCTGGCCTTTGCCATGTGCCCTAGCGAGCCGCCTCAGAGATCTATCCCCGGGAACCCCCCCAGGACATGTTGGGATGTGCCAAGAGGGTGATGTGTAGAGTGTGGTGGGGTTCTCCTTCATCTGCCTGTGTCTAGGCCCAGTGACCAGCCCTTGAAGATTGTCAGCAGTGACTCCAAGGGGCAGCTGCACCTCCTCATGCTGGACAAAGCAGGGCCCATGCTGCAGCCAGTGGCCTCATGGCAGGCCCATCACTTTGAGGCTTGGATCGCTGCTTTCAACTACTGGCAGACAGAAGTCGTGTATTCAGGTCAGTATTCCCCAGCTGGATGTCGTCATGGTTGGTGAGATGGAGGACTTGGGCAAGAGAGGCAGGCGGTGAAGCTCTGGCAAAGCAGAGTATCACCAACCTACGTAGAGACTGTGTTTTTTTTTTTTTTTTTTGTATTGGGGATCGAACTTGGGACCTTGTGCTTGGGAGGCAGGTGACAGAACCACTGAGCTAAATCCCCAGGCCAAGACTGTGTCTTCTGAGACAGCAGCTGTGGCCAACAGGACTTTGCTGTCCCACAGAAAGCCATACCTCCTGTGCCTGTGGGCCAGGTGACCCTCCCCTCCCCTCAGCCTGAGTCCTGTTCTCAGTCCAGTTTCCACTGATGCGGAATGAGAAATTAGCAGCTGGGCAGCTTTGGGGAGCTCTTCTTGTGCAGGCAGAGGTGGAGGTGCTGGTCTTTGAGAGAAGATAGCAGAGGAGCCACCAGATTTGAAAAGAGCCAAGGAGGGCCTGGGATTTAGCTCAGCAGTGCTGTGCCTGCTTCGAAAGCACAAGGTCCTGAGTTCAATCCCCAGTGCTGCAAAAAAAGAAAAGAGCCAAGGAAAAGAACTAACCCTCATTCCTCTTCTTTAGGGGGTATTGGAGATGGAACCCAGGGACACTCTATCACTGAGCTACATCCCCGCCCTTTTTATTTTCTGGAAGGGTCTCGCTGGGTTGAGCAGGCTGGCCTTGAACTGGTGAACTTCTTGCCTCTGGCTCCTAAGCAGCTACTACGATGCTAGGTGTGTGACAGTGCACCTGGCCAATCTGACCCCTTTTATGAACTCCACTGGCATAGTGCTGGGGCCCAGAGCCTCCAGGGAGGTGCTGTGGAAGCGTTCTGTTCAGCTGCCCAAGATCTGCAGGTTTCCTCCCCCCCTGCAGCTCTTCTGCCCGGTCCCCCATGCTGAGGTCTTTGCTGGTGGCCATGACTCCCGGCTGCCTTTATCTCAGGCAGCTGCTTGGGCCAGTCGGGCTCATCATGACCCACGTCTCCTGCTTGCCTTCTTCCAACATTGCTGCCTGTCTCTGCACAGAGGTGTTCCGTGCCCGCTGGCTTCTTCCTTGCTGATTGCCCACCCTCCTTGGGGTGTTTCTGTGGTCTTCAGCTGAGCTCTGCTGCATGTTGCTTCTATGGCAGACTCCTTCCCAAGCAGCCCTGTGGTTGAATGCGGTCTGCTTGCTAGGGTCAGAAGCCTGGGAACCATTGTCGCCTCCTGTGTCCCTCACCTTCCCATGAGTCCCCATTTTAGAGACTTTTCTTTTTGGTACAGGAATGGAACCCAGGGCACCATGCATATTGGACATGCTCAGCCCTGTCTTAGCCTATTTTATTATTTTATTTCATTGTTCCAGGGATCTAACTTGGTCCTTGCGCTTGTGCAGCAGGTGGCGAAACCACTGAGCTAAACCCCCAGCCCACCTGTTTTATTTTTTAAGCATCTCCCAGAATTGTCCACCTCTTGTTCTCTTCCACGCAGCCTCCTGTCCCCAAAGTCATCTGTCCCAGTGGTGACAGCCCGCAGCTGGGAGATAGCTTGCTTCCATTCCTGACCCTTCCCGGCCCAGTTGCCACTCAGTACCAGTGCAACGATTGTAAAACATGCAAACCCCATCACTTCTCCACTTTTAGGACTCTTTGCAGCTCCCAGTTTGTTTAGGGTAAAATGCAGAATTCAGAGCAGGGTTGTGGTAATCTAGAGGCAGTAATCTAGTAATTCAGGACAAGTTAATCCACTTGACAGGTGACCTACTGAGTGTGGACGATGCGTTGAGCGCTGCTCTTGGTGATGGGGTTATGTTAATGTACAGAGCACATTGAAGTCTTCCCTTTCACCGAGCCTGATGAAGGGGGCAGGGGGCCAAGGGTGGAAATGGACATGAACCAAACTTCAGTGATAAGTAAGGAAGATGCACGGTGTCAAAGGAGTAGTGCATTGGAAAGGAAAGAGAGAGGTTCTGGGGCAGGTCCAGGTAGCCCCGGGCGGTCGCTGTACGGCAGGGGCAAGGTTGGCGGGGGAGAACGGGTGGCCTGTGCTGAGCAGGAGCGTAGAAGAGGAGGAAGTCAGGCCCCAGGGCTTTGCAGGCTGCAGGTGGGCTGGTGGCTTCTACTGAGGAGGTGGGAGGTAGATGGTGGGTGGTGGTGGGTAAAGGACAGATGGATGGCTGAATGGATGGGTGGGTGGATCGTGAGTGTGTAATGGGTGGGTGGGTGCTGAGGGGGTTCTGGGTGCATGGCGAGCAGTGGGTGGCTGGGTGGCTGGGGAGTGTGGGGAGATGGAGAAATGGTGCTGGATGCTGGCTGCCTGGTGGGTGGGGGTAATCCAGGCTTTGCCATTTTCCTTTTGCCCCTGGTCCTCAGCCTTTCTTCCATTCCCTCAGCTGCCACTGTCCACCCTGTGTCAGGGTGTTGCTTTCTTAGACTGATTTTGGGTCAGGGTGCCAGCTCCCCTGTTCTTTATTCTTAGCGCTTCCCCTGAAGCCAGCACAATGTGCTACTCCCTGTGGGTTACACGGGGAGTTCCCATCGCAGCCCAGGTGTGTGTTGTGATCTGCTGCTCCCTGCAGTCAGCTCCTGGGCAGGCGTCAGCCTGAGCAGCTGAGGACTGTGACGCTGGAGCCTAGCAGCGGGCAGCCTGGCCTGTGTGACCTGGGTGCTTTCCCTGTAGCCCTGTGGGTGTCACGCTTCCCCTGCCTCCCAGCCTTCCTCTGGTCTGAGGTGGGTGCGGTGGTGGCCCTTCCTGCTTTCTCTGGGTGCTCCTGTTCCAGGGCATCTTGAACCCTCAGGGACTGTCATCCAGGGACCTCACAGACTCCCTGGCTGTCCCCTGCCATCCATGCCATGACGGTGGGCTTCTGTGTCCACACAGGGGGAGATGATGGGCTCCTGAAAGGCTGGGACACCAGGACCCCTGGCCCGTGTGTCTTCACCAGCTCGAGGTAACTGCCCAGCGTCAGTGCGTAGGGACCGGCCCCCAGCCCCTGGGGCCCCTGTCCCCACGGGCGCTCAGGCTGGCTGTCGCCTGCAGTCACGCCATGGGTGTATGCAGTATCCAGAGCAGCCTGCATCGGGAGCACATGCTGGCCACAGGGAGGTGAGTGCCTGCTGAGGCCCACTGTGCAGGTATCTGGGTAGGGAGAGGCACAGGATGAGTGGGACGGGCTTTGGGGAGGTGTCTTGCCTTGGGGATGGACTGAGCCCGGGTCCCACATGCCTGGGTGGACACTTCCAGCTATGATGAGCACGTGCTCCTGTGGGATGTGAGGAACATGGAGCAGCCACTGGCAGATGCTCACGTGCAGGGCGGGGTGTGGAGGCTCAAGTGGCACCCGCACCACCACGACCTCCTCCTGGCAGCCTGCATGCACCACGGCTTTGCAGTCCTCGATTGCCATGACGTCACAGGTACGTGGGCCCTGCAGCTGGCTGGGCTCTGTGTCGCCTTCCTGTCCCAGACTCCTGCTCCCTTTTTGTGCCCACCCAGGACCTCAGTAGCCAACACCTGGTCTCACCTACTGCTGCTCTCCGGCGTCCTGGCTCCTCCTGCATTTTGTGACTGGCCCTGCGGGGCCCTTGCAGAAAACGTGCCCTTGTCACTGCTGTGCAGCCCGCCTCTGTTCTCGCCTGGGAGTGGTGTGGACTCTGCTCCTGGGTCCCACACATGCTGACTTCCCTTTGACCCCTTTCTCTGCTTGGCCAGAGCCCTGCATTTGCTGAGCTCAGCCGTTGGAGTGGCCTCACTTCTGAGGATGCCCATGCTATCAAGCATGAACTGCCATGGTCAGGGCTGTTCCCCTGTCCTCCTCCCTGTCCTTCCACTCCCTCCATCACACCTGCTGGCCTTTGAACATCCCCACCGCCCTCTGAGCTGCTCTTCTGTCCTCCCGAGCCTGCCCTGCGCTGTGCCTCTCTCTTCTGCATCCCCTCTTCCTGCTTGCTCACCTGCTGTAGCTTTGGTGATGGGAACGTCTTTCATCTTCGAATACCTGAGGTCTGTTGTCTTACCATAGCTGCTCTCAGTGGCCATTTCCTCTGAGTGCCACATTCTGAACACTTCAGTTTGTCAGATCTTTATGCTCACTCATCACAAGGTGTTTTGCAGTCTCCTTTGTGATTCCTTTGTTGACCATGAGCTGTTTATTAGCAGACTGTGTAGAGCTGTGATTTCTAACCAAGCCACCAGCTGGCACTTGGTCTGTCCCGAGCCTGCCCAGTGCCCACCTGGGAAGAAAGTGTCTGTGTACACTGTAGTCAGCCACTGTCTGGGTCCTCACCCACTGCGTGGGTCAGCACTGAGCGTGGTGTTCCAGTCTCCAAGTCTGTTTCCCCCTGATTTCTATCAGTTTGTGCTTCTGTGTCTTGGGGCTTTGTGTTTAGATGATGTGGGTGTAATTTTCCCATCTGCTCCCAGCTGACCCTTTTCTCATTAGAGTGTCCGTTATGCCTGGTAACATTTTTGTTTCAAAATCAATTTTGTCTGTTAAGAGTGTAGCCATTCGTCCTTTCTGTTCCTCTTTGCCAGCAGTCTTCGTTGTCCTGGTGCCTCCCGCTGGGGATGCTGGCCGCCCTAGGTCCTGGCAGTGGTGGTGTGAACTCTGGCCCCTTTGTGAAGGTGCTATCCACCAGGTCTCCCCTGTAAACACTCGGGGTTCCCCTCTGTAATAACGGAGAACTGTGTGGGGGAGGCTTTGAAGCTTTGCCAGTCCCTGAGTGAGTTACGACTACGATCATTGAGAAACCGTGACTCCTGTCTTTCTACATGTGTTGCTTAGCTTTTTTTTTTTGGTACCGGGGATCGAACTCAGGTCCTTGCGCTTGTGAGGGAGGCAGCAGATCCACTGAGCTAGATCCCTGGCCCTTGATCAGCATTCTTTTGTAAGGATGAGCTTCCTCTTCTCTCTTATGTCTGCCTGTATTTCATTTCATTTTACCTTACTGTCTTGTTCTGGGAGAGGGTCTGGCTGTGTAGTTCAGACTGGCCTGGCCTTCAACTTGCGGTGGTCCTCCTGCCTCAGCGCCACCAGCCCATTTTAATGGATTCTTTTTTCTGTTGTTACTACGCTGGCTATGGGATGTTTGGGCTGTCCCAGAGTCTTCCTCCGAAAGCCTCGGTAGGGTGCCGTCTCTCTGCACATGTCCTGTTGTTTATTGGAACATGCCCTTACTGTTTGGTGCACTATATTCCAGGTTCATTTTATATCTTCTGTCTCCCAGTCTTGGAATCAGTTATTTTTCCAGAGAATCCTGGATCTTCTTAATGGTGAATGCTGTTAAGAAACCGAGACCTGAGCTGGGCATGGTGGCACTCAGGATGCTGAGGCAGCAGGGTTGCCGTACGTTCGAGGCCAGCCTGGGTTATATAGCAAGACCCTGTCCAGAAAAAAAGAAAGCAAACCAGTGCTCACACTTGCAGATGCTGAAGGGTTATGTGTGTTCTCGTGTGTGTGTGTGTGTGTGTGTGTGTGTGTGTGTGGAGCTGGATGTGGCTCAGTGGTAGAGCGCAGGCATAGTGCGTGCCAGGCCCTGGGTTCGGTCCCCAGAACCACACGCCACCCATACACACCTACACGCCTGCGCACACCCCCACCGGCCCATATGCACCCCACACCCACACATGCACGTAAACACGTGTTCACAGTGCCGCCTCTGACTGTAGCTCGACACGTTCTGTGTTGCCCCCTTCCGTTTGTGACCCTCACCAGCAAGAACCCGGCTCCCCACAAGCATCTCTTCACGCGCTTCACCTCACGTTGATGCTCACACCGAAGAAATGTGCCATGTGGGTTTAAGACATTTCTGCAGGTCTTGCTGATCAAGATACAGAGTCAAACAACTATGTACTTTTTTTTTTTTTTTTTGTACCAGAGATTGAACTCAGGTCCTTGCGCTTGTGCAGCAGGCAGCGAAACCACTGAGCTAAATCCCTGGCCCACTATATAGTTTTTTAAAGAATTTTTTGTTTTTTGATTTTGGCGATACTGGATATTGAAGCCAGGTTCTTTATTTTTTGCTTTTGAGGCATATGGTTTTGTTAAGTTGCTTAGTTGCCTAGGCTGGGCTAGAGCCTGTTTCTCCTGTGTCACCCTTCCAGAGTGCTGGGATTGCAGATGTCTGCCTAAAGGCATTTTTCTTTATCCTCACTGATTTCATTTGCATCTTTCCAATGTGTAAAAACATTAATAATGTACCAGAAATTAAAATTATATAAAAGTATGCCCTGGGAGTTTCCCTTCTTCTCCTTTTGTTGCTACACACTATTTGTGTGTAAGATGTCTTAGTAGTTTTTGTTTATAATTGTCTTTTAGTTGTAAATATACAGGCTGTACCACCCTATAATTGTATCTTTTTGCAAAAATAAGCATAAGCATTAATTTGTTTATTTCGTCTTTCTTATGAAACATAACAGTCTAAGGCTGGGGATGTAGCTCAGTGGCTTCGCCGCCTGCTGCGCAAGTGCAGGGACCCGAGTTCAATCCCCAGTACCATGAAAAAACAAAAAAACATTATAAACCCAGGCATGGTGGCACATGCCTGTAATCCCAGCACTTAGGAGGCTGAAGCAAGAGCGTTCCTGTGACTGTGAGGACAGCCTGGAGTATACAGTGAAACCCTGTGTCAAACGAGTAACATTCTATATGCCCTTCTTTTTGTTCTTTGCTCACTTCATTTAAAAATATGATCTATCTCTGGGAGGCTGAGGCAGGAAGATTGCAAGTTTGAGCCCAGCCTGGCAACTTAGTGAATGAGATTGTCTCAAAATAAAAAAGGGCTGAGGATGTAGCACAGTGCAGAGGCCCTGGGTTCAGTTCCCAGCACCAAAAGTGTAGTCTAGCCGTGTGCAATGCCACGTTCCTGTAATCCCAGCACTGAGGAGGTTGAGGCAGGAGGATCACTTGAGCCTAGGAGTTTGAGATCAGCATTGGCAACATCGTGAGACTATCTCAAAAAATGGAAAAGTAAAATAATAATCTTCGGAACAAGAGATGTAGCTCAGTGGTAGAGTGCTTCCCTAGCATGCATGAGTTTGATCCCCAGGTCTTCAAAGATGAAACAAATCTTGCTGTCACTCCATTATAGTTTTGTTGGGACTTTCTTGGTGCTTGGGTGGGCCCCTTGGCTCTCCTGTTGCTGGTGCTGGAGGCCACTGACGTTCGTGGCTGTGCTCGCAGGCAGTAGACCTGCTTAGGTGTGGTCATAGTTGCTTTCTTTCTCTGCCCTAATGCCTCTTCTGTCACACACACACACACACACACACACACACACACACACACCCCGCCCCGCCAGCTGTGCACCATGGGAACTGTTGGCTTCTTTGTTGCCCTGCCTCCACCCTCCAGTCTGCCCCAGGAGCTCTCCAGAAAGACACTGTTAAGAGAATCACATCAGAACACAGAGAACCTGCTTGGTTTGGACCCACTAGCCACATGTCATTGTCACTGTGCTTGTGGGGCTTCCTGACCTGTACCATGTGTGTGCTCCCTGCTCTTCATCAGTCCCTTCCCTCCTACTTGGCTGCTCCTTTGTCTTTTGCTTATGAGCCTGAACTGAGGTCTAGCCCCCCGAGCTCCTGTGTTCTACAGCCCTGGCCGATCCTAAGGCTCACAAGGTAATGCTGTTTCCTGTTTTCTCTTGCTTCAGAGAAGAAGGAAGTGACAGTCTTGGAGTCCTACAAGCTGCCCACCTCGCTGGTGTATGGGGCTGACTGGTCCTGGCTCCCCTTCTGTTCCCTGCAGCCAGTGGCCCCTGCATCCCTTCCTGACACTGACATGGGAGGCCATCTCTGTGGCCTGAAAGTTGCAGGTGAGCCACTGGTGCCTTCCCCTGAACAGATAAGAGGATGAGGATGGCGAGGGTGGCATCAGAGACAACAGCTGGGTGAAGCTGCAGTCTTCTGCCACTCATAGGGGACTTGTGGGACAGCAGCAGCCAACCGTACAACCCAGCCAAGTCCTGTGACTCTGACCTCTACCTCAAAGGGGCAAACTCTGACATCAGGCTTCTGGCCACCTGCTCCTTTTACGACCATGCTCTCCATCTCTGGAAGTGGGAGGCCAACTGAACTTGAGGTCACAGAGACTACACCAGGAGTGACAGCCTTTTGTGCTGGGTGGATGGGAATGGACTGGGTTTCTTTCCAGCAGTGAGTGGGATTTTCCAGCTCCAAAACTGAAATTTCTTGGATACCTGTTGACTTTCAGCCTTTCATAATGTGTTTAAACAACTATTTGTATTAATTAAATAAAGCTGTTTGGGGAAAAAAATGTTACTTTATAACATCAGAAGTAATTTTGTAATTGCATGAATTTTCTTTTGGTGTGGAAGATCAAGCCCAGTGCCTTGAACGAGATATACCCCAAACCTGAAGTTTTTAAAAGCACATGAAAAGACCGCTTTCTGCTGTGGTAGAGCAAAAGGAAGAAGTACTTCCTGAACCACCTCAGAGGGGCATACTTGTGATGCAGGTGGAGGCAGTGTGGGGCACTAATTGCATTACACTGATAGGCTTCAAAGTCCTAGACCCTCAACAACTGGGAGCACAGGTCAGGTGTGTAAGGTGCCTGACTTCCACTTGTCTCTAGGAAGAAGTAGGCCAGACTGATGGCCAAGTTGTCAGGTCCTCCACACTTCCACAGGACACACTAGCTCTGGAAGAGAAGACAGGCAGTAGTTCTATGCTTGTCTTACTTTCTGATGACAGTACATGCCAGTGTAGGTCAGATTGATTACGTTTTTCTGTTACAATAAGCAATTCCCAGATAATGGTCCTTTTGTTTTTGGTACTAGGAATTGAACCCAGAGGCTTCCTGCTACACCAAGTATTCTACTACTGAGCTACATTTCCAGCCTGTCTTATACTTTTTCGATAGGTTTCACTAAATTGCCCAGGCTGAGGGCTGGGAATTTAGCTCAGTGGTGCCGCCACCTGCCTCGAAAGCACAAGGTCCTGCGTTCGATCCCCAGTGCCAAGAAAAAAAGATTTCCCAGGTTGGCCTAGAACTCCATTATCCTCCCGCCTTAGCGTCCTGAATGTTGGGGATTACAGGTGTGTGCTACCATGCCCAGTTGGCCCATTTATTTTATTTTTATTTTTTTTGTTACCAGGGATCAAAATCAGGACCTTGCGCTAAGGCAGGCACAGGGCTGCTGAGCTAAATTCCCGGCCCGGCCTATTTATTTTAAATAAAAACATGTTGGGCCTTCCTCTGGAGTATATTTTTTGTTCTGAAGACGGGCCTCACTGTGCAGTTCAGTCTGGCCTCAACTCATAGTGATCTTCCTGCCTCAGCTTCCCAGTTGCTGGGATTACAGATGTGCACCACCACACCCAGCCTAGTTTGTGTGAAGAACATTCCATGTAAGGGTCAGTTAAGTAATCAGTGGAATACAGGTCTGAGGGACTGTGACAGAGGCAAACGAGTGGTCATCGGAGCCCAATTTGACATCAACCTCCTCTGCACCCTGCTCTTTAGGTTTCCTCCAAGAGAGCAGTTAGTTCACCCAATGAAAATGAAAAACACTCACTGCCTTGGAGTCCACAAGGAATATACCAATGGTTGCTTTGGGGGTGAATCAGCCAGTGTTGTCCAGGGTAGCCTACCTAATAAATTCTATCACTGGTGGAAACCTGTCGTGGGCACACCTGCAGACCTGTCGGTCGCCACAATACCTAGGACCTCTGAACTGCACGGGATCTGTCACATGGCACGCTGTCAACCACCTGATGCCAAACACACTAGACAGCAGCAAAAGCCTTTAATAGAAATTCGAGGAGGGAATGCTCTCCCTTCTCAGGGACTCACAATCTGAGGGTGTGTCAGTTCAGTCTAGTTCACAGGCAAACCTATAGTCATCACTGCATTCTAGCGAGGAAAGTTCTTGGGATACAGCTGGAAGAGCTTGCCTTCCTGAGTAGGCTCGAAGCCATACTTTTCCAGGTTGTCAGGATCAAAAGTGCCTTCCTTTAAGTCCTTTTCGATAGCAGGTGCAGCTGTTTCCATGAAGAGCGCTCTGGCTGTCAGCGGCGTGTCTGTGCCGGCTGGAAGGCGGTAATTCACGTAGGGCTTGAGCTTGAAGCCGATCAAGTTCGGGACGATAAATTCTGGGACCTGTTCTTTTATTTGCACAAATTTCCAGCCAAGGGCGTGGACACCCGTGCGTTTGGCGCCCCGGCCCTTGTAAAAGGTGCGGGGCCCTCGCTTGCTTGTCCACTTGCTCATCCTGTCCGCTCCTCGTACTAGGCCTTGAGTCACTGTGGTCAGGAAGCCCATGCTGTAACCTGCGGGAGAAGACTGCTCAGAAAGACCCACATCCAGGACGGACCCGAGGACCGGTGTATGCCGGGCAGATCTGAGACCCCGAGGACGGAGAGACCCCGGCCCTCAGGACCCCCGCTCGAGGACGCAGAAGACCTGGACAGAGGACGGAGAGAAGACTAGGTCCCGAGGGCGAAGGGAACGCGGTGCCGACCGCAAACGGAAGGACTGACCTGTGCCAGGGGCTCTCACGTCCCTGCACCTGAACCTCCCGAAGCTTCAAGACACCCGGGTTCCGCCACTCCACTGAGACCTCGCCGCGCTCGGGGTTTACCACAGCCACCGAACAACAAAAGGAGCCAAGATTGGTCGTCGCCGCGCCAATGCGCAGCCTCACCCGTGCGAGGAGGCGGGACCTCGGAAGCCCTGGCCAATACGAGGAGAGATGGGCGGAGTACCGGGAGCGCGCACGTCAGGGCGTCGGGAGCGCGGGTTTGGAGGCGGGCCTCGGGAGCGCGCGGGCCGGGAGTCACGGTCGTGCGCCGGGAGGTGCGCGTCTCCGGTCCCACCCACAGGGAGGCGTCGCCCTCGCTCCACTCCGCTCCGGCCTCACCCGGCCGCCGTGACTAGGGCCACCTACCAGGTCGAGGACTCAGCTGCCACCGGGGCTGCTCCGCAGGGTCCCCCGACGCCCCACGGTGTTCCCTCCCACGGCCCGCTGTGTCCTCTCGCACCCCGCATCCCTCGGTGTCTCTCGTTCCTTGGCGCACTGCTGGGCACAGAGGGTCCACCCCTCAGCGCTCTCGTCCCTCCTGAGCCAGGCTTAGCGAAGACCTGCGCCCTCCCTGAACCCCCTCGGTCTGCCACACCCCTTCTAGTCCGGTCCCCTTCTCAGCCACACCCCTTCTCACCTCCAGTGGTCCCGGGATCGAACTCAGGACCTTCGGCTAGCGAGGCAGGCGGCGGCACCACTGAGTTAAATCCCCGGCCCCTCCTTGGCCTTCTTGCTTTGCCCCTCCAGAGCTGTGCACCAGCTACACCCTCTGCCCCAGCTGGAACGAGCCCTGGACTGCCTGTCCCAACCGAGTCCCTGGCCCTGCGCCCGGCCCCTCCTCGGAGGCCGCCCTGCTGCCTGCAGTTCCCAGCCACGTGAGCGCTGTTTACAGGAGGGGCCAGCAGGACAGCAGGTGCTTCTGCCAGAGGCTGCTGTTTGTGAGGAGAGCTTCCGTGGGTTCCCCGCAGTGGGATCCTAGTGTGACTTGAACAGGAAGGCTGGTCGAGTAGGCGGTTGGCTTGGTTGTGTCCTCTCACTCTGGCCTGTGTTCCTTTTTTCAGCCATGCAGGAAGAGGAAGGCGTCTTCGGGAAGGTAGGTACACCAGACCCGAGAAAAGCTGAGAGAGCAACCCTGCCCGGAACTCCCGCTGCCTGGAGGGCTATGCCTCTGCCTTCCTCTTCACCCCAAGCCTCTGGAGCAGGAGGAATGTGGGCTGGTGTGGGGCCCGGCGCCTTGTCAGGGAAGTGACACTAGGTGCTGACACCCGTGCTTAGCTTAGGCAGCATAGACAGTGGGACACAGCTGCTGGACATTGTTTTCATTGTCTTTTCTTTCCCTAAAGTCACAGTTATTTCCCACATCTCCTTGGGACCTTGTTCACTTTGCTTAGGGTCTTTTTCTCAGTTCAGCTCTGTAGCCATGTCCCAAAGGACTTTGTCCCCGAACCAGGCAAATAGACCCATTAAAACAGCAGTGAGGGCTGTCAATTTAGCTCAGTGGTTCCACTGCCTGCCTCGCAAGCGCAAGGTCCCAAGTTCGATCCCCGGTACCAAACCCCCACCCCCCCAAAAAAAACAGCAGTGAAAAGCTAGGAAGCTGACGCTTGGCCATCGCAGTCGGTGAGTGGTTTAGCCTTTCCTTGGAGAAGTGACCCGTGCAAGTGCTCAGAGGGACACGGGGGAGGTGGGGCTGTGGCTGGGTGCTCTTGCGTGCCTGACTGCTGTTTGAGTAGCTGGGGCAGAGGATTAGGAAGCTGGGTGCTTCACTTCTGAAGCAGAGCTCCACCTTTGAGAAAGTCTTATTTCATTGGGAGATGGTGTGCGTGGCCCTGGTCCCTGCTGTGGCCCTCGAATGCCTCCTTTGCAGACACATGCCCTGGCACAGAGATGTACACGGATGAAATCACCTGATGATGCCTTTTTCAGAATGTGTCCTGTCCTGAAGGGATGCATGACTACCTCTGGAACCAAGTGCACAGAGTGCGTTTTCTGGACACTCCTGTGTTCTGCCTGGATGCCGAACGGAGCCTTGGGGATGCTTTCCCGAGTGCCCTTCAGCTCTCCAGGGCTCCAGGGTAGATCGCCATGTCTGAGGATTGGCTCTCTGAATGCTGGCCTTTGGTCCTTGGCACCTGTGTAGAAACTGGACAGGATGACCTAGTGGTCTCCCCTGCCCCATCAGAGCCTGGCTGCCGAGGAGGAGGGGTGGATGCAGAAGGGAAGGAGGGCCTGCCTGCGTGCCTGGCTGCATCCTGTCCCTCTTTGACTTCCAGCCTGTGGGCATCAGCAGCTCCTGTGTTGGTGCCCGCCTATCTCCCTTGCCTGTGCGGTCTCTCCCGGCCTTTCTTCTCTCCCTTCCTCTTGTGGGTCTGGACTCCTGAAGCCTTGTTAGCACTCTCTTGCCGGCAGCAGGGTAGAGGCACAGAGCCTTCTCTCCTGTTTCTTCTTGGCATAATGACTGGTGTTGGATGTCCTCAGATTCTAGATGGCCCCTTGGGGTTTCTCCCTGCCCTCTCCTCCCCTTTTTTTTTTTTTTTTTTGCGGTACCGGGGATTGAACTCAGGACCTTGTGCTTGGGAGGCGGGTGTGACACCACTGAGCTACATCCCCATCCCTCCCCTCCTTTCTGGAAATGGAGGTCTTGTTGTGTTTCCCAGGCTGGCCTTGAACTCCTCCGGCTCAAGTGATGCTCCTGCCTCAGCTTTCCAAGTAGCTGAGACTAAACCAAACACAGGCCTCGGGAACCTCACGCCCTCCTCCAGGTTTCTGAGCGCTGCTGCTGTGGGTGCTCCTGTGGGCCTGGGGCTGGCAGCCCAGGTCCTGTTGGTGTCCAGGCCTTGGCCTTCCCTGTGGCTAGGGCTTGCCTCCTGGTTTGCACCTCGAGGATTGCAGAGCCCAGGGTACAGGCACATGGATGGTGCACGGGGCATATGTTGTGGCAGCCCGCCTTATGCCTGAGGAAGACAGGCGCTCCTGTGTGGCCTTGCAGGTGGCGCAGTGCAGCTTGGTACCCTGGCCCGATTGCTTTGCTCTGGGCTCTGGGCTGCCGACCTCCTGTCTTGCTGTCCACTCTCTACCCCTGCCCAGGTCTGGGAAGCCCAGCTGCCCTGCTGCCCACCTGACTGCTCTCCTTCCAGGATGACCTCTGTCTGGGCCCCACCCTGTGCTCCTGGGGGGGGGCTATGGTTTATGGAGAAGGAGTCACAGCCCATCATGGTAGCCCCTCCTTTCCTGGGGGGCTGCGTGGGCCATGGCCGTGGCTGGCTTTGCCGACAGGCACTGTGCCCTCTTCTGCCTAGCTAACAGGGATTGTGATTAGAGTCCTCCTGACCCTTGCCTCTGTGGGTGTTGCCATCTTGTTTGTGTACAGAAGGGTTCACAGAGTTCGTGAGTATCTTGGTTTGAATCCTGGCCCTGGGGGAGGACAGGGCTATGTGTGAAGTGTGTGTGTGTGTGTGCGTGTGTGTGTGTGCGCGCGCACACATGCACTGTAGGTTTGAGCTCCTGGGCACCCCCGCCCCCGCCCCCAGCGCCTGGCTATATTACAGTCTGGGCACAGACTGCAACTTCTGGTTTCATCAGAGACATTCCTGAGGTGAGCCTGTGTGCCACGCCTTCTCCTGCTGTCTGAGGGGCAGAGTTGGGGGAGCACACATGCTATCCAGCACCGGGGTGTCCAGGGCCTGGCCGGTGCCATGCCTTGCACTAGTTTGAGCATAGTTTATGGCCCCTCTCATCTCACGATGCCCCTTTCTACCCCTCTCAGGACAGGTGCAGCCCACTCCTCAGTACAGGTTCTGGAAGAGAGACAAAATGATGTTCTATGGCCGGAAGATCATGAGGAAGGTAACCCTAGGGTAGGGACCCTGGGTCTTCTGCTAGGCCCCGAGCTTCTGGCCCCACAGCTCCAGGGTGTGCTGCCTGCTCAGCTCTGTGGCCTCTGCCAACGACGAGTGGTAGGGTGGAGCAGCCAAACTGAAGCACCCCTCTGGCTGATCCCATCTGGCCTGGAGGCGGCTGAGGCTTCCGTGGGGAGGATCTGGGAAGCATGGGATCGGGAGGCCCCGCTAGCCCTCTGCAGCACAGATCCCTCACAGGAAAGGAGAGCACGTAGCTGCTTTCTGGTGACATCCTTGAGACTGAGGTGCTGCGCCGAGGAAGGACCAGCCCTCTGGGGGTGGGGACCTGACTTCTCGGAGGACCCGTGTGTTTGCCCTGAGGTGAAAGCTGCCTGCCTGTGGCTCACTTACCAGTGTCTGGCAGTTCCAGGACCTCCTACACGCAGATCCCACCCTCCTGTTTCAGGTCTAAGAATCAGTAGTTAGTGGGGTGTGGTGGTGCACATCAGTAATGCCAGCACTCTGGGAGGCTGAGCCAGGAGGACCGCAAGTTCCAGGTCAGCCGGGAGACTTAGTGGGACCCTGCCTCTAAATAATAAGTAAAAGAGGGCTAGGGATATATCTTTTTGTTTTGTTTTGTTTTTGCGGTACCAGGGATTGAACTCAGACCCTTGTGCTTGCCAGGCAGGCATGGTGCCAATGAGCTAAATCCCCAGCTCTAGGGATATATCTTCGTGGAACAGTCTTGAGTTCAATTCCTAGTACTAGGAAAAAGGAAACAATAATTGGTGGTTAACGAACCCTGATCTGGGAATAAGCAGGCCGAGTGGGGCCTTGTCACCCTTTGGCTAATGCTGAGCGAGCCCCTCTGGCCTCCCCCCACCCGCTTAGGTTGCAGAAACCAACAGGCATGGAGCCATGGAGCTCTGGAGGTTTGGCTGACTGGGGACAGCAGGGGCTGTCCTGTGGATGTGTTGGGCTGTGTGGGGCGATCTTGTCCACAGTGGGTCCCCTGTGTCCTTGGCCAGATGTGGGGCAGGGTAAAGCTAGCCCTGGAAGCTGGTGTCAGGACAGTGGGCAGGCCCCTTGGAGAGGTCAGTCCTAAGGGCTGACCCCCGGGGCCGAGAGTGCAGACCTTGCTAGTCACAGGCTCAATGACCCAAGTCTCCCTTGACTGCAGATGAGCACACTCCCCCATACACTTGTGGGGAACACAGCTACGCCCCGGCAACGGGCCCAGAAGAGGACCAAGATGCTCTCTTTGGCCAAGAGGTACTGGGAGTTCTCTCCCTGGTGGACACAAAGGCCCTTACCACTGCCATGACCCCTCCCGCCTGAGGCACACTAAAGATGGAGTGTCCTTGGGTGTGAGAGCACTTGGGACATGGGTGGGCGTGTGTGCTTTGCAGTCACAGGGATCAAGCCCAATGTCTTGTGCATACTAGGCAAGCACTCTCCACTGAGCTCCCTCCCCAGCCTGTACCATTCCTTTTGAACCCCTTGGTTCTCGCTCAAGGTGAACGTGTCTCTGCCTCAGGATTTTGCAGTTCAAGAAGGAATGCCCCATCCTGCAGCCTAAGGAACCACCACCCTCCCTGCTGGAGGCTGATCTCACAGAGTTCGATGTGAGGAATTCTCACCTGTCATCAGAAGTTTTGTATATGCTGATAAATGTTCGGTAAGAACACGTGGGTAGGAAGGGACCTGCAGGCAGTGCTGGCCGGTAGTGGCATCTCCCTGGGGCCCCGCTTTCTAGTGTGGCTTACTTGTGTCAGCTGGAGCAGGCAAAGCCTATCCCCTTCTTGTGGCTTGCTGGCCATGAAGCCTCAGGGGCTCAGAGCCTCTTGTGCGCCAGTTCCTCACCAGGTCTTTCTTGTGCTATTTAAGTCTTTCTCAAGGCCCTCAGCTTCAGAGGTAAACTCAGAGTGTGTGTGAGAAGTGCAGGATCAAATGCTGCAAGTCAGAGTCTTCGTCCATCTCCCGGAACCTAGGAGGGCATGTGGCCTTCCATGGCCATCTTCGTGTTTCTGCTTCCATCTGTAGTCACTGCTCAAGAACTTCTTTGATCTAATGCAAATCCAAGAAACTGAAAATTCTTTTTTTTTTTTTTTTTTGGTACTGGGGATCAAACTCAGGACCTTGCGCTTGAGAGGCAGGCGGTGGCACCACTGAGCTAAATCCCTAGCCCAAGAAGCTGAAAATTCTGTTTTAACAGTGATGCCACGTTGTGGGTAAACCCTGTAGATCTGAAGTTCTGGCCTCAGTGCTTGTGGGGACAGTGGCTTGTGTCTCTCAGCCTGTCTTCCCTGGGAGGGTGTTCCACCATGAGCTCTGCTTGTTACAGGGTCCTGGGCCACTTTGAGAAGCCACTGTTCCTGGAGCTTTGCAAACACATGGTCTTTGTGTAGCTGCATGAAGGGGAGTATATCTTCCGGCCAGGGGAGCCAGACACCAGCATCTACGTGGTGCAGGATGGGCAGCTGGAGGTCTGCCTCCAGGATGAGGTGAGTCAGGGCCCAAGCCTCCTGAGCTTTCACATAGCTCTGTGCTGTGGGTCTATTAAAAAGTTATGCAGCCTGACATGGGGGCTCAGGAAACGGAGGCAGGAGGATCACTGTGAGTTCTAGACCAGCCTAGGCTATACAGTGAGCTGAAGACCAGATCAGGCTGAACTACAAAGCGAGACCCTGTCTCAAAAAACAAAACAAACAAACAGACAAAAATTTCTGCAAGATTTTAAGCTTTGCCTCTGAGGAAGAAAGGTGCCCCTACCCTAGCGTTCAGCACCACTGTGATTTTGGCCTTGGCATGCTATCTTTTGCTGTCATGCACGCGTGTGTCTGTTGTTTAGGTTGGTTCAGTAGCAGTGCTTATGTGGTTTTATTTCCTTACTTCACTTGATACATTAGACATTTAAAAATATCTCTTTCTAGTCCTTAGAATGGTTTGGTGATGAATTACTATATTGATCTACTGTGATGAGTTGCCTCACTTTCAGATTTCTGATTATAAATAATTTTAATTGTAAGAAAATAACTGAAGTGTTAAATGACTGAGGAGCTAAATCCTTCTTTTTTGCCTGCATTAAGGATGCCCTTTGGAACAGCCGGGTCAGGCCCTGCCAGGCTCTGTTTGGTGTGTACCACTCAGAGAGGGTGGGGTCCGTGGTCATCCTGAACTGTGTGACACAGGTTTCCCATCCTCTTATTACTGAGTAGAGCAATTTTTTTTTTTTGGTACTGGGGATCGAACTCGGGTCCTTGCTCTTTCGAGGCAGGTGCCGGAACCACTGAGCTAAATCCCCGGCCCTGTAGAGCAATTTTTAATGAGACCTGACCTTGTGTACTGGTCACCCCTGCCCTTGCAGAACTCCCAGCTTCAGAAGTTCCTGCTCTTGCTGTTCGAGCCGGCAGGTCCTTAGGCATTTCCTGCACTGTCTTTCCAGGTTTCCGGACCAAAGGTGTTGTCTGGGTAGAATAGTTGTTCTCATGTTTGTAGCTTAGTCTGTGGTGGGACTTGATGAAATTATTGAAAAGGAAAGATCCACCTGGGTGTGCTGGTGCATACCTGTAATCCCAGCATGTTGGGAGGCAGGAGGATTGAAAATTTGAGCCCAGTCTGGGTAATTTAGTGAGACCCTGTCTCAAAATTAGAAAAAAAGAGCTGCAGATGTAGCTCAGTGTAAAGGTCCTGCGTTTAATTCCCAGTACTGAAAAAAAAAAAAAATGAGGGAAGCTCCTTAATCTATCTGGTCTTGGGAGGTCAGAGCCAGAAGGTCCTGGGGCGTGTCCACCCTGCTGGAGAATGCGGACCCCTGGTCTAGCCTGGAAGGGGCACCCCAGCACAGGAGCAGCCTCCGTCTGGCCTCTGAGTTGGGTGGGAGAGGCTCATGGGAGTGACCAGGGCCAGATTTGGATCTTCTGGGATTAAGCTGAGATGAGGTCCCTAAATTAAATAACCAAACTACATGATTTTCTCTCTTGATTTGTGGAAAATTGTGTAAATATTTTCTAATTTGGGGCCGAGGATTTAGCTCAGTGGTTTCACCACCTGCTGCGTAAGCGCAAGGACCCAAGTTTGATCCCTGGTACCAAAAAAAAAAATCTCTAATTTTCACTGATAGTAACTAAATTTAATCCTTACAGCCCTTGTAGTTAGTCCAGTAAACCAAGTTCGATTTTGTGAAATTTCACGTAAACCCGCCCAGTAAGGATGAGTCATGGGACTGAGGGGCTGTGGCTAGATTGGGTAGGGTTTCTTCATTGGTCTTACTTTTTTTTTTTTTGTCCTGGGGATTGAACTCTGGACCTTGCGCTTGCCAGGCAGGCAGTGGTTGTTTGTTTTTTTTTTAAAGACAGTATCTCCCTGTGCAGTTCAGGGTGGCCTTGAACTTACTATATAGTCCAGTCTGGCCTCAAACTCACGGTGGTCTCTTGCTTCAGCCTCCTGAATGCTGGGATTACAGGCGTGTGCCACCAAGGTGCTACCTCCTTTCCCCATCCCCTCCAGTGTATTTACCTAATTCCAGCCCGGCCCGGCTCCTTGTCTCGGGTGCCCACGTTATTGACAGTGACTTGAGATGAGCTTGTGTGCACAGGGAGCTCCCTGGCATCTGGCCGATGGCCCCAGCCTGACAGATGTCATTCTGTTCTTTGTTCTCTGCAGGACGGTACCGAGGTGGTGGTCAAGGAGGTTCCGGCAGGAAACAGCGTCCACAGCCTCCTCAGCATTCTGGGTGTCATCACGGTGAGTGCTGCTCTCCACAGTGGGGCCTGAATCCCTGGCTCAGCCCTGGAGGCCTGCTCTAGACAGCAGTCACTTGTCATCAGAGGACAGTTCTCCTCGGTAGTGCCAAGTGGGAGTGGCCCAGGCTGGGGAGGCCTCATTCTGATCTCCGTGGTAAGGGTGTCCGTAGGGGTGGTGTTGAAGGCATCCAGCCATGGTCAGGGCTTGGTGTCTTGTCAGTGGTCATGCTTTGGACTGACACACAGAGGCCACAATACTGCAGAGATGTGAAAGGTGCAGAGAGAAAGTGTTTCCTGTTCTCCTTCCTGGGGAGAACCTTCCACCACTGCTCGTGCAGGGCCATGTGGGGCTCCTGTACCACTGTGTGTCTTCGTTGTTCTCAGTCCTGTGCAGTGAAGAGCAGTGCCGGTCCCCTGAGTCTGTACAGTCATAAATGTGAAGCCCTTAGGGGCCTTGCAGGGCCCCAGGTGTGCGCTGGGATGTGGAAAGAGATTGCTTCCCAATGCTGCAGAAGCTGTGCCGCCTCCCACCCGCAGCGTTCTGTGCAGTGTAGCAGTTGACCTTTGCTATCAGCTGGATTAAGAGGGGGACGTCTCGTGGGACCTCCTGATGTGTCACGTTTCATTGAGGAGAATACCTAATGTGGAAAAGCGTACTCCCATTCACACCAGTGTGTGTCTCCACCTGCTTCGGGCCTCAGCTCAGCCCCATTCCTTCCCTGTCAACAGGAGGTTGGCATCTGTTTAACTTTTTCTTTTGAGTAAAACCTACATACAGTGAAACAAAAACATAATCACCCAAGTTTTGTTAAGTGTGTATGTCTGTGTAACTCAGAAGGGGCATTTGGTTTTCATCTGACTCTTTTTTCAGGACTGAGGATTGAACCCAAGGCTTTTACACTGAGAAACATCTTTTATTTATTATTTTTTTTAAATTTTGAGGAAAGGCCCTTGCTAAGTTGCCTAGGCTAGACTTGAACTTGTGATCAGTCATCCTGCCACCGCCTCACAGGGTGCTGGGATTAGAGCCATCATTCCCAGCTTCGTCTGATTCTTTGAAGCTGCACCTTTGTGTGTGTTTGTTTGTTTTTAGCAAGTAGCATAATACTTTACCTTCTTGTTAAAGTGATGTATACCGTCCATAACTGTACTGCTCTGATTTTTTTTTTTCCCAGTACTGGGGATCAAACTCAGCACCTTGCGCTTGCAAGGCAGGCGCCGGTACCAGTGAGCTAAATCCCCGGCCCTGCTCTGCTTTTATAAAACTAGCAGGATAGGCGTTCCATTTGTTGTTAGCTGTGTATGATTGCGACTTTTACCTTAGCTTCTCCAGTCTGTGTTTGATGTTTCCTGAGCAGTGAGCAGAACCTTGGGATGTATGCAGCAGACTGATGGGACCAGGAACCCAGTGGCTTTGTGTGAAGTATGGTGGGAGCTTGGGCCCTCTGATCCCGCCTCCACTCTGCACACATCAGACTGTCCAGGAGCATGCCCATGCTGTGTCCTGTCGGGGCACAGGCTCGCTTTGTACTCTTTAGGGTCTGGAGGAGTGGATGGGACCCTTGCCTCTTGCTTTGTCGCTTATCTGTGTATCTTTACAGACACTTGGCTGGTTGGGGAGAGGCCTCCCGCCTGGTCAGAAGAGGACACTTCCTTGGAGCAGGTTGAATCTGTCTTTCAAGGTCAGAGTCCAGCTTCCATGGAGCCCCCCAGCAGGGCCTGGTGGGGTCAGGACAGGGCCAAGTGCAGGCTCCTGAGCCTCTCTCTGTGCTGCTCTGTGGTCTCTGTACATTTCCAGGGCTCCAGCTCACTGCGTGGGGCTCCTGAATACAGTGTAAGGGGCACTAGTGGGCCCAAAGAGCCAGGAAAGGCCCAGGAGAGCTTTGGGCTTTGTGCAGGTAGACCAGGCAGCTGTTTGCCATCTGCAGTCTGTAACCTCTACCCCCTAATGGTTTGTTTTTCTTAAAAAAAATAGTTCAGTGAAGACTAGGGTGGAGGCCTTTCTCAGTTATTTACTCTTTCCAATCCTGATCTTATTGTGGTTTTTAGGGTGAACTTCACTTATTCCGGCAGCAGAATGTGTGTAGCTGGGAAGCCAGCTGTGGGCCATGGGCTGGCCAAGGTCATTTCTGCCTGCACCTGCTGTGGTCTGTCTCATTTGTGCCGGCATCGGCAAGCTCATCTTCCCTGGGGACAGGAACCCATGCTCCTCGAGTGCAGTGGGAACAGAGAAGGAGGGACAGTGGTTGAGAGAGAGTAATTTACTGTACATCGCGATAAGTTTCTCATTCAGAATGATGTCACCTTTTTTGTTTTGTTTTTTTGGTACTTGGGATCGAACTCAGGACCTTGCGCTTGTGAGGCAGGTGGTGGAACCACTGAGCTACGTCCCTGGTCCCCATTCCACTGAGTTTTTAAATTTTTGTCATCAGATTTTTTTTTTGAGACGGGGTCTCACTATGTAGTTCAGACTGGCCTTAAACTTGCAGTAATCCTATTGCTTCAGCTTCTTGAGTGCTGGCGTTACAGATGCGCGCCACCACACCCAGGTCATCAGTTTTTATGTCAAGAGTTTTTGCTGTTGTTCTCTGAATACTCTTTGTAAAACACCATCTTGTTCTTCCTTCACAGATGAGTAATCTGAAGTTTTCTCTTGCTCCTTGAGTTGTCCCTGGCCCCTCCGAGGGTCTCTTACCTGTGTATTTTGGTGGCTGTCTTTCCAGTCAGGGCTTTCCCGTCTCACCAGCCACTCCTGTGAGTGTGAAGCTATGTGCACTTGTGTCGATGATCTCGTCGGTTCAGGTGGAGTCAGTTCGGCCAGCACAGGGCACACACTGTGTCCTCTCCCACCAGTTCAAATCCAAGCTGCTGTTGTGTGAAGACAAAGCAGAGGCCATCGGCCTGTTCTTTAAGGGCCCAGTAGTAAATAGCTTTCTGGGCCACATGGCCTCTGTTGTTACTTCTCAACTGAAGGGGCCTCCGGCAGTGCCACTAACACTTTGCCAAAACAGGTGTGGGAAGCTTGGTGCTGGGCTGCATGTGCCAACTCTGTCAGGGTTGAGATCAGAACAGGGGCTCCCTGTGGGGCACTGACTGGAGAGGCATAAAACAAGTGCTTGCTGGGAATGTTCTATGCCTTGACTTAGGTGGCAGTTATGTGGGTCAGTTATCAAAAGATAGTAGTGGGAGCCTCTTTCTCTCTCTCTCTCTCTCTCTCTCTTTCTTTCTTTCTTTCTTTCTTTCTTTCTTTCTTTCTTTCTTTCCTTTGTGAGACAGGGTCTCGCTGTGTGGTTCAGCCTGGCCTTGAACTCACTATGCAGCCCAGGCAGGCTTTGAACTCACGGTAGTCCTCCTGCCTCAGCCTCCCAAGTGCTGGCGTTATGCATGTGCCACCACGCCCAGCATGGGGGCCACTTTAAAGCTGGGCATGAGCCCCATGTATGTGGTGAGGGTTGTCACTAGGAACGCTGCTGGAGATAGGACAAGAAGCTGCCCTTTCCCTTTGGATGGGAGCACAGGTGTCAGCACCTGTGGGCTACTTTTTACGTTACCTTCGCAGACAGGAGTGGCCGTGATGGTGCTGGCCTGGAGTAGGGAGGTGCCTGAGAGTTTCCGCATGCAGAGCGGACCCTGTATTCCAGCCCTTAGCTGCTCCTGAGTCTTGACATTCAGCTCTGTCTGCTTTACCTTCTTAGCAAGAATACCTGGTACCCTGCTAGCACAGGGAAAGGCCCCTGGCCAGTGTGCTGAGTAAGGGGAGTGCAAGGCTGGCCTCTTCTTTGTGGCTCCACCTGTTTGCTGGCTGCATGCTGCTGGGCTCTGTGTCTGAGCACCCTCGGGCCCTGTGGCAGGGATCTGCTTTCTCTGCCTTGTCCTGGTTCACTCTTACTGGAGGAATTCTTGGACCACAACTCTTACTTTCTTTTAGCAGCTTCTAAAATTTCATGGGCATTCCCATCTAGTCCTAGCTTTTGTCTTAATCCTTGGAAGTTTGGATCTTCTCAAGAGAACAGAGACAAGCATGGGAACAAAGAGTCACTGACCTTCACTCTGCCTTTTTTTTTTTTTTTTGGTACTGGGGATTGAACTCAGGACCTGGAGCTTGCCAGGGAGGTGCTGTGCTGCTAAGGTACATCCCTGGCCCCCACTCTGCCATCTTTGATCAGGGGTAGACTTTGTTATTCCAGAGCTGTTGTGGAACCTTGCATGGGATAGCAAACAGGCTTACTGCCTTTGACCCTGATCAGCTAAAGCATGGCTACCCATAAACCACCAGTGCCACTGCAGATGCTCATCTGTGCTCTAGCTGTGGCCCTCCTCCCCTCAGCCATCAGTACTTCTCTGAAATTTTCTGTTGCTTGCACAGTGGGTGGCATGATTTTGCTTGTCTGAATCTCATAAGTAGCGCTGTCCCAAGTATAGTTCTTCCACAGTGTTCTGAGTCGGCCCAGCCAGTCAGTGTGAGCCCTCCGTGGTGGGTGCCGTTGTGGCTCAGCCGCCTGCAACATGGTGACTCGTCTACTCAGATCAGCATCCAGGCGGCCGTGACTTTGCTACTGGAATGCTGGCGGCACCTTTGAGATGTACTCCCAAATCACATCCCAAAGAGAAATCACAAGGGTATCTGAAAACACAGCATTTTAAAACGTACAACTTTAAATGCTTGTATTGGAAAAGAAGATAGATCTCAGATCAGCGATCAAGCTTCCATTTGAAGAGTCTAGGGAAGAAAAGCAAATGAAACCCAAAGCAAGCAGAAAGGAGAAAGTAATAAAGATCAGATCAGTGGTCAATGAAATTGAAAACAGAAAAGCAATAAAGTCAGTGAAACCAAAAGTTGGATCTCAGAAAATACCGCTACCATGCAAAAACCTCTGGGAAGACCAGTGAAGGAGAAAAGGAGACAGAAACCAGGCACATCAGAAGTGGAAAGGGATGCGTCTACAAACCCTACGGACAGCAAAGGACTCACACAAGATTGTTTTTCCAGCACTGGGATTGAACCCAGGGCCTTCACACTATGCTACATCCCCAGCTCAGTGGAATTATTTCATTTTTTAAAAATTTGAGACAGCATCTCACTAAGTTGTTCAGGCTGGGCTTCAGCCTCCTGCCTCAGCCTCCCAAAATGCTGGGATCACAGGTGTTTACTGCTGTGCCCAGTGTAAGATGCCAATATGAACAACTTTATGCCCCAAAGTCCATAATGTTCTGAAAGATAAATTACCAAATTGCTCTCTAGAAGGTATGTCTTATTTGAGAAGTCTGGCATGAGGAAGTAACCGCCACTGCTTGAGCTCAATTTGAATACCCTCGTATTTGTTAAAGAAATCAGATTTGTAAATAGTCTTCCCTCAAGGAGCACTCCAGGCATAAATGGCTTTGCTGGAAAGTTCTGCCCAGTGTTCATTTAAGAGAGGAATAACGCTAATTTTACACCAACTCTTCTTGAAAAGCAAAAAGGAAAGAATGTTTCCCAACTCAGTTTCTGAGGCAAGAATAACCCTGATGTCAAAGCAAACACATACATTACAAAGAAAAGTGGGGATACTGTATCTTCACGGACTGTCAGAAATTTGAGTCCTGCCATGTATAGAAAAGGGGAGCAGGGCCAGGAATTTAACTCAGTGGCACCGCGCCTGCCTCACAAGTGCAAGGTCCTGAGTTTGATCCCCGGTACCAAAAAAAAAAAAAGGAATGAATTTAAAAATGAAATAAACAGTAGCATTTGTAATACATAGCACCAAAACTTGAAATACTTGTTAATCTGACAAATTATATGTTTGCTGAAAACTCACTTTACAGTGGTACCTTGGTTCACCATCTTTATTTGTTCCACGATTCTGTGGAAGATGGCTGCAGTCGTGTTTTTCACCCAATGTGGAACTTGTGAATGGAAGCAAAATTTTGCCGAATGCTTCTGTTAGTGAACCAAATTGTTTGAGAAAAGAAGTGTTCATGAATCGAGGCATTAGTGTATTTATGAAGACAGGCAGAGGTGTTCAAATTAAATGGAAAAATGTACTGTTTCATGGTTTGGAAAAGTACATATTACTAAGAAGGAAGATATTCCAGATTATCCAACATAATGCCAGCCAGAATCCCAGCAGGCTTTTTTTGTAGAAAGACACCGGTTATAAAATTCTATGGAGAGACAAAGACACTATAATAGAAGAATTTGCAAAGGAGGGTGCTAGGGATGTAGCTCAGTAGTGGAGCACTTGGCTCCACTGCACAAGGCCCTCAGTTCAATCCTTAGTACCACCAAAAAATTTTTAAAAAATTATTAAAAAGGAGTTTGAAACAGAAAACGAAGGTGAGGATTCACACTACCTTATGTGGAGACTTACTGTGGCGTGGTCCAGGTGTCATGGGGATGAGTGGTTCTGTGAGTCTTGGTAGGCAGCCCAGAAGTAGGAACCCTGTGGGTGCTGGGCCTGGCAGGCGCAGCCCATAGGCCATCCACATCAGCGATGCCAGGAACATGGAACTTCATTCCACTGTGGTGCTAAGAGGTGGAACCTCTGGGAAGTGCTCAGTAGATAAGGTCATGGGTGGAGCCCATGCCTGGATCCTAGTAGCTTCGGGAGGCAAGGGAGATGCCACACAGAGATGCACATGTGCTTCCACCACTGCATAGTGAATTGGAACCATCTCCAGAGCTGTGCCATGCTGTTTGGCTCCCAGCCTGCAAAACTGGACTAATTACACCTCTTTTCTCTGGGAAGTTTCCTGCCTCAGCTGCCATGGCAGGGTCTTCCAGGTGTAGACACCCTGTCCTGCTGTCCCGACACTGTCCTGGGCCTCTGGCCACCTCGCCTGTCAGCCCAAACTCTGACATGGTGCATGGGGCCCCGGCGAGTGCCAGACACTGCAGTCTTGCAGGATCTTCTGAGCACCCCTGGGAACCAGAGAGACCGTGAATTCTTCACAGCACTGACAGGCCAAGGGCCGGTGAGGATGTGGCCATGAGGGTCCACGGCAGTGCTGGCGGGTGTGGGAGGCGCCACTGCCGCAGAGGCAATTCGGCAACTTTTTTCTTGAGACAACGTCTCACTATGTAGCCCAGGCTGGTCTCGAACTTGCAGCAGTTCTTCTGCCTCAGCCTCCTGAGGAGTGCTGGGATTACAGGCATGCGCCACCACACCCAGCTAGTGTGCAACTTCTTTTTTTGGTACGGGGACTGAACTCAGGACCTTGCACTTGCAAGGCACGCACGATGCCACTGAGCTACATCCTCAGCCCTATGGCAACTTCTTAAGGAGTTAATGATCACATGCCAGGGACTAGGGACTGGGTGTTTAGCAAGAACACGCAGAAGCCTAGGGAGGTGTGTTTAGAACAGCCTTGTCATGGCTGTCAGATCCTGGAAACAATCCCAGTGTCCTCTTTGGGAGAGGCGGTGGCCCCCACAGCTCAGAGCCCATGCTAACTTTCACCGACGGGGCAGGGCCACTGGGGCGGGCAGCAGAGGAGAGGGAGATGAGGGAAGGCCTCAGGGGCATTCGTGTGGGGCTGCACTGTGCTTGTGGGGTCGTGAAAGGCCTAGTATTGTGACCCAAGTGGGTTTCACTGTGGGTGGAGAACTTTTTAGTGTCAAACGGTTTTCTCAACACTGTTGGCTTCCAGAAGATAGAAACCAAAGCTACTGGCTAGGACCTTTGTCGGGCTTTGCCCTGGCCGCATGAGCCCTGTGGGCATGACCCACCTGACAGTGTGCCCTGCTTAGTGTGGTCCCAGGCACCAGTGGCACGGGCCCTGTCACATGGTGATCTGACCTGGTGGTTTCCTATTCTGTCACGGCCTTTTTGGGAAGCTGGACAGGGTGTGTCTTGATGTCCTTCTGGCAGAGACCATGGACGGCTGTAATGATAGGCCAGGGTGGGGTGCGAGGTTCTTAGTGGCAGGTGGGAGCCCATCCTGCACATGCTCCTGCAAGCCAGGTCTTCCTTGTATGTCTCTACCATGATCAAGAAACGTAGTGCCGTTTGTCCTTTAGCACAGCCAGAGGAGTACAGGGGTCTCGGTTCCCAGCTCTGCTGGGATCAACCGAACTGTTTGTTCCAGGGTCATGCCGCACCCTACAAAACAGTCTCTGCCGAGCAGCCACCCCGTCCACCATCCTCCGGCTTCCAGCAGTGGCTTTTCAAGGAATTTTTGAGAACTATCCCGAGACCCTAGTGAGGGTGGTGCAGGTGAGTTGCTTTGCCAGCCCTCTGTTTAGCCTGTGCATCATCTGGCAGGTGGGGCCTGGGAACTGCTGGGCCCTGTGCAGGGCGTTCCCAGTTTACAGTTTGTATAGCGCTCTACACATTTCACAGCTCTCACATCCACTCATCTCCTGTAAGCCTTATCTCATAGTGATAGTGTCTTAGTTACTTTTCTTTCGTTGCTGAGACAAAATACCCAACACTCAAAGTTAAAGGGGGAGGTTTATTTGGCCCACAGTTCATAGAGGTTTCAGCCCATAGTTGGCTGGTTCCAAGGCAGGGTGGCCTGGCAGAGGGGCAGCAGCTCACGGCAGATCAAAGGTGGCAAAGCAACAAGGCCGTGAAACTCTGGGAAGACGAAGGCTGTTAATATTTTTTTATTTTTTTATTTTTTTTGTTATTAGGAAAATATTTTATTAGCCAGTCTGCCCAGATATTCACAAAAAGATCCAGAAGCAGGCTATGAGTCCTCAGATTCCTATTAATGAACTTTTAAACTTGGCCTTTGGGGTCTTCAATAACCAGAGAAAAGCAGTGGCCAATGCCATGGCCTAGGGAAAATGACTATAGGTATGAGACAGGCCTGATCGGGATCAGAGGAAAAAGAGCCTAGGCGTTTAGAGAAGGGAACATGAACTCTAACAATGCCCTCAGTCCTGGCCACCTCTCAGAGGGGCATCTGTGTGGCCAGGGCTGATGGTGGAAGGGTGGGATAGCGAGAACAGGTGTGGGGCGGGGAGATGTGAGCTGGAGGGGATGGGGTAGGAGGAGGTAAAGGAGGGTCACAAGATGGCGGGGGAGAGGAAGGAGACAAAGGAGAGGTACAAGATGGCGGAGGAGAAGAAGCACCGGACGAGGCACAAGAAGAATTTGGGGGGTTATAAGCTGGGGGAAGTGCTAGTGGTGAGTGATCAGCTGGCTCAAATGAGTCAGAATCAGAAAGAGTGGAATCGGGAAGGATGGACTGTGAAGCTTGGGCTAGGAGTACTTGAGAAGGAGAACAGGATTGACAGGGAGGGTCGAGAGCGTAGGTAGAAAAAGGCTTGTATGTAGGGGATTTCTGACCATTTGCCATTGCGCTGACAGAAGTTGTGTAAATTGCGCAGTATGTTAAAATCAAAAGTGCCATTTTCAGGCCATGGAAACCCATTATCTAATTTATACTGAGGTCAAACCTGATTACAATAGAAAACAAGTCTTTTTGGCTTAAAGTCTGGTCCCAACAATCCGAGGGGTTTGAGTTGTGCCAGAAAGCCCAGAGGCATTGAGGGGCGGGGTTTGGATTGTTGGGCTCCCATGTTAGGATGGGTGAGCAGGAGGCAGCCCCCTGGGAGAGGGACAAAGGGGAGAAGCGTCCTTGTCTCCTTTGACAATCTCCGAGTGAGTCTCCCAGAGGGAGAGAACGAGAGGAGCCGGGCCGATGGGACGTCTCCCAGGGGCACGGTCCTGGGCCCAGAGGCCGTGGGGGTTTCTCTGACCAAGCGCTTGGATTTCTGAGGAGTCCCCGGAGGGAGAGAGAACACGAGACAGAGAACCCGACGAGAGGGAGGCTGAACTGCCTACTCACCCAGACATTGGTGACCGGTGTGGATGTGTAGCACCAGCAATGGCAAAGGTAGAGAGCCCCGGAGAGTCCTGGCAATGGCAGATAGGGTTGGTCCGATGGAGATGGCCAAAAGGTCAATCAACCCCATCCTGCGGGGAATCATCCATTAATGGACCATCTACCATCCGAGTCACGGCACCAGAAATGTCAGGTAAAAGTGCCGAAGACCAAGACCAGACCAGGCCACAGCAAGCCTTTATTAGGGGAATAGATGTGCCCAGCCGTCTCTGAACAAAGGAGAGAAAAAAAGCCCAAGGCTGTTAATATTTTATAATAAAACTAATATTCCTAACCTCAAAGAGGTCTTCAGCTCTCCCCCTCCCCCAGAGGGCTTAATAAAAGAATTATATATGTACATACAATTTTTTTTTGGTTGTATTGGGGTTGAAGCCAGGACCTAGGCAAGTGCTCTGCCGTCAAGCCACATCCCAGGCCCCTCCCACTTTTTTCTCTTTTTTTTGAGATAAGAGCTTGTTAAATTGCTCAGCCTGGCTTTGAACTTGCAATCCTGCTGCCTTAGTCTTCTGAGTAGTTGGGATTACTGGTGAGAGCCATTGTGCCTGGAGAGCTTTTAAAATTTTTAAATTAATTGTCCCGTTTTAGAGTAATTATGGACTTACGGAACACTTGCACAAACAATGCAGAGTTGCTGTGTGCCTCTGACCCCATTCCCCATACCGGCATCCTGCGCTGCCGTGGTGGGCTGTTGAACTGAGGGGATCTGTGGCGGATCCCTTGCAGAGCTGGTAACTGCTCAAACCCAGACATCTCCTTGCAGATCATCATGGTGTGGCTGCAAAGGGTGACCTTCCTGGCTCTGCACAACTACCTAGGCCTGACGATAGAGCTCTTCAACCCTGTGAGTGCAGCCGCTGTCTTGCGCGGCCCCGTGGCCATCCTAGGGCTGGGTTGTTGGGACTTTGGGAGGTGGCAGTGGCAGTGTCGATCTTTCCGCCCTGGAGATGCCCACTGTCTGTCGTTCAGTTCTCCTGTGGGTCGGGGTGCTGTGTTGGGGCTCGGCAGGTGGTTGCACACCAGTGTTCGTGCTGTCCCTGCCCTGAGCTCTGGGACCCTCCACAGGTCCTGAGGTCCCTCTTGCTGGCACTGGCTCTGTCCTGCCCTTGTCTGTGCTGAGCTGTGACCTGGCTAGAGGCAGCAGGGCCCAAATCTTAGCTCCCTTCCCAGGGTGACCCTGGGCAATAGCAGCCTGTGGTACAGACACAGGGATCGAACTCGGGACCTTACACTTGTAAGGCAGGCGCTGGAACCACTGAGCTAAATCCCTGGCCCTAAGTTTTGGGTTTTTTTGGCACCGGGGATCGAACTTGGATCTTTGCGCTTGCAAGGCAGGTGGTGGAACCACTGGGCTAAATCCCCGGCCCTCTGGTCAGGTTCTTGTGGGAAGAAGTGACACGGTGGCTTCACCTCCACTCCAGCAGCCCCTGGGAGGTGGGCATGAGCCTCAGCTGCACCCCTGTGGTTAATGAGTGCTCATCTCCTCACTGGGATGCTCCCTCGTGAGGATGTTAGGTGTATCGTTTGCAGTTGCTAGTATTTTGGGAAACATCCCTTTGTGTTTACATTCTTATTCCTTCTTGTGTCACAGGAAAGCCAGGTCATCCCCCTTGCATCTGTGGCCAGCGTGGCTGTCAGATGGGCCAAGAGGCAGACGTCCTGTGGCTCAGAGGAGCAGCTTGAGAGGCCACCATGGCCCCAGGAGTCCTGTGACTCAGGTACAGCCCCGCCAGGAATAGCAGCTCAGCCTCGGGCCCAGGTTCCTTCCTGCTCCACATGGGTCTCCCGTGTTCCCTGTAGCTACCTCGTAAGCCCCAGGACACCTGACAAATGAGCCTGGCTCTCCTCTCCTGCCCCCAGCTCTCCTCTTCTGTCTCTGGGTCCCCTCACCTGTTCCCAGGATTCCTTACCTCCACTTATTCCTGTCTCCCTGCAGATTGCAGCAGTAACCGCCCTGCAGCCTCTGGGCCTCTGCTGAAGAGGAGCCAGTCTGTCCCTCTGCCTTCCATCCACAATGCGATCTTGGACGAACTTGGGCAGTCCCAGACAGGTGACCCTGACTCTTTGGCCCTGCAAGATAAAGAACCCCACCACTAGCCAGCTGGCCCTGCCTTCAGGCACAGTGTACCTGGGGGAAGGCTGAGAAGTCTCTGCACCCATGGCCTCTACACTCTGCACCTTTTCCTGTAGCCTGAAGAGGTGGGCATCCTCTTTGAAGAGGAACCAGCGCCTGCACCCTCACCCTGGGTTGAGGCACTGGGGGGCATCTTACCCTGGACACACTGATAGCCCCTCTGCAACCCCCATTCTACCAGCCCATGCACCCCAGGCCTTCTCTGTCCCATCAGGGCTCAGGTATATGCTCTAGGGGGAATCCTTCTCTTACCTCTGTCAGAAAATGTGGCCATGGGCCCTCTGCTTAGCAGAAACACTTGATGCTCTGTTGAAAACCAGCTATTTAGCACCTGGTGATTTGTGTTTTAGGTCGTACATACTTACTCTTTGCACCTTCCTGGGTCATAAACATATTCTAAGCTTTCATTCATCTGTAGCTCATTCTTGCAGTGTCGATGTGTGGGTGAGCAAGTAACTCGGGTGTTACTGCTGTAGTCTAGGATGACAGTTTACCCAGCACCATTAACGAAAGCCTTTCATTTTCTCTTGTTTTTTGGGTGCCATCTTCTTTAGGTTTTGGGTTTCCAAATCTGCATGGATTCTTTTTCAGTAATAGCTTTAAAAATACATATTTTACATACTATAGAGTTTACCCTTTAAACATGTACAAGCCGGTAGTTTTCAGCACATTCACAAAATCATTCTTGGACCGCCACCACCTGACTCTACAACCTTTTCACTACCTGCTGAAGACCCTGGGATCCTTGTAGCCACTCCCTGCTGTCCCTCCCTGGCCCGGGCAACCACTGATCTTATTTGTTGACATGGATTCCCTGACCTGGACATTTCATTACTTGGATCTATTTTTAAGTTATCCTTTGTGCTCTGTTCATACATCTGCCCATTTTCTATGTTATGTTTATTTTCATTAGCTTGTTATCGCTGTGTAATACTCATAGGGAATGTGCAGATCCTAAGTGGGCAGTTTGATGAATCTTTATAAACTGAACCACCAGTCAAGCCAGATAAGGGAACACATGCACTGGGTGCTCTGAGCCACTGCACTGCTCTCCTGGCACCAGCAGCATGTCAGCCTGTAAGCCTCCTTCCCAGCCCTGCTCACCCACTGCCCTGGCTTCTGGCTGCCTTTCCTTTGTAGAAGTGTTGTCACTTGGCTGGGCGTGGTGGTGCAGGCTGACCCTTCCCATGGAGTCTGTGTGCCCACGGCTCTGGTTTCAAGCACTACTAGAACCTCCTGGGAATGGAGCATGTGATGTGCTCCCGGGCCTGGTGCTTCTCTCTTGGTGGCATGTTGTTGATATCTACTCATGTTGTGTGCATCTGAGATGTGGTTTTTTGGCAATTCGTTTATATCCAACTGATGCCAAGTGCTATGTACATGACCTTGTGCAAGTCGTAAAACAACCTGAAAAGCTGGACATCCCAGCTCTTGAGAGGCTAAGGCAGGAGGATCGACATGAGTTCAAGGCCAGCCTGGGCCACATAGTGAGTTCAAGACTAGCTTGAACTGAACTACACAGGAAGACTCTATCTCAAAAAACCCCAACAAAACAAACAAACAAAAATACCCTACCAGTGTGAGAAATGGGTGTTATGAATCCTAGATCTTGGATGACGAAAGTACAGCTTAGCTAGTCACTTGCGCACAGAGCTTGGTGTTGGTGGGTCAGATCCAAACCCAGATGTGCGTGATCCAGAGCTCATGTGCTTTGTCAGAAGCTGAAGTGATTTAGAGGTTTGTTAAGACAGGTGTTCGACAACATTGAAAAGTTGACTGCAGGCCACTGCTGTGGTTAGAACGCAGCTCATCTCCTGCAGGTTCATACCCTAGAAGCTTGGTCCCTGGGTGTCTGTGTTGGAGGGGTAGAGGCTTGGTGGGGGTCGGGAGTGTAGCTCAGTGGTGTTCCCTTGCTGGAGAGAGGCCCTGGTTTTGAGCCCCAGCACACCACAAGAAAAGGGAGCGGGCTGGGGATGTAGCTCAGCGGTGCCACCACCTGCCTCGCAGGTGCAAGGACCTGAGTTCGATCCCTGGTACCAAAAAACATAAATAAAGAAAAAGGGAAGGAAGAAAAAGAAAGAGATAGGGCCTCACTGTAGGTGTTTAGGTCATGTGGGATCCATCTGCACGGAGTAGGGGGCCGGTTAACGCCCATCTCCTGTGACAGGATTTGCCATCACAAGCGGACGTCCTTGTAAAGCAAGGCCACCCCATATGTTTGGTTCCCTCTGCACCTGGCTGTTTCCCTTCTGCTTCTCAGCAGCCACTGAGGCAGAAGCTGGCTGATCACCTCCTTGTTTATAAATTTCCCAGCCTCAGGGACCCTGTCACAGCCACACCAGATGGACCACACTGGCACACAAGGCATCCAGCAAGACGGCCTTGCCATCTACATTTGCATCTTACCTGCGTGGCTTCTGCTGTTTGATGTGCAGGGTGTGCTCAGCCTGTGCTTGGCGCATTGGTACCTGAGCCACTGAGCCTTCCCTCTGTTCGTAGGGGGCTGTGTGGGAGCTACTTCAGACCTGGGGATGGCATATGACCGCGCCAGGGTCCTGCTGCACTCGGATAAGCACCCTGGGAACTCTGTGGCTGGCAAGGTAGGTCCTTACCTGCCCGAGCTTCCACATGCCCAGGTGCTGTGTGGGGTACCACTGTGTTGGCTCCAGGCTTTAGGCTGAGCCTTCTCATGCTCTGCCTGCCGCCTCTCCTCTGACAGCAGGTACCTTTGTTCTTCACCAGACCAAGAAAAGTGTGGTTGTTGCAGAGACCCCCTCTGCTATCTTCCATGACTCAGAGAGTCCCTGGGGTCACACTGGCTCCAGTGGGCAGACAGATGCCATCTTCGGAGCCGCCGAGGAAGACCTCCTGACCCTGAGGAAGCTGGATGTGAGCACGCCTCTGGGCAGGGCGGTGGCCGTGGCACAACCTTTGGAGCCCTTGCTCCCTGCTTTCCTCCTCTCTTTCGAAGCTGTCCTGGGTGGGGCAGTGCTGGTGGCTCACCGAGCTCTCACGGGGCCCTCTGGCTCCCCCAGGCCTCATGCAGGAGTGTGCCGTGGGGCTCCTCGCAGCCAAGCAACTGTCTCTGGGCTTTTGGGATCGCCAGGCACTGTGGAGTAGGTCTTCCTCCTGTGTGTTAATATGCAGACTTGTGTCCCTGACATTCTTAAAGTCTGCATGTATCTGGTGTACAGAAGCCAGGAAGCTGTGTGTTTCCTTGTGATGAGGACACAGGGGCCTACAGACTGTGAGCAGATGCCTGGTGGGTCTCGCCTGCTCTCGGGCTCTGTGCATCTGACTGCACCTGCCATGTGCTTGGCGTGGAGTGGGGTGAGTCATCAACTGTCGCTGCGTCACTCTGCCTGCCCACCGTGCCAGGCCCTCCTGCTGCCCCACCTTGGGTGATGCATGCTGTACCCAGCCCAGGCTGCTATGGGCAGGGCTCAGGACCTGCTGTCCATCACGCACCCTTGCATGGACCCCAAGCACGGACACAAGGTCACGGGCATCTCCAGGAGCTGGCGAGACCTCTGCCGCTCACGTCATGCCAGCTAGCGGATTGTCAGGCTTTGTAGTTAAGTGTGGTGGTACTTAGAGTGCAGACTTGTGTTTCGATCTCATTTACCTCAGTTACTAATGAGGTCGAGCACCTCTGGCATTTGTTTGCTGTGTTCAACCTGAGAGACTGTCCTTTCCCCCATTTTCTGTTGAGAGTCTGTTCTTTCCCTTTTGATTTTTAGAATGTCTCTGTATTTTCTAGACAGTGCTCCCTGATTGGCCTTTGACTGTGCACGTCATCTCCTCCAGGACTTGCTGTTTTGCCTTGTGGATGGTGCCTGGTAAACAGGACTGGGGATGGAGCCCAGGCCTTGCCTGTGCTGGACAAGTGCCCTGCTGCTGAGCTGCGTCCCCAGGCCCCTTGTTTTATTTGGAGGCAGCATCTGGCTGCACTGCCCAGGCTGGCCTTGACCTTGCACTCTTGCCTCAGCCTCCCGAGCAGCTGGGTTACAGGTGCTCACCACCGCAGCTGGCACACCCTCAGGTCTTGCTGCAGATGGAGCTCACTTTTGCGTATGATGCTGGAAGGGCTTGGATTGCACATGTTTTTCCTCAGGAAGATCTGGCGGCCCCACATCCTGACCTGAGTCCGGCCTCTATCTGCCTCCTCTGTGGCTCCTGTCAGGAGCCCAGCCCACCCCAGCTCATCCTTCTGTTTTCTCTTGCTGCCACGACCTGGAGAAAAGGAAAGGGAAGCTGCCTCACACCCTCTCCAGCTTTCAGAGCCACTTCCTGAGCCTCTGGTCGGAGGTGGGGGTTTTCTTCAGAGCTTTTGCCATCTGTACCCGTGGCTCAGCATAGCATGGCTTCTTGATGGGTGCAGCCTTCAGATCCAAGTTGAGGGACAAGGGAGGAAAGAAAAGCCAGATGCCCTCCCCGCCATGGCTGTCCTTGGTGCTGTGACCCTGCCTCCCAGCCCACTAGCTACTGTGAAGTTTTGTGGGTTCTCTGATGGTGGTCAGAGGCGAGTGACACTCACGCATATGTCGTGTCCTCTGCTGCCATGCTTGTTTTGTTTTGTTTTGCCTTTTGAGGCTGGGGCTCACTGTTCAGTTCAGGCTGGCCTTGAACTCGCTATGTAGCCCAGGCTGGCCTCGCACTTGCAGTGATCCTCCTGCCTCAGCCTCCAAACGCTGGGATCACAGGTGCACCACCAAGGTCTGGCACGTGCCGCCTCTCAGTTTGGGTGTTGGTGATGGAACCCAGGGCCTCGTGCTTGCTGAGCACAGCTGTGCCACTGAGCTGTGGCCTTTGTTCCTGAGGGACCTCTGCTGCAGACTCCTGGTCAGCAAAGCTGCGTGCTAGGACTTCCTCCTTTGAGAACAGTGCCTCCTCCTGCTGATATTAGGAGCTTCGGTTGTCTGCAGTTTCTCTGCGACAGAGCTGGCTGTGGAGTTTTTGGCTGAATTTTCAAGCAGTTCACCAGGCTTCAGTCTGTGTCCCTGAACCCCTTTTGGAAGCTGTCAGGCAAGGGTGGAGCTCAGGGTGGGGCTGGTGTCTGCATGTTCTCATTCACCTCCTGTGAGCCTGGCACGTTCACCTGTGTTTTCCACTTTTAAACTTTTTCTGGTGTCAATGTATTCATTTACATTCAGTAATTTTTCTTATCCAGTGTCTAATCTGATGTCAAAGCCATAGTTTGGTTAATTTATATAGTTCTAGAATGTCGACTTCCTAGTAATGTCTGCTGTCACAATTGAAATGTTTCTAATTCTTGGTAAATGTCTTGGGTTTGGCTTTGTGTTGAGTGCATCATTGTGTGTGCAGTTATTCCCTCTGAGTTGCTTCTATTTTCTTTAGTCTTCATGAGTTTTTTTTTCTTGCTATGTAGTTCAGGCTGGTCTTGAGCTCACTGTGTAGCCCACACAGAGCTCCTCCTGCCTCAGCCTCTCCACTGGTGGGATTACAGGTGTGTGCTAACCTGCCCGCCTCCATGCGTTCTTTTTTTGTTCTTTTTCCTTAAATTCTTTTATTGGTACACTTTAGGTACACAGTATGTTTACATTTATCACTGGGTGCATGTACCTGCACATGATGTATCTTGGTTATTTTTCCCCCATTCCCTGTGCGCCCTTCACCGCATCCACCCTTCCCTATTTACACAGACTTTGTTTCCATTTTTTTTCTTTTCTCATAATTTTTCCTTTCCCTTCTTTCCTTTCCCCTTCCCCTCCCATCACCCCTACACCTTTGGACCTTTCCTTCCTATTTCAAGTTATCAATTATTTATTTTAATCATTTTAATCCTTATTTACACTCTCAGTTTCTCACACTAGAGAAACTATTCAGTATTTACACATGTGTGTCCTATTTATTTCACTTAAGAGTATGGCCTCAATATGCATCCATTTAGCTATCTCTGGTTTCTCGTTCTTCATGGCTGAGTAGTACTCCATTTTATAAAAATACCCCATCTTCTTTATCCGTTTTCCAGTTGATGGGCACTTGGGCTGTTTCCAAGCTTTAGCTATTACAAACTGTGCTGCTATAAACATGGGTGCACATATATCACTGTGGTTTGATTCTTTTAATTCTTTGGGGAAGATACCCAGCAGGGGGATAGCTGGGTCGAATGGGACCTCTAGCCCTAGTTCTTTGAGGTATCTCCATACTGATTTCCACAGTGGTTGCACCAGTCTGCACTCCCACCAGCAATGGAGAAGGGTTCCTGTCTCCCCACAGCCCCGCCAGCATTTGTTATTGGTTGATTTCTTGATAGCAGCCATTCTTTCTGGGGCGAGGTGGAATCTCAGCGTTGTTTTCATCTGCATTTCTCGAAGGACCAGTGATGGTGAACATTTTTTCATGTATTTATTTGCTGCTTTTACTTCTTTGTCTCCCCATGAGTTCTTGATGGGGGCTTGGATGTGATACCATGTGCTGTTTAATGTTCAAGTGCTAGTGCCATGGACACACGGGAGCCAAGAGGAGCCACCTCCCTGAGGAGGACTCCCGCCTGCTTTCGGTAGATGTGCACCAGCAGTGGGTGCCTGTATTCAGCCCCTACCTTTGTAGTTATCTGGGCCATCCAGATCACCCAGAGCTGGACATTGTAGTCCCTTAATTAGGGTTAAAGCTTGGAGGGAGTTGTATTTAATCCAGGAGTAAGATTTTCAGATCATATCAGTATGGTATCTTCTGTTCCACTGTAATAATTTTAAACAAATTTACTTGTGCTATTTAGGACCCTCAGTCACTAGTTTGTCGGGAAGGTGTCTCTCTGCTCACTCTCGCTTTTCAGGTGCCTGTCTCCAGCTCCATGTGTGACCTCCTCATGGCTGACCTTCTCACAGCTGTACTCCTTAGCGCTCCCCAGTTGTTTGTTTTCTGTCTTTCTGGCTTTTCTCCTTCCTCCCTCCTTTCCTTCTTTCCTTTTTTCTTTCTTTTGCAGTACTGGGGATTGAACCCAGGGTCTTTGCACTGAGCTACATCCCTCGTCTGTTTTATTTCTTGAGACAGGGTCTTGCTAAGTCTCTTAAGTTTTCTAGGCTGGGCTTCAACTTGGGATCTCCATCAGCATCCCCGAGTGCTGGAGTAACTCTGCACCACACCCTGCTCCTCCCCCAATTATTTTCCCTCTGCAGATTTTAAACTGCTTCCCTTCACATCATTGCTCTCCAGGCGAAGACCCTGGGGCACTAGCCCAGTGTTGAGCCTAGTGTCGTCCTAGTCCGCCGCCACTGGAATGGGGTGTCAGCCAGCTGTGTGCTCGCAGCCCCTGGAGGGCCTTGTACGTGGCTCTTAGTAGTCTCTCCTTGTTATGTGCGAATCAGGCTCTCAGCAGAGCCTGTGCACCTTGACTGGTGAGTTTCTTAAGCGTTCTCCTTTAAACACTTGCTGTTACAGAAGGGTTCAAACACACAGAATGGATGGACCTCTCTTGTTTTAGTCTGTGCCCTTCCTCATGGCCCAACCCAAGCAAATTCTGCCATCATATTGCTAGTGCATACTTCAGTATTCATCTCTGAAGGACAGGGCTCCTTTAAAACATAACCGCCGTGCTGCTGTCCTGCAGCTGTGTAGCCTGTGTCCACAGTTCTTTTTTTTAAGAGTAGGAAAGGTTTATTGGCGAATACGAATGGAGAATAGGAATAGCTCCTGAGAGACGGGGGGTCCTGAGTGGGTTGCCCTTTGTCTGCAGTTCTCACAGCCTCGTGGTAGCTGTTGGGAGGTCCACACTGGGCAGGGGTGATGTGTCCCTTACATCTTCTGTGTAGGTCCCCTCTCTTATCTGGCTTTTAGTTCTTAAAGCTCCTTTTTTTTTTTTGGTACCAGGGATCAAACTCAGGTCCTTGTGCTTGCAAGGCAGGCAGCGGAACCACTGAGCTAAATCCCTGGCCCCACTTAAAGCTCCTTTTACTGAGAAGCTGACTGCTCCTCCCTGACTCTCAAGGGCCTCCCAGGACTGAAGCCCACTGCTGTGTTCCAATGCTTCTGACTTGGCTTGGTCTTATGTCTCACAGTGTCCTGTTCTTCCCTTGGAGGGCTTCGATGCTGGCTCTTTTTGGGAGGAGGGATGTTAGTGGCCTTTGATGCACAAGGCTTATGTCCCTTCACAAGATTTGAGAGGGTTAGTTTTTTTTAAATTTTAATTTAATTTTTTTATGGTGCTGGAGATTGAACCCAGGGCCTTGAGCACACTAAGCACACACTCCACCACTGAGCTGTACCTAGCCTGGTTTGAGAGGTTTAAGTTAATGATTTAGTTCCTTGTCATCTTCTAAAGGTGGGCGGTAAGGTTTCTTCTTTTTTTTTTTTTTGCTATCACTATGAAATATGAGTTTAAACATTTTGCTGCTTTCAGGCCTTAGACGGATTTCTGCTCACAGGTCTGTGTGCTGCCCTGTGTTGTAGAAGGGGCCAGTTCTGTGGGCGTGTTGCAGCCCAGTGACCATGGACAGATTCCCAATTCTAGGCTGCTCCTGGCCTGATGGGTCACATGCGGGCACTAATTTCTGCAGGTGGCATGCGATGAGGGCCCACTGAGTTAATCTTTTCAGGTGGCATCTTTACAGTGTTCTTCTTTACGAAATTATTTTTCCTTTCTTACTCAGGTGAAACCACAGTGTTACATAAGTCACCAGAATACTGCTCTTTGGTTCTGCATTCTCTGTAATATCCCTGATGCCTCTGTGCACACTCTGCCTGCGGCTCTGTGTTAGTGATCATCCTCACAGAGGGCCTGTAGCTGTAGCTGTCTGCCTCCCTGCTGGCCTTGTCCTTTGTGCCCTCACTTCGGTGCCTCTTGAGGCCATGTCGAAACCTGTTCTGTGTTCTAGGATCCATCCCTGTTGGAGGGACGAGTGACATTTCTCCAAGTCCCTGTAGGCACTGTGGTGTCAAGACAGGGTGACCAGGAGAGTGATGTGGCCCTGTCATGGGGGACTGGGCCCATGCTGGGCACTGCACACTCCGCTGGTCGGTGTCGAGGCAGCTGGAGGCAGTGCTCAGGGAGGCGTCCCCTCACCAGGCTGCCACCCCTCTGGCACCATCTCTGCAAGCAGGTGCCCTCAGGCAGCCTCAGCCCTGGTGCTCAGCTGCCCACATGGCACCTGCTGCCCCAGCCCTCTTGCTGGAACCCAAGGGATTGGGGTAGGAGGGCAGATTTACTGAGTCCCTCTGTGGATACAGGGAGGTTGGTTTTGTGAGTGTCAATGCAGAACCGGTATGCACAGGGTGGCAGGGCTATTGGCATCAAGTACTGGCCCACAGCAGGGTAGGGTCTGGTCTGTCAGGTTGCAGAGGATGACCATGTGGCCCCCCACAATTTCTCAGGGCGTGCAGGGGCCTTCTCTGGGAGCAGGGGGCTGGCACATGTGTGTGGACCAGGAGGTTGGAGGGCACTGGGAGGGAAGGTGCATGCTCTGAGATGGGAAAAGCAAGTTTCCTGTGATTGTTAACTAAGTAATTGCTGGGCATGGGGGTGCTCAGAAGCCTGAGGCAGGAGGATCACCGAGTTCCAGGCCCGCCTGAACTGCATAGCAAGACCCTGTCTCCAAAACAAATAAACAAATAATACTATTGACACTACGGGAAGGTTCTGAGCAGGGATAGCTCTGTCCACAGATACACAGAGGCCACAACAGCAAAGTATCAGTTGTGTCCATCAGGGCAGCTTCATGGGGCCCTGTGGAGCCCTTTGGTCACCTTGCTGGGGCCCTGGTCCTCTGGAGACTCCAAGCCCACTCTGGGTTTTTTGTTGTTGTTGTTATTTTTGGTACCAGGGATTGAACTCGGGACCTTGCACTTGTGAGGCAGGCGTGGTGCCACTGAGCTAAATCCCCAGCTCTCCCTTTTGCTTTTACCAGGATGTCAACATCTTGTTCGTGGTCTCAGGGCTACTGCATGTGTACCAGCGAAAGAGCGACAGCCAGGAGGACACCTGCCTGTTCCTCACGCACCCCAGGGAGATGGTAGGGCAGCTGGTGGTGCTCACAGGCGAGCCCCTCATGTTTACCTTCAGGGCCAACAGGGACTGTGGCTTCCTGTCCATCTCCAAGGCCCTCTTCTACGAGTGAGTCACCTCTTCTTGCCCACCTGGAGGCGCAGGACACCTCCCACGTCCCCACTCACCACCCTTTCCACTCGTGTGATCCCACATCCTCTGTCCCTGAGGACTCTGCAGGCCCAGGGCTGCTGTCACCTTGCTGGGCCATGGGGCTGCAGCCACAGCTGGGTGGATGGCTATGTCTATGCGCCCTTCCTCGGCAATCAGCCAGTGGTCTCCATCTGTCCCATAGATAGCTGCCTGGTGCTATCCTCTCTGACTGCAACTTCGCACGTTCCCGCTGGCTGGAACCACTGGTGGTACATGCATGGCCATCCCATCAGGCAGCTCTAACCACTGGTTGTTAGCTGGTTAACATCAGATGATGAGATTTAAATCAGAGCCACCTGACAGACGTACGGAACATGTTAAACCCAGACAAGCCAAGGCATTTCCAGAGCAGTTATCCTACCCCTGGGCGACGGCAGCCTCAACAGAGCAAGCCAGGGAGTGAGGATAGTGCCTCAGACTGTGGAGAGGGCTGGCGTGAGCCCCTTTAGGTGGTAGCCTGCCACCGTGTCTGAGGTCTTCAGTGTGCTGGGAAGGACTCATTTTACAGGTGGGGAAACTAAGGCTCTGGGAGAAATCTTCTCAGGCCCTTCCACTGGCAAGGGGACCCCACGCAGAACTGACCTGCATCCTCCTGTGCTGTGTGGATCTGCTGTCTTAGATGCACCATGCATTGCCGTACGCTGCCCCACCCTTTCGGGCCACCCTGGGAGAGCGCAGGAAGAACAGCGAGGAGCCTGGACCCTGCTTTCTGTGCAGCCTGCTCTCTGCGTCTGCCTGTGCCCTGCACGCTCATGTATGTGTTTATGTCTGTCTGCATCCTTGTGCGTGTATGTCTTTGCTTGTATGCATATCGATGTGTACATTTCTGTGTCCTTTTCCATGTGTGTGTCTGTTATTGTCTGTCTGTGTGTCCTTGTCCTTGGGTCCTTGTCCATATGTGTACCCGTGTCTGTCCTTGTCTGTGTGTACGTGTCTGTGTATACGCCCATGTGTCTTTATCTGTCTTTGCATCTCCATGGGTGTCCTTGTCCATGTGTGTGTCCCTGTGCATGTCCTTGTCAGTGTGTGTGTCCTTGCCCGTGTGTGCGCGAGTCTGTGCATGGTATGACATTTCCTGCTGTAGACACTTCCATCCTATTGGCCTCATCCTGAGAGTGTCCTGGGACTCTCCTCAAACCCCAGGATGAAGTAGCAGGACCGCCTTGCCATCTCCCTGGGTTATGGAGAGGCAGAGCCTCCATCCTCCTGTTCTCAGGAAATGATAGTGGCATCTGTCCTACCCGGTGTGGCTGACAGCAGTCCGTGAGCTGCCCTACCTGACCCCAGGAAGCCCTTGCTTCTGCCCCAGGGATGATGTCCTCCTGGGTCAGAGCCTCTGGCCACTCCACCCACCCAGAATAGACCCCTCAGCCCCAAAGCACTTGCTCCCATCCAACCTCAATGTGAATGCAGTGTGCAGGACCTCACTGCCAGGACCCTGGCCTTACGAGTGGTCTGTGCGGCAGGGAGCCCAGTGCTGAGCAGGGCTTCCCCTGTTCCCCGGCAGCCGGCAGCATCTCATGACTGTCTGGGCGGCAGGGCAGCGGTGTCCCCATGGGCTCCCAAGTGCTGTGACCCCAAGTGGTGGACCTGGTGGGATTGGGTGGCGGAGTGACTCCAGCTGCCAGCAGGATCATGCGGAAGCAGCCGGCCTTTGTCCTGGGTGTGGCGCACACTGTCATGAAGAGGATGTCCTTTGTGCGGCAGATTGACTTTGCCCTGGACTGGATGGAAGTGGAGGCTGGGCGTGCCATATACAGGTGAGGCCCACAGGTATGTTGCAGAGTACAGGCAAAAGTCACCATGTCCAGCTAAAGGTCACTGCTAATGGGCTCTCGTATCTGTTGAAAGAGGATGTGGACTTACTGTGCAGGCGGGAAAAGGTGTCTGTGCAAATTTGCTATGCCGGCACATGTGTGGTGTGCACAGACCCATTGAACCCATGGGTGCCTGGGGATAAGGAAATTCATCCCGTGGGGCTGCTGGGCTGCTGGGCTGCTGGGCTGCTGGGCCAAGGGCCTCCAGGCCTCTGTGTCTCTGTAGGCAGGGAGACAAGTCCGACTCCACGTACATCGTCCTCAGTGGCAGGCTACGCTCTGTGATCCGGAAGGAGGATGGGAAGAAGCGCCTGGTGGGGGAGTATGGCCTCAGAGACCTCATTGGGGTGGTAGGTGTCGGTCCCCTGGCTGTTTTCTGTGATGCTCTGAAGGACTCCAGGGGCAGATCCCCCACAGCTCATGGCTGAGCTCAGGCCCTGCCTCTGTTCAGGGTTGTGTCTGGGGTGCTGGCTCCTGGTTGCTAGGCACTCACTTGCTCCCTGCTGGTGCTGGAGCCCTGGAGGGTAGGGGCCACTGTTGCTACCTGAGGTCTCTTTCGAGAGTGACCAGCAGCTCATCCCAGCTTCCAGGGCCCCTAGCACAGGTGGGTCTCTCTGTCCTGAGCTGTGGCTGACCACCCTGGAACATGCTATGTTCTCCAGTTGCTGGGCCTTGGGGAAGCCTCACTGGGGCTCAAGGGGCCTTGTGAGCGTATACTGAGGGCCACTTCCTCCTGGGAAGCCCCAGCTCCTCTGACTCCTGCCTGCCTCCCCTGAGCACTGCCTGGGCAAGGGATCTTCCACGTCAGAGTGTGGGGCTTCCTGACCTCCTCTGGCTCTGCACACCCTGTAGGTCTCTGGTGCAGGTTCCTCAGTCCCGCTGGTAGGGCTCCCACAGCCTCACAGGACACGTCTGATGGCTCCTTCTTGGGAGTGTTCAGGCTGCCTTGTGCCAGCCCATGGCAGCTGGAACATGCTGGGTTGCTGGGCCTGCCTGTGGGCTCTGTGGCACCCAGCCCCTGCTGCAGTCTGCAGCACCATCACAAGCAAAGCACGTTGCTCCTTGTTCTCACAACACTCACAACACTGCCTGTGTTGCGACAGCCTGGCTGTGCACAGCTCTCCTGCAGGCTGTCTACGACTGCTGCTCGTGCTGGGCCCTTGGACTGTGTCACATGGCCCCAGCCCCTAGCTCCTGTCCCTCAGGTGGAGACACTGACCCATCAGGCCAGGGTGACCATGGTGCATGCTGTGCGGAATTCGGAGCTAACCAAGCTGCCAGCAGGAGCCCTGACGTCCATCAAGCGCAGGTATCCGCAGGTAAGCCTGATGCAGCTGGCTGCACAAGGCCAGGTGATTATTTAGACTCGCAGAGGACATGCCTGGAGCAGGCAGGTGTGTCAGTGTGAAGACCGTAACAGGAGGGCACGCTGCAGGGAGAGGCTATCCCGGGACTGCTCAGGACAGGTGGGGTGGGGAGGGGTGAGGGCCCTGGTGCAGCTGTCTTTCTGGTTGTCCCCCTGTATGAGTAACGTGGGTGTCTCAGAGGGAAGAACCTGACCTCAGACTGGGGCCTGGCCAGAGCTGCCCAAAGGAATAGTCCGTAGTAGGGGAGGGACAGCGAAGAGTCTGCAGGCACAGACTTAGGCGCTTCAGTCAACACTTAGCCATCCCAGAACAAGGTGCCCCTAGTGATGGTGGTGACCCCGGGAGCACCTAGCAGAGCCTGAGGCTGCAGCTGCAGGCTGCCCCTCGCCTTTCCTGCTTCTGGTCTGCCTTTTCCCTGTGGGATCAGGGGTGTTGCTGCCTCTTGGTATGAGGGCCTCGCCCTTGGGAGCAGGCAGGTGCCCTGGCCACTGCTCAGCAGCTTCTGAGGCAGTGTGGGAACCGCTGTGCTGCACACTCCGCCAGCCACACCCAACGTAGGTGTTGGCCCTTTCCAGGGAAGAGGGTGGCTCTTCTGGGGCCCAGGGGTCTGCGTCCTGCAGTCAGTCAGCAGCAGCCCTGGGGAAGGTAGAGGCACCTCCTCTGCTCCTGGGGCCTGCAGAAGACTCAGAGTCCGTGCCAGGGGGGCAGAGCCCTCTTGGCCCCATGTCCCCGCCCTCACCCTGGCTGCTTCTCAGAAGGCTGCAACCGCTTGCCTGTAGCACCTGGCTGGGACCCCGAGGTCGCCCATCTTCTGAGGCCAGACTGAGCTCAGGCCTGGGTGAGATGCTCGGCAGCAAGGCCAGGGCCTCTCTGCGCAGGGCTCGCGTCTTGTTGGAGTGGCCATGGGGTGGTTTCCAGTTGGGGCTAATGTGGGACACTGGCTGCCAAGCGCTGGGTTGGCAAGGGCTGCGATCACAGACCCGGCGTTCCCCTGGGGAGCTGCTGGGTGGACACCTGAGGTCGGCAAGTGCAGCCTGTTCTCCAGACCTGGGCAGCTGTTTCGCCTCAGCCCTCGGGCAGGAAGTGGCTCCTCACTGTGTGGTGAATGTTTACTTCCTGGTGACTGCAGGAGATTCTGAGGGGCTGGGGATGTAGCTCAGCGGCACCACACCTGTCTGGCAAGCACAACGTCCTGAATTAGATTCCCGGTAACCCGAGGAGGCGGGGCGCATTCTGAGAACAGCCTCTGGGAGGCTGAGGCAGGAGAATCCAGTTTGAGCCCAACTTGAGCAACTGAAGAATCTACTGAGATCTATGTCTCAGAATTAAAAAAAAAAGACTGGGGTCTAGCTTAGTGCAGAGGTCCTGGGTTCAAGGACTGCACACACAAAAACAGGTGTGAAGTACCTTTTAATGCGTTTATTGGTCTCTATTGAGCCTTTACCTCTTGACATGGAAAATGATTTTTTTTTTGGTACTGGGGATCGAACTCGGATCCTTGCTCTTGCAAGGCAGGTGGCGGAACCACTGAGCTACACCCCCGGCCCTTTGTGGTTATGTTTTTAAAGGCTTTTATCCTGTAAAGAAGCATGTTCACATAATAATGGATAAAATGCCGTGTTTGGGATTGGCTCAAAAATTTTCCAGGGTGTATGTGAATTGAAATATTGCGGAGATGGCAGAGCACGGCATCCCCGTGCTCTCCCTCTGCTGGTGTGTGTCTCGAGTCCTCTGGAATCAAATGGACTTTTAAAAGCCTCAACTAGCAGTTGGCACTGAATCCGCTGCATGTAAAGCATCGTACTTTCTGGCATGTGTTTTGGACCCCTCTGTGCATACTATTTGTTTTTCATCCTAAACTTTGGGTCTTTGACCATAGCTGCCTGGGCAAGGGAGGATCCTGAGTTGGCCTGCAGTGGGGCGGGCCTGCTCACCAGCCCTGGGCAGTCATGCCACAAGAGCCCCCATCCGGCTCCTTTCAGGGTTACCAGAGGGCCAGGACTCAGTCCAGAGGGGCCCTGGAGGCCAAGCAGAAGGAGAGGAAAAGCACTTGCTCCCAGGTCACCTCGAGGCTGTGGATGCCGACAGCACAGTGTCCCCTCAATTATTCCTTGACTCACCCAACAGCAGTGGTGGGAGGGCCGGGGATTTAGCTCAGTGGTGCTGCACCTGCCTCTCAAGTGCAGGGTCCTTAGACAGCCTACAGTGTGTCTTCCGTCAGCTTGAAACTTACAGCAATTAAAAAGCACTCAACTCACTTTATTCGTATGCAGAAGCATCGAAAAAGTAAATTATGACAGTACTGTCAATTAAAAATTAGTTTTTTCACAGGGTATGGTGGTGCATGCCTGTAATCCCAGCACTCAGGAGGCTGAGGCAGGAGGATCACCATGAGTTTGAAGCCAAACTGGTCTACATAGTGAGTTCAAGGCCAGGGTGAATTACATAGCAAGACCCCATCTCAAAAAAAATTAAAAAAAACAAACAAGTTATAAATATTTGATACTTGGACCTTAAATACACTAATCTGCAACTGTAAAAGTTTAATATGAATACAGTTGAAAATAATCTTGTTATATCTAAAATGTGATGATTCTTGGGTATCATCTGGTGCCCAGCCCTGGTGTGATCCATCCAGGTAGGGGCAGATGGCACCCTGCAGGGTGAGCTTCAGCTCAGGAGGCCCCAGCAGTCTGTCTGTCCTTGTCCTCCTTGGGGTTGTGAGTGGCTTCCTTGAGTTGTCTGCCTGCACTGAGCAGAGCTGGCTTCAGGTCACCAGGGACCCACTCTTCACACCTGCCTCCTGCTCAGCTGGCCCTGGTGTGGGTCTTCTCACCCAAACCCACAGCTGTTTCAGCCCAGGGCAGTGCAGAAAAAGGGGCCCAGTGTCCTGTTTGAGCATCATTGTGGGGTCTTTAATTCCCACCATTTCATGGTTTAACGTGTGGTGTGGCCGGAGCACTAGCATGCAACCCAGCTACTTGGAAGGTCAAGGCAGAAGAATTTCTAGTTTCAAGGCCACCATAAGCAACACAGACAATATGGGGAGAAGCAGGCTCAAGAAAGAAAAGAGTGTGGTTTGAGGTCTGGCTTCTTTTTCTGCCTCCAAGTGGTGACTCGATTGATTCATCTCTTGGGTGAGAAGATCCTAGGCAGCCTCCAGCAGGGACCTGCGACAGGTGTGCCCCCCACCTCGGAGGCAGCCTCAGAGCCAGCCTCGGAGCCCCAGCCATGGATTCCAGCCCCACCCATGGACCCCACTGCTCCCCCCTGCCCTGCCCACTCCCTCCTACCCACACAGCCCTCTGCTGCCTTCCTGGGCCTCGGTCTGGTGCCCTCCGCCCTCCCTGCCTGGAGCCTGGCCCCGCCTGGAGAAGTGCCACTTCCCATCTCCACTCGGCCTGGGGAGGGGAGGCACGGAGGCTGGCGCTGGGTGCTGAGCTACCCCTGGGAAGTGCCCGGAGTCCCACTCGGGGCAGCCCCGTTCGATGGGCCGGGTAGAGGGGTTGCTTACTGTGGCAGTGCTTGGAAGGTCTTCTTTCTTTCTTTCTTTCTTTTTGTTTTTGGCACCAGGGATTGCACTTGGAGGCACTTGCAAGGCAGTTGCAAGGCAGGAGGCAGAACTTCTGAGCGAAATCCTCTGCCTGGAAGGTTTTCTGCAATGCATTTGGGTGGGCAGTGCTGAGGGGAGCTCTCCTGTGGGTGTGAAGGAATGTGCTATATCTCCCTCCTATCTTGCTAGCTGATTAGAAAAAGGAAGCAGGGTAAAGCAAGAGACCAGGAGGCAGAGGCTGCTGTGTCTGTCCAGCGCCCAGCAGGGAAGGTGGCGTTTCAGTTTGTTTTCTCCGAGAGGTGGGGATGCCTTTTACGCAGGAGCCACTGTACCTCTGGCCTCTGGCTGTCCCCTCCCCCGGCCCCCTCCCCTGTGGCCCGGCAGTGTCTGCAGCCCCAGACGCAGGGCCTCCTGCTGTCCAGTGCTTGGCTGTCCTCCACCCCTGCCTCCCCTCCTACCCCCTTTTCTGCTTGATTTTCTACTGATTCCCCCTAGTTGGTTCATGCATGTGTGTCCCTGCAGTGACACGTGAGCTGCGTGAGGCCCGGGTCTGCACGTGTGCGCCAGGATGAGCTGGTGGACAGCTGTGCGAATGGAGGCCGACAGGGAAAGGCAGAGCTCTGCTCCAGGACAGCCTGCTCTGCTGAGTCACATGAGCAGAGCTGTCTGTGCTTCTGAGTGCTGCTGATGGGGGGCACCACCCTTTGCTTTCAAAGGGCTGGTACTGTTGTGTCTGAAGTGAGTTCCTTTCAGGTAGCATATGATTGAGTTGTAATTTTGTCATCCCTTATAGCAATCATTATCTTTTAATTTATCTCTTTAGACCATTTATACCTAATATAATTATTCTGTTAGGATTTATCTCTGCCATTGTATTTTTTTCTGTTCTCCCACCTTTTAAAAAAGAATATTACCCTTTTTTCCTACCTTTTTTTAGGTTGCCTGACCTTTTATTTTTATTTTTTTGTGATGTTGGAGCCTGCACTGAGCTGTAGTTGTAGCTCCTTTCTTAATTTTTTTTTTTTTTTTTTGAGACAGGACCTCACTAACTTGCCGAGTGGTCCAGACCTGACTTGAACTTGGCGTCCTTCTGCCTCAGCCTCCTGAGGGCTAGGGTCATAGGTGCGCAGAACCGTACCTGGCCTTACTTGGCCGTTTTGAGCTCATCACATTTATTTATCAATTGTGGCTTCCCCTATCTCTTCCTAGAAGATCCTCAGTGGTCACAGTAGGGACCCCAGGACCCACGCTTACCCTTACCTGTTGCCCCAGTACTGTTCACTTGGGAGGGGTGAGCCTCTACCCTTGCACGGGTCCCATGCTCTTCCCTTTGCAGGTGCTGTCTTAACAGCTTCCTTTCCGTGTGTCGGGAACGCCGAAGAGCGTGGACTTGTCTTCCAGCTGTTAAGTCACAAGGGGAAGTGTCCATGCTGCTCACTAGACAGCTCCCGTTCCTGTTGCTGTCCTCTCTTCTTGCTCTTGGTGTTCCTCCGGGCACCCTTCCCCTTCCATCTGAAGCGTCTTTGTTCTTTTCGTCTTTCTTCTTCTGAGAGTGTCTTTACCTTCACCCTGAAGGTTGTCTTTACTGGGTATAGAATTCTAGTTTAACAGTTCTTATAGTTCAGCACTTTAAAAATTTTGTGGAAATCCAAGTACAGTTGAGCCTCCCTGATTCAAAAATTCAGAATCCAAGATCTGAAACTTTTGAATATGGGGTAGGTGCTCAAAATGGTTTTGTGTTTTTTTTTGGTACTGACGATCGAGCTCGGGTCCTTGCGGTTGTGCAGCAGGTGGCGAAACCACTGAGCTAAATCCCCAGCCTCTCAAAATGTTTTTAATTTCAGATTTTAAGATTAGGGCTGCTCAACCAGTAGTCTACACAAACGTTCCAAAATCGGAAACACTTCGGGTCCTAAGCATTTCAGGGAAGGGAGGCTCACCCTGTCTTTAAATTCTTTGCATATAGCTAATTTGTTATCTTTCTGGCCATATTCAAGACTTTTTTTTCTTTGGTTTTTAGAAATTTGATTTTGAAATGTCTGGGCACAAATATGTTTGGGTTTATCTTATGTAGGGTTTTCTCATTTTAAATCTATAGTTTTACATTTTTTACCACATTTGAGAAAATTTTAACCTTTATTTCTTCAAATATTCTTTCAACCTTGAATTCATTCTCCACTTCCGGAAGCATAATGACACCAATTCTAGGCCTTTATTATTGTCTCAGATACTGGGGCACTGTTCACTTTTTTGCACCTTTTTTCTCTCTGATGTTCAGATAGAATAGTCTCTTTTGATCTGTCTTCAATATCACTTTCGTTTTTCCTCTGTCACCTTGATTCTGCTATGAGGCCTATCCAGGAAGGTTTTATTTTAGGTTTTGAGTTTTGGTTCCTCTCTGTATCTCTGCTGAGATGTTCTGCTTTGTGTTTGTTTTTAGGTGTGCTCACAGTGACTGGTTCTGGTCGGCTGCCTCGTGGTCTTGGAGAATAGTCCAAGCCTTGTGATGCGGCAGCGTTGCCTGGATTAGCATTTCTTGCTCTAGTTAAGGCTTCCCGTTCTTGGCACCCAGGCCATTTGGCTTGCACTGACACTGAGTCCTGGGCTCCCATTTCACACCTCGGCTCTGCAGGCCATCACATGCAGTCACACCCATGTCCTGCCCACTTCTGTGGCCTGGGTTGCTCTGCCTTGCTCTGCCTGCCCTGGCTGTGCATTCCAGAGCCAGGGCGGAAGTGCTGGCTCTGCACTGTCCCTGTTCTCAGCGTCTCTGCAGGAGTCCTGGTAGGTTCCTGTGTGGGCCAGTTCTGCACACAGATCTGATGTATCCCTTCCCCTACCTCCTGCCTCTGGTTGGGCAGTGCCCTCCGTGTGCTACAGGGTCAGGGTCAGGGTTGGGAACTGCAGTGACTGACTATGCTGGGCTCTCGGGAGAGGACACTACATGGGGCAGTAGGGCGCAGGAGACCCCAGGCAGGCAGGAACTGGCAATGGCAGAGCCTGGTAGGAGCAGCGAGGTTGTGCCCTCAGCTACCACCATGGATGAAGGAGGTATGCTTCAGGAAGGGGCTTTGGTGATGGGAGTGAAGTGTGGTAGGGCCCTCAGGTGGAGGCTGAGGAACCCTGGCCCAGGTGTATGCTCCTTGAGGAGATGCCAGCTGTGGGCCCTTCACCCACGTGGAAGCTTGGGTGAAGGTCTGAGGTGTTGGAGGAGCCCCTGCAGTGCCCTTGGTGGCCTGCCTTGATTCCCCCCCAGCAGTTCTGCTGGTGGCTCCCTGATTGACCCCAGCACAGCCTCTTGGGAGTTGTTCCACACCTCCACTGGTCCTGGAGACTGAATGCAGACAAGATGGTAAAGGCATGCTGCTGATCCTCCAGCCTGTGCTGCTCCTAGAGTGCATGGTAGAAACCTGCAGGGAGGGCCGGGGGTTTAGCGTAGTGGTTCTGCCGCCTGCCTCGCAAGCATAAGGACCTGAGTTCGATCCCCAGTACCAGGACAAAAAATAAAGGAAACTGCAGGCATCTGGGTCATGTGAAGATCCCTCTCACCTGGCAGGTTTTAACTGTCCATGAAGTCACCAAGCTCCAGAGGGCAGAGCAGGTCCCTCCTGGCCAGCTCTGTGTGTGCCCAGGGCCAACCACCCACTGGAAGGATGGGGGAGCTGCTCCAGCCAGCGCAGGCTGTCCCATGGCTGCCCCACTGACGCCTGCCCTGTGTTCTGCAGGTCACCACCTTGGGCTCTGCGAGGCAGCAAGCATGTGGGACACGGGGAACATGGCCAGCAGCCTGTGCACAGTGGCAGCGTTGCCTGTGTCTGAGGACGTGCCGCTCACTGCCTTGGCCCCGGGGCTGTAGCATGTGCTCAGAGCCATCGGAGAGCCTGCCTGGTCCTGGCCCGCATCTGCACCTGAGGTGAGGTCCCGGCTTCACTCTGGCAGGTTGTGAGTGAGCTGAGCCTGGGCCGTTCAGCGAGACCATAGCTATCTCAAAAAAGAGAGCAAAAGAGCTGGAGTGGCAGCACAAAGCAAAGGCTCTTGGTTCAATTCCCAGAACTTCAAAAGAGAGAAAAGAGATGTTCTTCAGAGGGAAACATCTGAGAGAGAGGAGGGCTCAGCACTGGCCCCGGGATGCCACCCTGTCCCTCAGTACTGACCCGGGATGCCGTCCCTGACCGTCAGCCCTACCCTGAGGACCCCGCCTTGGCTCTGGAGGCTGCCTGGGGCGCATGTCAGCTGTCTGCTTCCTAGAAGACACACTGGCAGCAAGTGGTGGGTAGCTGGCCCTCAGAGGGACAGCGCCCTTAGGCCGGGGACTCAGCTCAGTGGCACAGCGCCTGCCTCACAAGCGCAAGGACCCAAGTTCGATCTCTGGTACCAAAAAAACAAAAAAAAACCCCAAACAAAAAAGAAGGAGCGTGCCCTCGTGGGGTCAGGTTGTTGGGCATCCCCACAGCGTGGAATGAAACTGCACCCAGGCAGGGGCGGCCTCTTGGGGCTCGCCTCCTTGCTCCTGCCGACGGTCCCTCTATGGACCTTGCCGTTGCCTCAGCCACTGTCCTCTGGGGCGGGGATGGCTTCCAGTCTGAGGGATGGCGAAGAAAACTACGCTGATCTTTTGTGTCCTGGATATTTGTGTGCTCCAAAGTTTTCCGTTCTCTGGGATCAATGCCCAGGAGTGTGGTGAGTGTGAGAAAAGTGTGTTCCATTTCACAGGGAACTGCATGCCGCTGTGCATCTTACCAGCTCTGAGTGAGGGGCCCAGTTTCCCCCGTCTCGGCCAGCACTCTGTGCTGTCACCACTTCTTAGTCTAGGTGTCCTGATAGGTGTGAGGGGCAGCACACTCCTAATTTAGTGTGTTCTTCTCGAGTGGCTAGTGACGTTGAGCATCTTCTCATGCACTCACTGTCTGTGTACATTCCCTTTAGTGAAATATATTCCTAGCTTTTGTTCACTTTCTTTCTTTGTTTTCAGTGCTGGGCTGGGTGGGGATGAACCCAGGGCCTCGCACATGCTGGGCAAGAGCTCAATAACGGAGCAGTTCTGACTGGAGGCTGGTGTGTGTGTGTGTGTGTGTGTGTGTGTGTGAGTCAGCGTGTCTGTGTGTGTGTAGGCAGAGAGAGAACTTTTTTTCTCTTTCAGTAGATTTTCTTGCATCGGTGTTAGGTGCATAGCAGAATGGAGAAGAAGGCGCAGAGATGCCGTTTACTCCCCGCCTCCATGCACAGCCTCCTCACTGCTCATAGTCCCCACGGAGCATCTGGGGCCCCCAGGACCTGCCCGACTAGTCAGGGCTGCCCGTGGAGCTTCGGCCTGCTCTGCCCACCATCTCCATGTCCTGTAGACTAGGGTCACTGCCCTGTGCTTCCTCTGTGCTCTATTCATCACCTGCCCCAAAACACTGGCAACCACTGATCTTTTTATTGTCTCTGTAGTTCACTTTTCCCAGAATGCCATGTAATTGGGGTTCTACGGTATGTAGCCTTTTTAGATTGGCTTCTTTCTTTTAGTAATATGCATTTAAATTCCCTCCATGTTTTGTGTCTGTGTGTTACTAGAGATTGAACTCCGGGTCTTCACACTGAGCAGCATCCCCAGCCCTATTTATTTTTGTTTATTTATTTATTTGGAGGCAAGGTCTCACTGAGTCTGTGTTGTCCAGGCTGGGCTTACACTTCTGATCCCCCTGCCTCAGCCTCCGACTGCTGGAATTGCAGGTGTGTGCTACAACACTGGCTCCTCCATGTTGTTTCTGTGTTTTATTCTGTTTTGGTTTTTTTATGATAGTAGGAGTTGAACCCGGCCCCTCACCCTGAGCTACAACCCCACCCCTGTTTTTTTGAGGCAGAATGTTGGGACTTCAGGGATATATCACTTTACCTGGCTTCCTTCATGTCTTTTTTTTTTTTTTTGTACCGGGGATTGAACTCAGGATCCTGCGCTTGTAAGGCAGGTGGCAGCACCACAGAGCTAAATTCCTGGCCCACCTTCTTGTCTTTTGATGCCTCAAGAGTTCACTTCTTTTTAGCACTGAATAATATTCCATTGTCTTGATGGACACAGTGTGTTTATCCACTCACCTCCTGAAGGACATCTTGGTTGGCCCCAGGTTTTGAGTAAATTGTGTGAATAAAGCTGCCACAGGCATCTGAGTGCAAGTGTCTGTGGACACACGGTTCCAGCTCTGTTGGGTGAGCAGACGCTAAGAAGCACAACTGCTGGATCCTGTGGTAAGAGTGCGTGCAGTTTCTGAGGAGCAAGCGGCGGGCCCCTTCCCGTCCCCACCCCAGGGATGAGAGCTCCTGGTCACCTCTCCCGGCACCTGTGTGCGGTCCTGTGCATTTGGGCTGTTCTGACAGGCCAGCCAGGCACCGCACTGTTGTTCTAATTTGCATTTCTGCCATGACGCATGGAGTGCTTGAAAAAGGTGTTTATTTTCTGTCTGTACATCTACTTTGGTTAGGTGTCTTTTCACAGTGTTCGCCCATTTTGTAACTGGAGTGTCTTCTTATAGCTGATACTTAGGAGTCCTTTGTGTATTTAAGTAACGGCCTTTGCCAGCTCTGTCTTTTGTAGACGTTTTCTCCTGCCTGTGTCCTGTCCTCTTAGTTCCTTGGCAGTGTTTGTTGTGGATGGGTTATTGCACAGTGAAAGCACAGCTTCCTAGTTACCTGTGTTTGGGTCATGCCTTAGGCACTATCTCTAAAAGTCACCACCAAACACAAGGTCATCTAGATTTTCCCCTCCGCTTCTCCCATCCTCTGGGAGGCTCTGGTTCTGTCTGCGCTGATCCTGTGGTGCGTGAGAGCTGGTCTGAGCAGCAGCTTTACAGACAGAGCGGCGTCTGCTCTGCCACCCTGCATGTGGGTGTCCAGCTGACCCACACCTCTGCTTCTCCCATTGCAGCACCTTTGCTCTTTCGTCAGTTCAGCTGCCTATATTTATATGGTCTCCTTCTGGTATGGCCTGACTTTTTATCCTTTTAATCTGTCTTTAGTCAAGCAGAAGTTCTTAATTGTATTGTAGGTCATTTTTCTCTCATATGGTTACTGCTTTTGTGTTTTATTGAAGAAATTTCATCCTGCCCTCAAATCCTGAAGACATACCAAAAACCTTGTTGTGTCAGGCATGGTGTGCATGCCTTTGATCTGGGAGGCTGAGCCAGGAGAATTTACAAATCCAAACCTAGCCTGGGCAATTTAATAGTTAATGCTTTAGTGAGACCTTGTCTCAAAATAAAAATTTTTAAAAGGCTGGGGATGTAGCTCAGTGCAAAGCCCTGTGTTCAATCCATAGTACTGCAAAAACAAAACAAAACAAGGACGGGGGATTTAGCTCAGTGGTTCCTCTGCCTGCCTTGCAGGCTCGAGGTCCTGAGTTTGTTTGTTTGTTTGGTGCCGAGGATCGAACTCGGGGGTCTTGTTCAGCAGGCAGCAAAACCACTGAGCTAAATCCCCGGCCCAAGGTCCCAAGTTTGATCCTGGTACCAAAACAAAAAAACAAAAACAAAAAAAACCAAACAAGCAAAAACAAAAAAAAACTTCGTTGTTTTATCTTTCCTTTTAAATTTACAGTCTCCCTGGGATTGATTTTGGTGCTGGTATAAGGCAGAAGTAAGGTTCATTTTTTTGTTTTGTTTTGTAGGGACCAACAGAGCAAGTTCCTATGCTCTGGTCACCCCCTCGTCTGGCCTGTGAGGCAGGACACAAGGCAGGTGTATCACGTGCAGGTGGCAGTATGGGACAGTGGGAGCCAGGGATCCACTGTTTGCGGGTCCCCAAAGCTCAGGAAAGCTGCTCTGGCTGTGAAAAGCAGCAGGATGGGTCTCGTGCACCCCAGCTAAAGTGTCAGAGGTTATCCTTTTTTCCAGAGTCAGGAGGGAGCCCGCATCTCTCCTGCTTCTCTGCCTCAGGGTGCTGCACTCCCTGGTATCCCATGGCAATTCTTGGGAATCACAGTGAGACAGGCAGAGTGGGGTGAGCTCAAGGCCACCAGGAGACCTGTCCGACAATGTCCTGTTGACAGACCCTCCGTCAGAGGGGCCACACTGCTCACTGGGCTGCTGTATCCCCTTTGCCTCAAGGCATGGGGCCACCTCTGTTGTCCACTTCTCACAGAGGGCATTTCTGCTCAGTAAAGATCCAAGCCGAGAGGGGTTTTCTTCTGGCACAGACACATCATCCGCTCCTCTCCTGGTACCCAGATATTGGGAAAGAAGCTATGTGGCATCCTGGCCAGCGGTGCTGTCCACACCAGAGCAGACTGGGGCTGTGCCCTGCGTGCCCACATCCCACAGAACTGGAGATAACAGCCCCCATTCTTTGGAAGACTAAACTCCAGCAGACCAGGGCCTTCCTTGGCTTGTAGCACCGTGTCCCCCAAGAGGAAGAACTCTGTCTCCACACAAAGAACCAGGTCCTTGGGCCAACCCCTCCCAGGAGAGAGTGGTCAGAGCCATCCTGGTCGGCAGGGCCTGGGGCCTCGTCAAGAGAGCCCAGAGCACTGCCTTGGGGGCTCCACACTTCCCTGGCTGCCCTGCCTGGGGACCCCCCCCCCAATCTAAGCAGAGGGCCTAGAGCAGCAGCATTCACTTAGGGACAGGTGAAGCCCAGCCTGGGTTCGCTGTAGCCAGACAAGGCCTGGCTCCAGAGCCTCCTGGAGGGGAGAGGTGGAGAAGATGAATTGCCCACCTTGCACAGCTGTCCAGGCGGGGAGGTGCCAGCAAGACACTGCTCTGAAGCTGCTGACTGGAGCTCTCGCTCCAGTCTGCAGGCCAGGAGCGCTGTTCCTGTGGGACCTGGAGCCCTGAGCCCTGAGCCTCCTGGGTGGGGCTGCTTCTGCAGTTTAACTCAGAGCTTCGACAGCCACATTCCAGTGACCCTCCCAACAGTCAGGATACCCTTGTTCTGTTGTCTCTAAGAAACATGCTGCCAGTTAAACTGTGTTATAGTTGCTGGGAGCATGTTGTCCTAGCACCTGGGATACTAAGGCAAGAGGATTGCTTGAGCCTTCAAGTTCAGGGCCAGCTTGGGCAGCATAGTGAGACTTTGTGATCTCTTATTGCTTAACTCTTTTGTTTTGTTTTGTTTTGTTTTTGGTACCAGGGATCAAACTCGGGTCCTTGGGCTCACACAGCAGGCGGCAGAACCACTGAGCTACATCCCCAGCCCACTTATTGCTTAAGTCTTAATTCCATGCTATGGGAGAAGCTTGTTGAGAATGACTAGACCTTCCTGTGCCACATCAGGGAAAATAGACTGCCGAGGTCCTGTGGCTTTCCCGTACCCAGCACTGAGGTCCTGGTCCTCTGCCGCTGAGGTAACTGTACCCCTTGTCACTGCCATGTGATGGGGTGGTTCCACGAGAGCCAGCACCACTCTCTTCCTGGCTGTTGCCCTCACCGCTGCTGGCCTTTCCTGGAATCCTGGTGCCGGCTCTGGTTGCAGATGATAGAGTGCTAATGTGGGAGACCCCAGATGTAGGAAGAAGGCAGCCCCCAACTCTGGGTGTGGGGAGTTGTGCCACCTTGTTTCCCTGCCCTTTGCTGCCCCTGCCCCAGTGCACATGCGCACAAGGTCTTGCTGTCAGTGGGACAAAGCCAAGCTCAGACAGGCGGAGGGGTGGCAGCCCAGGCCTGCACTTCCCACAGCAGCCCCCTTTGGGGGAGCTGAGCGCCCTGGTCCCCTTGCCTGTCCTCAGAGGTGACTGGTGGCTGTGTTCTCAGGCCCCGTACTGCTGCTGACCAGTGACGACGTCAGACAGCGCCTTGGCTCTGCGGCTCTGGACAGGTGCGCTGGCTCCAGCCCCACTGGTCCCCATAGAAAGCAGCCTCCTCCTTGCTGGCCTAGGCACATCCTGTCCTCGGTGCCCATGCTGCTGTCCCTGCGCCCCTGTACCTGCACACCCCAGCTGTCCTGCGCCCAGCACACGTGTGGGCCCTGTTGGGCTGCCCTCCCATCCCTACCCCTCTCACTGCCCTACAGAGCACCCCCGCCCCGGGCCTGGCCACAGCTGTGCTGGGTTCACAGACTCGGGCCAGGGCTGGGATGGGGAAAGGAAGGTTGGGCGCTAGCTGTCCTCGCCCTCTGCCGCCTCTGCAGCACCCCCAGGTACCGACTGGCCAGCTGGCTGGGGCAGCAGGAGGACATCCACCGGATCATGCTCTGCCGGGCAGATGGCACGCTTACCCCTGGGAACCAGCGCTGCACGCGGCAGGCCCACTGCGTCCCCATCGTGGGCCTAGGTGAACAGGAGCCCACAGTGGGTGAGGTGAGGGGTGCCCTTCCCACAGCCCACTTGTCTTTTCTTCTGGATAAAACATTTTAAGAACGCAGAAGCGGCCCGGGCTCCTGCCTGTGTTCCCGCCTGTGTTAGAGGCGTCCACTGTGTTCTTCTCCAGCAGTTTTAGCACAAAGCCCAGGAGGGGCCCTGCCCGGGGACTGGGAGCCTCTGTCTGTCTCAGGCCGCACAGCGTGTGTGTGACACGTTCGAGGGCAGGTCTGAGGCTTGGTAGGAAGAGCGCCCTACTTTACCTCATCCTGGATTTTCTTTTTCCTCAGCATGTAGGACTGTGAGCTTTGTGCACATTGCTTCACTCCTCTTGTCGCTCGCCATCTGCCTCCCCCGTGCACTGCCCCACCGGCTCCTGCTGCCTCGGTTAGGGTACAAGGTCGGGTCACTGCAACAGGCCAGGTGCGGGGTGCCCTGAGGCTGCTGCCCTAGGGCGTGTTCATAGGCGAGGTCCAGGTGGCCTTCGAGTCCCCTCAGGCAGAGCCACAGGCCTCACACCTCCCCACGTTTGTGCTGTGAGTGGCACCTCTTCCCCCATTTCCTCCCTCCTCTGTTCCCTCCCCAAGCTTCTGCTTGATCTGTCTCATTCTGGGACAGCTAAAAATTCCTCCTTGTAATACTTGCTCCCATTTGACAGGAAGTGACCCTCCTGGTAAGGGTGAGAGACTACAGAACACATCGTGCAGAGGTCACAGTGAGTGTGCATGAGGCAGCATTGGGAACAGAAGAGATGTCCCTGTCCTTGCACCCAGCTCCTGTGTGGCCGTGCTGACTTCCTGGCACACAGCCTGGCAGGCCTGTGGTCAGAGCTTGGCTAGCTCCCAGACAGGCCATGCCACCACCCAGTCATTCACAGAAGCAGCAGCCACTCTCTGGCCCTGCCGGTGGCCCGTCTGTCCTGTGGGGCCAGCTGGCAGGCATCCCCCACACAACTCCGTCCAGCCCTGGGCCCTCAGTCTTGCCTGGTTCTGACAGCCCTGCTCCCCACAGCTGGAGTGGATGCTGCAGAGCACAGCTCTACGTGCCCAGAAGCAGCTGATCCTGCTGCACAGGGCCGAGGGCCCAGCACCAGTCCGAACTGTGGAGTGGCACAACATGTGGAGCTGGTGCTCAGGCCACCTGCACCTCTGCTGCCCGTGGCGCATCTTCCCCTGGAGGAGCTTGCCCAAGCTGGTATGCCTTGGGGGCCAGTGGGACCCCCAGCTCTTACCCGTCCTGTGCCTGCCATCCAGACGTCTTCCTCCTCCCCCTGACTGTGCAGCCCCCAGGCTGTGGGTGCTGTTTGGAAGGTGTCTCCACGCCTGAACTCTGGCTAGGAGTCCATGTTTGTCTGAGCTTGGCTTTGGGGCTCCTGGGCCGCCACATACATGATACTGTGCCCTGCATATAGGACGTATGGTGGAGGCCCAGCCCAGGCTGGCCGTATCCTGGGGACCAGGACAGCCAGCAGAGTAAAGCCAGAGCCTGGGCTGAAAGGCTCCCATTCAGTCAGGGGCCTGCAGAGCCGCAGTGGTCGGGTGGAAGCAATCAGGAGTCCGCGGGCACTGGGGCTCCTCCTCCACCAGGTGTGCCCAGCCCACTCAGGCCTTGCCGAGGATCCTGTGTCCCCCAAAAGCACTGTCTGCTAAGAGTCCAGTGGGGCTCTTCCCAGGCCAGCTAAGACAGCTCCTTGCCCTGGCCCCAGGGTCCCAAAAGGGCCGTGTCCTGGAGAGGACGCTGGCTGTGGGTTGAGTCTGGCTGGGTCCTCAAGCCCCTCCCGCTGCACTCTCAGATGGAGATGTATGAGCGGGTCCTTCCAGCGGCCCCCAGACCTGCACTCAGACCTCTCCCGCCTGGCGTGTGTGCTGACAGGCAACGCTGTCGCTTTGGTCCTTGGAGGAGGGGGAGCAAGGTGAGCCCACGAGTGCCGTGCTGGGCACCAGGAGGAGGGCGTCAGGCCACAGATGGAGGGCTCTCAGGTGGTCCTGCCAGCCTCTGCCAGCCCCGGAGAGTGCACAGCCAGAAGGTCAGGTCCCTGCTGCCGGCTCAGGGCCTTGTGCCTGGTGCTCATTGCTCTCGCCTAGCACAGTTTGCTTCCTGCAAGCTGAGCCGAACTGAGCCAAGCCAGCCGAACCGCTGTCTCCTCCTCTGAGCTCTCACCCTCTCCTTCGCCAGCGCCCCACTGTGCGCCTGGTGAGTCTCTTTCCGTTTTCACCTGTGTTCTGTGGGGTAAGGAGCTGCTCTGCCCTAGGTGAGCTAGCAAAAAACAGTCTTTAGTTCTTTGGGCTGTGGGCTCCTTAAAGGACTTTTTTTTTTTTTGAGTCAAGGTCTTGCTGTGTAGGTTACACTGGCTTTGAACTTAGTATATAGCCCTGGCTGGCCACAAACGTGCAGCAGTCCTCCTGCCTCAGCCTCACGAATGCTGAAATTATAGGTGTGCACCCCCACACCCGGCTGCCTTAAAGAACTTTTAACCCCAAGAATTCCTGCAGCCCAGCAAATGGCTTCCTTGGTGACACAGGTGTCGGGGCGGGGCGGCGGGGGGGGCCTACATCCGTGCTGGGGAGGGACAGCCATGGCTTCCTACTCTGATGGAAGATCTCAGAGGCAACCTGGCCAGGTAGGAAGGTCCTCCTAGCTGGCACCGTGACTGGGTCCTTTCACCCTGCCTGTGTCTTGAGTCCTGGCCCTGCCCAAGCTAGGGCTGAGGTGACAGCACTGTGTCACCACATCCTCGAGTCCCAGAATTTGAGGGACTTGAGACTCGCCTGTGCCTTGCCCTCACTTGAACACTGGCCTAAAGGTTGGGGTGGTCGTCAGGCCAGGGAGAGGCCCAGGTCCTTTCCATGGGTCTGGACAGCAGGCCCTTGCACTAGCTGGGCCCAGGCTTTGGGCCTGGCTTGTTTCAGCAACAGCAGGGGTTTTCGTCCAGGTGCACTTAGGAGCTCTGAGGAGTTGGCTGCAGCCCCTTGCATCCCTGAGCCCAGAGTCCCCGAAACAAGCACTGCAGCTCCCCTCCCTGCTTCCTCCCTCTGGTGCTAGAGGCAACCCAGGGCTTCCCACAGGCGGCAAATGTTCACTGCCGGCCACACCCTAACCCTCCTCTTCTCTTCTGTTTTTTCTCTCAATCTAGTTTTAAAATGTTTTCCTTTATCTTAGGTTTTCAATAATGCAGGAATAGTTTCCTTTTTTTAATATTTTACTTATTTGCTACCCATTTATTATTGGTCTTTCTACTTGAAATTTTTTTTTTTTGAGACAAGCTCCACGTTGGCCTTGAACTCACTGTGGGGCCCAGCCTGGCCTCAGACTCACAGCGATCACCCTGCCTCAGCCTCCCAAGTGCTGGGATTACAGGCGTATACCACCATGCCTGGCTCTGTATCTACTTTGGAAAAGAGTATTTTACGTATTCTATCCTTTTGATGCTTTTGGTCCAACAAGTATTTTTTCCTGACTTGTCATGTTTCATGATCTCTCTCTTCAGCTAATCTACTACTAAATTTATTCACTGAGTTCTTCATTCCAGTTGTTGCATTTTTCATTTCTAGAACCTTCACTTCCCGATTCTACTTTATCAAATAGAATCTTCTGATTTTTTGCCAAAATTATTAATCTTGTCTTTAATTCTTTGAACTTTTAAAGATATATTTAAGTATTTATCTTTTGTAATGATTTTGCATAGATTTTGTATTGTGTTAAAATACAGTTAACATAGAATTTACCATTTCAGCCATTTCTGAGTATATAATTAAGTATATTCACATTGCTGTGCAGCTATCAGCACTGTCCATTCCCAGTACACATTCATCCCAAACACACTCTGTGCCCGTTGAATAAACACCGACTCCCATTCCTCTCCACCGAACCCTGGTAATTACTATTTCAGTTTCCCTCTCCATGAATTTGCCTGTTGTAGGTGGGTGCCTCATGTGAGGAGAATCATGTATTTGTCAGTTGGTGTCCGACTTCTTCACTGAAAACACTCTTGTGCCCCAGGGTCCTCAGGGCCTCCTTCCCAGGGAGCTATGGGGTGCTCACCTGGACCTCCTTCCCTCTCAAGTTTCTTGAGGTGCTCACTAGGACCTCCTTGGGGGGTCGCTTTCTCTTTCCCGTCCCCAGCTGAACCTGTAAGCCTTGTGCTTCTCAACCTTGCTGCAGTCAGCAAAGGTTTGTAGGTTGAAGACACTGGGTGGGCTCTATGTGTGACCCCTTCTCCCCTCTTTCCCCGTCGCAGCTCCCAGAGAAGGACTGATTGATTGGTTTAATCTGTTTATCTATGTAGATAAACTAGGGCCCCTACACGAGCTAGGCAAGTGCTCAATCCCTGAGCTGCACTGCAGCCCAGCACAGATTTTAAATCACATGCACACTCCCTCTGTGAGCAGCATCTTTGCCTATCTGTGCTCCAGGTAGGAGTCAGGAACTGCAGAGGAGTGGTGGGCTGCGGTGGGGCAGAGCTCAGGGCGGGCCCTGGTGACACACTCACCTCTTCTCTGTGTCCTGGCTGGTGAACAGGCTGTGCCCAGGTGGCCATTCTCTGAGCCCTGGCAGAGTGTGGCATCCCTGTGGACATGGTCGGAGGCACATCCATTGGGGCCTTCATGGGTGCCCTGTATGCCAAGGAGCGGAACTACAGCCAGACGAGGATCCGAGCCAAGCAGTGGGCTGAGGTGAGCAGCAGCCTGCACCCTCTAAGGGCCTGGTCTCAAGGAGACAGACCTGCAGGTCTCAGAGTGGGGCCAGAGAAGGAAGCACGAAGAGGTCAAGGACATGGGCTCATGGTGGTCACCCAGTGACCACATGGGGAAGATAGCTGTCACCTGCAGTCCCTGGAAACAGGAAGTATGGCATGCCATGCAGGGTCCTGGGGCGGGGGGGACCAGGGCCAGTCAGGAGCAAGAGGAGTAAGTGGCAAAGCAAGGCAGGACAGCAGCACAAGACTAGCCCTGTGGGGCACTCAGCAAGCCTTGGGCACCTCAGGCAGAATTCTGGCTTGGTCTGAGTCCGATGAGGGAGCGGTGGTCCAGGCTCGAGCTGGGCTCAGGGTAGACGTAAACAGCTCTAGCCTCATCTTAAATGGGCTTGAGAACCTAAGCATCAGATGCAGGACAAAAAGGGCCAGAGCACTCCTGGCTCAAGCCTTTCAGCGAGCGGCTCCCAAGGATCGGGCAGAACCCAGTGGAGCCCTGTGTGGGATCAAGGGCACTTTGCTCTGCTTTTTAAAAGAATGGGAAATTGGTCATCCTCCACACGGGAGCTCTCAGATGTGCTCTTTGCTGCTACCATGCCTGTCACCAGGCCGCGAGGATGCTGCTGTGTGGCCCTCTCTACTCTAGAAATGGCTTCCCCACCCACCCCTCAGTATGGCCACCCAGGAAAGGGCTTGGGGTCACATCCTGTGTCCCAGTGATACAGGAACACTCACTAGGGTTGGCCTCTGAGCAGAGGCCACAGGGGTCAGTGTCCAGCAGGCAGGGAACAGCGTATCAAGGGTCCATCCCCAGGCTGGGGAGGCTATGGGAGGTCCTCTGAGGGTCTGGTGCTGAGGACAGGGGTACCAATGGTCAGGGTGACTTAGGTTCCTCCTGCCTTTAGGAGGGTGTGCTGGGCTGTGGGACCTGCCAGGGTGGCAGCCAGCACTGAGGTGGCAATGGCTCTCTGGAGCCAGGCAGAGGTTTCCTGGGGGGTGGACTGGGCCCTAGGCAGAGTCCAGGACATCCTGGCTCATGCTCCCTGGTTGGTCTGCAGGGAGAGTGTCACTCCTTGAGGCCACATGGCGGCTGCACGTCCAGTGGGGCTCTAGGCTTGTCCCTCCTCACCACTGAGCTGGGCCACCCCGCCCCCCAGGAGCAGTAAGGGCCTTTTCTTTCCATGTCTGACCCGAGAAGTCACAGGCCGGCCTTGAGACTGGCCATGCTCAGGTGGGACTAGTCACACATCCTTGATCATAGGTGCTTCCTGCCCCTTCCCACGAGAGCCACTGAGAAAGTGGGTGTGGGAAAGAGCCCTGTGCACTAGAGCCCTAGGCAGCATCACCATGGTATGTGTCTGGTCACCTCCCAGAGTCCCTGCTCTCTGGAGAGGTGACCGGGGGCTCCCTGGCGATTATGCCTGGACTCTGAAGATCTTGGCCAGTGAGGTGTGGTCCTTGGGTTCTTCCAGCTGCTGACACCCCCTCCCCCTACAGTGATAGCCCTGCCTGCTCCTCCTGCTTCAGTCTGGAGGCCTGGGCACAGGGGTGTGGTCGAGGCTGCCCCAGGGCAGCGAGAGACCAAGGGCACCGTTGGCCTTCATGTCCGCTCTGAGGCCCAGGCCCATGGCAGGCACCCTCTGTGGATGTCAGAGACCTAGGACATTGCTAGACACCTGTGTCCTGCTACTGGGAGTACACACATGTGCCATGTCCTCACCAGATAGGCTCTCCGACTGGGTTGAGCTCCTCTGCAGAGTCTCCTGTGTCCCCAGGACATGACATCGATGGTGAAGGCCATGCTGGACCTGACCTACCCAATCACATCTATGTTCTCGGGAGCTGGCTTCAACAGCAGCATCTGCAACATCTTCAGAGACCAGCACATTGAGGTGAGAACCCACAGCCATGCTTGGCTGGTGTGAGGTGCCCAGGAGCCCTCAGTGTAAGGGGGAGGTCCTCTGAGACCTGCCTTCCCCACAGGACCTGTGGCTCCCCTATTTTGCCATCACTACCGACATCACAGCCTCTGCCATGCGGGTCCACATGGACGGTGAGCACTCCTCCAGCCCTGGGAACCCAAGGCCAGTCCTTCGGGTCCATAGAGCCAGGGGTGTGGCAGGAGCGTGGCAGGAGAGCGGGTGCTTTTGCAGGGGCACCAGGGGTCTCAGGAAGGAGGCAAGCACTATGGGTAGGTCTCCAAGGGAGGCAGGGGAGGCCCCTTCATGAGCACCCAGGTGGAGCAGGACAGTCAGGAGCAAGAATATTCAGGTGGACAAAAGGGCCCCGTGGGGGAACAGAGGGAGGGACACTTCCTTTGGGGCAAGTGCCCTCAGGGACTAGGGTCCCAGCAGTGGTCTGTCACTGGCCTAGTGCCCTCCTTGGAAGTGGGACCTATACATTCTTGGGCCAACCTGTGGTCTAAGACAAGAAGCTGTGGCAGGTGGCAAAGTGCTCCTCTCTGGGCCCTCTGCCACCAGACCCTTTTGACCACCAGGCTCTCTGTGGAGGTACGTGCGTGCCAGCATGTCCCTGTCAGGCTATATGCCCCCTCTCTGTGACCCCAAGGATGGACACCTGTTAATGGATGGGGGCTACATCAACAACCTCCCAGGTGCAGTAAGGGCTGGGGGAGCTGGGATGGGGGCAGTGGTCCTCGGGCACTCCACTGCACGGCTGCCTGCCATGGCTGCCTCCACACCAGGAAGGCTGGGGTGGCACACGTTTTCCTTGGAGTGTACCAAGGGAGAATGTCAGGCTGGCATCAGTTAGGAACACACACACACACACTGTGTGTGCACCAAGTGTGCCTGGCATATGGCTGTCCCTGGTAGCACAGCGGTGTGCAGAGCAAAGGCCAAGCAGACAAACCAGAGCACTTAGTTCCCATCTGTGCCCACAGTCGGGGACTAACAGCCTGCAGGCATCACATGTGTTGCTACCTGTTTGATGTGTGCTCATCAGGACCCACACCTCCCGCCTCCACTGGCCCTTGGGGCACAGTGAGGCAGGGTCTGGGGTTCCACCCTAGCATTTCCTCCATGCTCGCTGGTCCAGGGGTGACCAAGGCTGCCTCCTCCCTAGCGGATGTGGCCAGATCCCTGGGGGCAAAGGTGGTGATCGCCATTGATGTGGGCAGCCGGGCCAAGATGGACCTCACCACCTAGGGCGATACACTGTCCTGGTGGTGGCTGCTGTGGAAATGCTCGAATCCCTTGCCTACGAAAGGGAAGGGAGGAGTGGTGGCAGGTGGCCAGGGCTCCCCCTGTGGCTCCTGCTGCAGCCCCCATGCCCTCTGTCTTGCGGAGGCCAGCAGGTCCCTCCGTGTCCCTCCCCTGGCCCTGGGACCAGCCCTGGGGCAAGGAGGGACAAAGGAGGCACTCAGAACTTAACCCCAGCCTGTGCTGCACCTGGGCCAGGAGGTACAGGCGTGAGGCTGGGCCAGGAAACTTGGACGTGTCTCAGCAGGTGTTGAACATGGCTGAGATTCAGACCTGCCTGGCCTACGTGTGCTGCATCCGGCAGCTGGAAGTGGTGAAGAACAGTGACTACTGTGAGTACTTGCGGCCCTCTATCGACAACTACTGTACCCTGGACTTCGGCAAGTTCAACGAGATCTGCGTGAGTGCCAGCCCCAGGTGTGGGGGCAGAGGAGCCCCGAGCTTCCTCCTGACAGCACTGGGTGGGTGGGGGCTCCTATGCCTCCTCATGGGCCTGCTGTGTGCACAGGAAGTGGGTTACCAGCATGGGCGGACTGTGTTCGACATCTGTGTTCGGAGTGGCATTGTGGAGAAGGTGCTGCAGGACCAGCAGGGGACGAGCAAGCAGAAGGCCAGCACGGTGAGGGGGTGGGCATCTCCCTACAGCTCCAGGGCTGGGCTGGCAGTGACCTGTGGATCCCAGTCTACTCTCTGAGGCAGCCCACGTGGGCTGAGTGTTAAGCAGCACTATGCACTCCAGGTCCTGCCCTGCCCCGCCCCGCCCCAATGCCTCCTCCACGGGCCTTGCTGAGATGGTGTCACTCATCGAGCCTGCCAAGGCAACTGTAGTGGAGGGTGAGTCGGGCACCCAGGAGATAGCACCCCCCCCCAGTCACTCACACTGGGACTCCACTGGCCAGGAAGCTCAGCCCACGTGACCCCACGGCAACGGGACGGGCTCCCCAGGCCAGCCAGGCCTCTCCCTCGTCCACCCCATCCCCAGTCGTGCCCCATACCTGAGTGGACCCTGAAGGAGAAGGCAGTGAGGACCATCGGCTCTCCCCACAAGGGGCAGCCTGTCCGCATCGGGCCACATGTGCTGGCCAGGCACTGCAGCTCTGCTCTTGAAGGCGAAGTCTGGTCTGGGGCTGCCCCGCTGAGAGCAGGCCAGGAGGGTCTGCTTGCTCTGTGTCTTTGCGGAGGACCCTCCGGTGGACAGGGCCAGCTGTGATTGGGGCCCATGCTGCCCGGGGCAGGGTTCTGTGGCCGTGCTCTGCCTGAGTTTCCACAGTTACTCATGGACGCGGCTTTCTGTGTTGCTCCAGATGAATCTGACTACCAGACTGAGTGTGAGGAAGAGCTGCCAGATGTCCCCAAGTACGCGTATGCTGACTTCCAGAGTACCCAGGTTGAGCGTGGCTCAGACTCGGTGAGCTGTGAGGCTGCCCTCAGGCTCCAGGCCTGCGGTCAGGGCCTCCTCATCTGCACTTTGCTGACAGGAGGATGACCTCTCGCTGCAGCATGGGCACCCCGGCCGGCCGTCCTCGGAACCAACCCAGAACTCCTTGTCCTCCGGGCTCCCTGACCGAGACACGCAGAAGCCTTTGCTCCGAGGTCTCCCAGAATCTCTCATCCCCGCAGCAGGCAGGGTGCTGAGCAGAGGCTCTGCCTGCTCCTGAGGGCCCCTTTCCTGGGGCTTCTGCCATCTCTTCTAGGGCCCTTCGAGCTTCTGGGAGGCCTGGCTGGCTCTCTGCACTGGCACCGCAGGTCCCCCTGAAGCCTCTGTGAGGTGCAGGAGCCCCGGCTGGATGTTAATAAAGGCAAATCTGATTGTGAACATGTCTGTCTCTTGGTCAGAGCAACACCAAAGTGAACCTGACGACTGTAGGTCCCTGGGGGACATGTGTCATCTGTCCTCCCAGGGAGGCAGCTCCAGCCATGGGAGGCAGAGTGCTCAGGGCCCCGATAGGACCGGGGATCCCTAAAGCAGAGGGAGCCCCTGGGGCCCACAGGGCTTGTTGGAACACGTGACAGTCTCCCAGGTGGGGGTCTCCCACCGGCTTACAAGGCCTAGTCCCAACTCCGCGGCCCTGGAGGCACCGCACACACCCTACGTCACGGGGCAGGGCCGGCGCAGGCCACGCCCCTAGCGTGACGCACGGCGGAGCCACGGCCCCGGGCGGCCAAGCTCACCCGGGCGGCGGACGCGCGGAGCGCCCGGAGCGGCCATGCGGGGTCTGAGCGAGAGCGGGACTCCGACCGCGAGCCTGAGCGCTACCCGCGGCGTGGCGCGGCTCCCCCGGCGGAGGCGGCGGGCGCGGGGCGCGCTCTGAGGCTGGGGGATGCGCGGCCGCGGCCATGGGTGCCGCGGCCTCCAGGAGGAGGGCGCTGAGAAGCGAGGCCGTGTCCTCGGTGGCGGCCAAAGTGCGGTGAGCGCGGCGGGTTGGGGCGCGGGGCGCGGGGCGCGGGGCGGGGTCTTGCCCGGGCCGACCTTGCCTCTGTCACCCTGCAGCGCAGCCCGAGCGTTTGGAGAGTACCTGTCCCAGAGTCACCCTGAGAACCGCAACGGGGCAGGTAGGCAGCGCATCGCGCGCCTGGGGTCTCGACTCTGCTCCTCGTAGCCCCTGCCCTAGCCTGGCCCAGGCCCTGGAGGAGCTCCGATCACTCATCACCATGACACCCACCCAGCCTGGGCCGTTGGCATGGCAACAGGCCGCCTGGCACCCCCGGGGCTGGCACTACTGTCTCCGGGGGCCAGCTGGCAGGGGGGAGGGGAGGAGTTGGCACCAGGCACACGGTGTGACTGCAGAGGGGCTGTTTGTTCCTGCTCCCCAGAAGCATGCACTGGTAGCAAGACCTGTCACCCCACCCCGTGCACACGCAAGGGCTTCAGACCCAGATGGGAGGGCAGGGAGGCTGGGAAACACCTTTCCTAGAGACCTGGTTCCAGCAGCCTGAGCCCCACATCAGGCTCAGTGCCCGTGGGGGCTCCTGCCCACAGTGCGCCTGGAGACAGGCACCACAGGCTGGCAGGCTGTGGGCTCACCTGGTGTCTCTCCCCAGACCACCTGCTGGCTGACGCCTACTCTGGCCACGACGGGTCTCCCGAGATGCAGCCAGCCCCTCAGAACAAGCGCCGCCTGTCCCTCGTCTCCAATGGCCACTACGAGGGCAGCCTCTCAGACGAGGCTGTCAGCGGGAAGCCAGCTGCTGAGGGCCCTCAGCCCCGTGTGTACACCATCTCAGGGGAGCCGGCCCTGCTGCCTGGCCCCGAGGCTGAGGCCATTGAGCTGGCAGTGGTGAAGGGGCAGCGGCAGCGGGAGCGGCACCCTCACCACCACAGCCAGCCCCTCCGAGCCAGCCCAGGCAGCAGCCGTGAGGACATCAGCAGGCCCTGCCAGAGCTGGGGAGGCAGCCGCCAGGGCTCCAAAGAATGTCCTGCGTGTGCCCAGCTAGCCCCTGGGCCCTCCCCGCGGGCCTTTGGGCTGGACCAGCCACCGCTGCCGGAGGCCTCTGGCCGCCGCAAGAAGCTAGAGAGGATGTACAGCGTCGATCGAGTGTCAGGTGAGGGTCTTGGGGCCAGGGGCAGGTCTGGGTGGCGCGCTGGAGCCAGACAGCCACAAGCACTGTGAGGCTGGGAATGGGTGGAGGGTGTGTGCGGCAGGCAGACTCAGAGGAACCTCACAGGCTCCTGTGACCAACCCTCCACTCCCCAAGCTGAGGCCTCCCTCACCTCAGCAGAGCTCGGCTACATTTGGCTTGGCCCTCCCAGCACTGGGTTCCTGAAAGAAGCACTTACCTTAGGAGGGGGCCCGGGAGGATCTTCAGGCATGAGCTAGCAAAATGCACGGCTCCATTGGAAGAAGGGGCTGTCTGCAGGAAGTCCTGAGGAGCTGCCTGGGGCCTGGGATGTCGGCCTCCAAGGCGGGCTGTGTCTAAGCTGCGGTGCCCTATAGAGACGCGCCTTCCTGGAAGCTTCTAGTAGCTCTTTGCCTGGGCTCTGGGCAGGGTTCTAGGGGCCCTGGGAAGGGGTGGGCCCTCAGCAAGGTGCTGTCCACCGTGGGTGCTGGCCTCTACCTCTTCGTCCTGGAGGGATCTGAAAAGAAGGTCTAGTCAGGCATCAGAGAAGGCCCGAGACCATATGCACAAAGAAGGTGGAATGGGCCATTTCCCTGGCCGCCTCTGGGAGTAGACTGTCTTCACAGATGCTCCTCAAATTCTGGGAAGCCAAAGGGAGTTAAGAAGAGGAAGGACCAAAGCCTCAAGTCACAGGGTGTCTGAGCGTGCAGAGCCGAGTGGAGCCCTTGTGGGGACTCCAGGCACCCTGCTGTCCTGACTCTGTGGCTCTGGCCAGTCCCTTTCTAATGGGACAGGTCAGATTCCAGGCGCTGATCCACACCAGCCCTGGTTCCTTCTCTCTCCCAGATGACGTTCCCATCCGCACGTGGTTCCCCAAGGAGAACCTGTTCAGCTTCCATACAGCAACCACAACTATGCAAGCGTGAGTCCCACAAGGGCCTGGTGCCCAGGAGACACTGGTGAACCTTTGCTGGACTCCGGGCCAGCTTGGGAACAGTCACTGGTGTCCCACGGTGCCAGGTCCCCAGCAAGCCTGCTAAGCCTGAGACCCCGGGGGCTGTCACTTCCATAGCTCCTGTCTGGCCTGACCTCTCTGACCCTTTTTTTCCTCTCCTCCCTCTCAGCCCCCCACTCACCCCCAGACCCTGTGGTCTGTCCTCATGTCCTCAGGGACATGACTCAGGCCTACAGCTGGTACCATCATCACAGGGTGTGTGAGGGGTGCCCTTCTTGTTCTGTGTGACACAGTGGTTTTAACAGAGGGGTTTCCTGGGGGTCTGTGTCTGTTTCCCCTTCCAAGGAGGTGCCAGAGCAGCCCCCCGCCCCATCCGAAGACTGCTGTCCCTCTGCAGAACTGGCCCAGGCCAGCTGACTGGGATCAGCACCTGGGCATGGGCCCAGTTCCTCAGCTACTGCTGCTTGGCTGGCATCCTGCTGGCATCTGGTGTGAGGGACCCTGCTAGGCAGTGACAGGAGGGGGACTTACTTCAGGGGCCCTGGGGGCTGAGGGAAGCCTGGGTCTGGGCTCACTGTGTCTTCTCTCTCATGCTGCCCCTTTCTGCTGTGGCTTCAGCATCTCGTAAGTACCTGTGCAGCTTGTGCCTGAGGGCACAGCTGAATCCTTGGGGCGACCCTACCACCCCCAAGTAGGTGTGTGCAGGCCAGGGAACTGGGCCTGGATGGAGTGCTCAGCCTGTGGGCACTGAGGCCACAGTAGGGTGTGCTGGGAGCGGGGCCTTGGATGCCCTGCCGGGCCTTCTGTTTGTGCCTCTGTCCCCTCGTCTGTGTCCCTCCTGCCTCTGGCCAAGGGCAGTGCTGACTTGCCACGGTTTCCCAGGGTGTTCAGGGGCTACGCGGAGAGGAAGCGCCGGAAACGGGAGAATGATTCCGCGTCCGTAATCCAGAGGTAGGGCCTGCCAGCCACTCGCCACCAGGGTCTGTCTCTGGTCTGTACTGGCCTGGCCTGGGCCCTCCTGGCCCTGCAGACCTGACGGGGAAAGGGCGGTGGCGACCACTGGCCTGGCCCTGCTCTGGGGACGTGGCAGGCACGAGATGCCGTGTGTCCTGGGCTCCTCTCAGCCCCAGAAGCTGCACTCTGAGGGTTCGTGGACAGTTGCGCTGCTGCCAGCTGGCTCCCCATGTCTGTCTGGGCCTGGAGCTCAGAGCTCTGGGGCTGTAGCGAGGCCTCGCCTCCCCTGCTCCTACCAGCGTGCCCAGGAAGCTTGTCTGTCCATCTCAGACAGTGGGCCTTGGCACAAGGTTTGGGGAAGCGAGGACCTGCTTCCCAGGAGGGGTGGGCGCCTGTGGTTGGTCCAGCCTGCAGGTGGTACAGACAAGATCGCCCTGGCTGCTGTGCAGAAGGTGGCCCTTGGTCCCCTGAGAAGGGTGGCTGCAGGGTTCAGGGTGGGGTGGGCCCAGGGACAGGATGTTAGGGTCAGCAGAGGGCGTGCCTGTGCACAGCCTGTGAGGACCACCCAGAGGAAGGAGGATTGCCTGGGAGGCGGGTGCCCTTGTTCTGGGTCAAAGCAGAGGCGTGGGAGGGTCCTGAGGGAGGAGGCTGAGGGGGATTTGCCTGTGGGTGGGCACTGGGAGGGCACAGGGCCTCCGGGAGGGAGCTGAAAGCAGAGCCCTGACGAGGTCAGGGCCGGGTGGGCAGGGGCTGCCGCCCAAGACCCCATCGCCCAATGCTTCCTCCCCTAGGAACTTCCGCAAGCACCTGCGCATGGTTGGCAGTCGGCGGGTAAAGGCCCAGAGTAAGACCCCGGGGCGGGGGGGGGGCAGCTCTGTGCTTGGCCGAGGCGGTGCTTGCTGGGAAGACTGAGGTCCCAGGCCCCCCTCCAGCCCGGCACCCCCAGGGTTCAGCCCAGGCCCCGCCCCTGCAGGCCTCACCCCCAGCCCTGTCTTCAGCCCCGCCCAGGCCCTGGCCTCTCCCTGGAGCTGCACACCCCTCACATACACACAGCCTCCCCAGGCCTGCCCAGTGGTGTCCTTGGGCCAGGTCCCCACTGCCTCTGGCTCCTGTCCCTGCGCCCAGCTGGCCACTGGTTGTCGTCTGTTGTTGTGACCAGCTCCCACCCACTAGGCTTTCAGCCCTTCCGACAACCCCACCTCCTGCAGCCCCGCCAGGCCTGCTCCCTGGACCGCCCCATCTGATGGGGTTGTGCTCTCCCTGCAGCGTTCGCTGAGCGGCGGGAGCGGAGCTTCAGCCGGTCCTGGAGCGACCCCACCCCCATGAAAGCCGACACTTCCCATGACTCCCGAGACAGTAGGTGTCCGGGTGGGCCGTCAGCCCCTCCCCAGAGTCCTGAGGCCCCAGGTCTGGCCAGGGACCCAGCACTGCTCGGCTTCTGCGCTTGTGCCCCTGAGCCTCAGAACCGCCTGTGGGACGGGTGCCCACCGCGCTGACCTTGCAGGCAGGGTAACTGGGGGCTGCATCACCCGGGGCAGGGTCCTGCGGGGCTGTGCTTGCTGCCCTCGGAGCCTGGCACCCGCCCGGCCAAGCCTGACTCCTGCGTGCGGCTCGCCTCCTCCAACTGCGTGTCCCCTCTTCCCCATCGGTGCTGGCAGCTTTGTCCTTCACCTCACACAACCCTCCTACCACCCCCAAGACCCTCCAGGACGCGGCTTGCGGGCTCTGTGGGCAGCGAGGCCGCTGTCTCGGTGACCCCTTCTGCCTCCCAGGCAGTGACCTTCAGAGCTCACACTGCACCCTGGACGAGGCCTGTGAAGACCTGGACTGGGAAACGGAGAAGGGCCTGGAGGCCATGGCCTGCAACACGGAGGGCTTCCTGCCGCCCAAGGTTATGGTGAGGCCCTCCTGGGCGCGCTGAGCCTTTGCTGGGCTCCCCTCGTGCTCCGCAGGCTGCCGGGGATAGGGGCTGAGGGCTGTTGGCCTCTGCCTTCCACTGCCTGGGGACCAGGGCCTCTGCTCTCAGCTCCCTTGGGGTTTGGGAGGACATCCAGGCTGCACCGTGGGTTGTGGAGGGAGGCAGCCTCCCAGGGTGCTCCTCCGCTGTGGGATGGGTCTGGGCAGTCGCCGAGCAGCTCTCTTGTCTCTGCAGCTCATCTCCTCCAAGGTGCCCAAAGCCGAGTACATCCCCACCATCATCCGCAGGGACGACCCCTCCATCATCCCCATCCTCTATGTGAGCGTCCTGCCTGGTGGTCCCTGCTCCCCTGGGCCCCAGTCACCGCCCCCCCGGTGCCCAGAGGTTCTGTGGGGTTTGCAGGGGCTCTGATACATGGCCCACCTGTCCCTAGGACCACGAGCACGCAACCTTCGAGGACATCCTGGGTATGTGTCCTGCTGGCCTGATGTCTGATTGCTGGCTGGGGGGAGGGGGCCGCACTGGCTGGCGCAGTGCTCATACCTCCTGTCCACAGAGGAGATAGAGAAGAAGCTGAACGTGTATCACAAAGGGGCCAAGATCTGGAAGATGCTGATATTCTGTCAGGTGGGGCCCAGCCCTCGCTTCCCACCAGGGAGGCACCAGTGTGGTGGGGAAGGCGGCCGGGGTCATGCCTCACGAGTGTGTGCGTGTGCGCGCGTGCGTGCGTGCGTGCGTGCGTGTGTGTGTGTGTGTGTGTCTGGTGTATGGTCTGTGTGCGTGCGTGCATCCGTCCTGGGTGTGCGTGGGTGGTGCCTGTATGCCTACTGGTTGATGTGGGGGCAGGTGCAGGACACCTCCCTCTGGCCCCTGGAGGCCTAACCCACAGCCTCTTGCAGGGAGGCCCTGGACACCTCTATCTGCTCAAGAACAAGGTGGCCACCTTTGCCAAAGTGGAGAAGGAGGAGGACCTGATCCAGTGAGAGGGCGGGTGTCCTGGGCTGGGGAGGCTCAAGGCAGTCCCGGGGCCTGGGCTAAGGCCCCTGGGCCCTCCCCCACCAGCTTCTGGAAGCGCTTGAGCCGCCTGATGAGCAAGGTGAACCCAGAGCCGAATGTCATCCATGTCATGGGCTGCTACATCCTGGGGAACCCCAATGGGGAGAAGGTACGGCCCAGGCCAGCAGGGGGTGCTTCCCGTCCTTCCCACCTTGGGTCTTCCGGGCCTGTGCCGCAGCTCACAGCTTGCCCCCTCTTGCAGCTGTTCCAGAACCTCAGGAACCTCATGGCTCCCTGCAGGGTCACCTTCGAGTCCCCCCTGGAGCTGTCTGCCCAAGGTGAGAGTCCCGCCACCAGCCACAGGCGTGGTGGTCCCGCCCAGCCCTGAGCCCACCCTGCTCTCCTGCACAGGGAAGCACATGATCGAGACCTACTTCGACTTCCGGCTCTACCGCCTGTGGAAGAGCCGCCAGCACTCGAAGCTGCTGGACCTCGATGAGGTCCTGTGAGGGCCCGGGCCACGACAGCCACCTCCAGGCCACGGCCGCTGCACCCAGGACACGTGGCCCTGGTCTTGCCCAGAGCTCTTCAGGGGCCCCAGGGGTCACTCAGGTTCTCATGGGGTCCGGTCCTCACTGCGCCCATGGCCCCACGGCTGCAGTCCCGGGCCGGCAGACACTCAGCGGCTGGGGCACCAACCTGCCAAGCCTCGCCTGGAGGCTGCAGTGTTGAAATCCCCTCCTTGGGGTTCATAGAAATAAGTGCAATTTCTTATGCCCCTGAAACAATCTGAAGGGAAGCAGCATTACTAGTTAACTAGTCTAGCACTATGCTACTAGTTACGGCATAGATTACCCGGCCCAGTCCAGTGTGTGTCCAGGTCCTCTTAGCCCAGCCTCTCAGCCCTGCCGTATTTGATCACCAGCACCAGGGTGGCCCGTCTGTTAGCTCCCCCCCGCCCCGACACCCTGCTCACTGACCTCGGCCAGCGCTAGGCCTGGCAAGGGGCAGCTGGCAGCAGGAGGCGGTACGGGCTAGGGTCACGCCCATTGCCCTGAGCCCAGCAGCTCTCGCTTTTGCTGGCCTTGGTTGGAGGTCTCCTCCCCACACAGAGGACGGGCTGGGCTGGGCCCTGGAGGTTGAGAACCGTGCGGGATGCTACCAGCCCCAGCACTCCAGGCCTGAGGCCAAGGAGCTGGTGGTGGCAGGGGTCCCCGACTCCACTCTCCTCCGCCGTGCCCGGGGCCCACAGGTGGGCGCTCTTGTACATAGCTGGGGCTTGGGGGCAGGCCCCCCTTTTGCAGAGCCCAGGGCCAAGAGCACCTGCCTGTGTCCCTGGCCAGAGATGGGGCTGGGCTCTAAACAATGTACGATACCCCTAGAGTGACCATTAAACCTGATCCTCTGCTGCGGCTACGTGTGGTCTCTGTCAGTGCCCACCATGTGCCCACTGGCCTGAGGTCACTGCTACGACAGCTTCCTGCTCACCCTGGTCTGGCAGGGTGGGGCCCCCTGACTCCGCCTCACGGCCACATGACATGGTGGGGCATGGGGCCCCCGGCACAGGTCTGCCGTCAGTGTCGGGAGATGGAGAGTCCCACGGGGCTGGGGAGCATGTCCCAGGAAAGGGCCAAGTGCAGAGACTGTGCCCTCTAGCCACCTGTGCCCCTCCCTAGGCACCGAGCAAGGCTGCCTGCACCCTCAGGCACCCTGTGCCTCTGCTCAGCAGGAAGCCAAGGAGTATCCCCAGGACTGGCTGGCCATGGCCGGTGTCCAGGCCACAGCCACTGGTTGGGGAGGGGGTGGTAGCCACCTCTGCAGGCCTAAGGCCAGCTGTGGGGTGGTGGGGTGCATCCAGGGGAGGGAACAGTCTGATGCCAGTGAGTATGTAAGCCTCTGGAAGTTAGGTGAAATGTCAAATGTCCATGTGCTTCCGCTTATTTGGTTGCCTGTGCTCTTAAAGTGACTTAGGGAACCACTGTGATTCAGCTGTCTCTCCTGTGCCCAACCCTGGAGCACACAGTGCCCTGCCCCTGGGCCTCCTGGGCACCCTGCAGGCTCAGGCTGGGGAGCCTGGGCTGCTTTAGCAGGTGCTTCTGCCCCACACAGTCCTGGGGTTGCTGAGCAGGCTGGAGTCTGATGTGTGGCTTTCAAGGTTTCATTCCCACAGCCACCAAGGAGCAACGCTTGAGTAAAAGTCAGAAGGCGGGGAGCCGCGAGGGCGGAACCCAGCGATCCTGGGGCACGAGGCAGGCAGGGTGCAGGCGAGGCGGAGCGGGTGGGTGCCCTGGCTGTCCCCCACTTCTTACACCTAAAGAACAATTGGGACAGAAACATTTGTAACACACGCAAGAGCTTAGGGATTAATCTATTACTACTGACTTTAATATGTAAAGTTTATAGGCAATAAGAGGAAGACAGTAGCAGTAGGGAAGATGGGCAAGACAGGATGAGACAGGCGGGAACTGGGTGCCAGCAAAGGTGAGAGAAGGCTGAACTCCATGAGTGCTGAGGAGAGTGGCCAGGTGTCCTTCCTGCCCATGGTCGGACCCTTCAAGGACGGGGACACTGGTGCTGGTGGCATCTTCTGCATCTCCCACAGTGAAGCTCACAGTGTCCATTGTCCTGGAGGTGGCCACTGCCTGCCACAGTGTTGTCCCCGTGAGCACACGGCAGGTCCTGGAGCAGCATCCTTGGGAAAGAGAGTTGTTCAGGTGGCTCCCACTCAGGAGGAAGCCTGGTCCAGCAGCTAGAGGCCCAGACACCACCTGCTGGAAGCAATAATAAGTGGCCTCCTGCCCATCTGCTTCGTGCACTCTCCCTCCTGAGGAGGCCTTGGGACACAGGGCAGAGGCTGCCCTCGCTGATCACCCTGCCCACTCTGCCTCATGCTCCTGGGTGCAAAGGCCCTGAGCTGCCCATGTAGGCTTTCCACGTGGCTCCAGACAGACACCCTGGGCACCCCTTGCCGGCCACACGCCCAGCAGAGCATCCTCCATAAGGGGCACTGAGGCAGACCAAGGTGTGGTGCCAGTCCTGGAAGATGAAGAAAAGCCCCATGGGAGAGCAAATGATGGTGGACAGTGGAGGGAGCAGTGGCACTCATATCCCTGCTGTGTGTGGTGCTTCTGCAGGTGACCACGTGGCCCAGGAGGACCTGCTGACAGGTGGGTCAGCTCCTCTGTCACCCCTATGTCCACCACCACCTCTACCTCCTGACTTGAAGGCTGGGAAGGGAGTCAGAAGCTGTGGGGCTGGAAAATACCAGAAAACTACCCACAGAATTGTGAGCCCTTGCTTCAGCATGGGCGTGTGTGTGTGTGTGTGTGTGTGTGTGTCAGTGGAGTTGATTTGGCCCCCTCAGACCCAGCACTCTGGGGTCTGCACCAGCCAAACCAGATGGTGCCCCAAACAGTTGGAGAAGGAAACTGACCTTAAGTCCACTGCCTACCAAGGCTAAGACCAGCAGTCTCCGTGTGGTGGATGAAAGACCCAGAGTCTCAAAGAAAGATTCAAAACATTGCAAATCAGGATCGCTCAGCATCTTGACCAGCCATGTTCAGGAACCCAGTGCAGGAGGACAAGGTGTGAAATTATCCAACAAGTGCTCTAAAGCAGCTGTACAGAAATGCTCAATGGAGCCATGTTGAGCACTTAAATATTAGACTAGAAAGTACCTGAAAAGAAATCGAGGATATAGAGCCACCTGGAAATTTTAGAAATGAAAACATGATCACCATCATTGAAAAGGCAGACAAAAATGACAGGCTCACCAGACTCAACAGCAAGTGGAGGTGCAGAAGGGGAGGCCCACAGCTTGAGCTGGCCAATGGGAAAATCTCGCAAGAAGGAATGAAGATGGGAAAGAGAAGGAGAATAGCCTCTGGAGCCCGGGGTCGGTAGGGTGTGTGAAGAGTGTGTCATTGGAACTCCAGAAGCGGGGGAGAGGCGATGCTGAGAAAAGTCTTTGAAGAACAGAAGAAGGAAGCAGCCCAGCTCCAGTGAAGGATGAGCCCAGGAATGCGGGAAGGTTAGCAGCCTAAACAGGGCACACTCAAGGAGATGACACAAGGCGTCCGCATCCAAACAGCCGAGGACCAAGGACACAGGCACAGCGTGCTGTGCACAGCTGCAAGTCAGCGCAGAGGGACAGCAGCTCGAGCAGTGGGCCCTGCACTCAGGTCCTGTCGCAGGGCGAGTCCCGCTGCACTGCTCTCCTGGAGCAGCAGACGCAGCCTTCTCCCTCGGGCTCATGTGGTTGTCGTTTGTGTTCCAAGCCTCATCCTGGAAGGGCCCAGTGCAAGGCTACTCTGTCCCTAAGGCTGTCCTTCAACTTCAGATACCAGCCACAGCCCCATCCTCTGGCCAACAGGCATAAGCCTGGGTGCCCACACCCCCACTCAGGTTTGATTAATTTGCTAAAGCTGCCCGTGGAACTCGGGCAGAACTGCATTTACCAGCGATCAAAGGATACAGAGGAGAGATGCACAGACGCATGGCATGGGCTACCACACCCTCCTGGGACCCCACAAGTTCAGCCATCCTGAAGCTTGCTGAACCTTGTCCTTTTGGGTTTCATGGGAAAACTCTAGTTTCTAGGGCCTGCCTGGGAAAGGAGGTAAGAGCTAGGAGCCACAGCTGAACACATGTATAATGCCCTAGGCTGCCCTGCTTTTCAGATTTAGATACCGCACATCAGAAGGACACAGCTCAAAAGACTGCAGCAGTTCCGGAGTCCAGCTCTGGCGCTGGCGATGAGTCACCTCCATCGTCATGGAATGAATGTGTCTCTTGGGGCACGGCTGCACGAGTTTGCAGGGTACATGGAATCTTGCTGGGATGCAAAGGAAAGAGCAATCTCAGCAGACAGCCTCACGCTGCCTGGCACTGGTGTCACAGAACGAGGGACAGTGCCATCTGCACTCTGGGTCTCCTCCCTCCCCCTTGGCTCTGCTGCTGCTGCTCTGCTTATGTGTGGCAGGGACGGCAGTGGCCGCTTTGTGGGGCTGAGGCAGGCCACAGGGCCAGCCAGCAGGAGCCTCCCTACGTCCCGTGCTGGACAGCAAGGCAGCAGCCGAGGGCCAACTTCCATGAACCCTGATGTGGCTGGGAGAGAGGGTGCAGCTGCAGCACCCTGCTCAGGAGTCCTCCCCACTTCCTGCACCCAAGTGGGAGTCCTGCATGCTGGTGGCCCTGTGTCAGGCAGGCGGGAGAGAGAAAGGGCATCCTCCTTGTCACAGGGCTCTCTCTGCCTTTGGGAGACCAAGGAGGCTGGCAGGACCTTCTCAGCTCCCTGGAGGGTGTGCTTCCCCGTGATGCCAGGTCTCCTCTTAGACAACAGCCTCTCCGCTGCTGCCACCACTTCTCCACCTGCCACTCAGGGAGACGCCCGCCCTCACAGGTGCTGGAAGAAGCAACCCTCAGGGCCCAGACCCCTGCACTGTCTCCCTCACCAACCCAGAGTAAGGTCTGCTCTTGCTAGGACCCATGGCAGTGTCACAGCTGGCTGAGTCCCCTCAGCCCAGGTCTCTGCCCATGTGAGGTTCTGGCTGCGTCCACCTCTGCACTGCTGAGGGCCCCACAGCACTCGCTGGGGAGCCAGGCAGCCACAAGAAGTGACAGCACCTGGAGGCTCTTCTGATGGCATCAACGGTTCCTGTCAGCAGCCCAACCCCAGGGGCTCTGAGTGTCCCCAGCAGGCAGACCGTGCCTAGGCCCAGCATCAGGGGCCTCTGCTCAGGTCGGTGCTACCTGGGGCTGGGCATCTTCTCCTCTGGGCAGACTGGCTCCAGGCTCTGGTTCTTGGCTCTCGGAATGGCAGCTCCAGCTGGGTTAACAGAAAGCCAGGGCTGGGTGCCCTCCAAGGGCAGTGGAACCCACAGGTGCCTGTGCAGTGGGAACACTTCTGGGCAGAGTCCCTGGCCACAGCACCCTATGTGAGCCACATCCAATTTGCTTCTGGGCAGTGCCACCCCATGAGAGTGTCTCCTGGCATTACCCACAACGTCGTGGTGCTTCAGGCTTCCAGATTATTCCATGAAGCCAGGCATGTCTGGCAGGAGAATCACTTGAGCGCAAGAGTTCAAGACCAGCGTGGGCAGCACAGTGAGACCTGATAGAAAAAATAAACATTTCATGCTTTGAGGCTTTCTCAGTTAATGTCCCAGGGCAGGCAGCTCCAGTCTGTAGTCCACTGGTTCTCTCTCTCTCTTTTTTTCTTTTTTTTTTTTTTTTCCGGTACTGGGGATCAAACTCGGGACTCTGTGCTTTCAAGGCAGGTGGCCAAACCCCTGAGTTAAATCCCTGGCCCCTAGTCCACTGCTTCTCACTGGGAGGTGCACACAGGCCCACTGACAGCCCGCCAGGGCTCGGAGGACAGTCCACGATGGGCTCTGCCACCTCACCTGCGCCCACCTGCAAGTCCAATATAAGTAACACTGATGGAAGGGTGGGCTTACACGTCTTCCATTCTGTGTTTTGGCTGTTTTTGTTTGCTTTTTGTCTTTACAGTGCTGGGGATGAACCCAGGACCTTGCACATGCCAGGCAAGTGCTCACCACCCAGTCCAGCTGCCTTCCACTTCTCAGGACCAGGTGGGGAAACAGCCCGTTCAAATACGATGTCGGTCCCTGCAGTTACACTCAGGGAAAGTTACAGGGCTACAATGCAGGAGGTATGTCCCAGGACACCACCTCTCCTGCTGTCACCAAGGAAAACCCCAGAGAAACCTCTGGCTTCACTTGGTCTTTGCTGACTTGCAGATCACTGATTTTGGAGGTCGTCCAACTGCGCCATACAGCAGCCTCCCACTCAGTGTGCTGTGGTGCCGATGCCGGTTGCCTAGGTTACTTTTCAGGGACCCGAGGCCACTCGTGCAGAAGACACTGCCTCCTCCCTTCTGCCTGTGGATGTCTGAGGGGTGACGGGAAGGACGACCCGCCCTCACGCTGGGTCCATCTCCTTTGCTCCTTAACCGCTGGGCTGGCTTCTGCTCAGCTCTGCAGGTGGATACGCTGCTCACTAGAAACATTTTGTCCAGGTCCTGATCCAGGGTCACCTTGACCTGGACTGGTCTGCCTCTCCCCCCTGCTAGGGTAAGGACCCCCGTCTCTGGCATGCCGGAAATACTGACCCCAAGTGGGGCAGGGCGGCGCCTGTGTTCCTGGAAGGCCCCTGCCTGCTCCCAGAAAAGCCCCGGATGTTCCTCCCCTTCCTTAGCCCCTCTCACTGGCATCATTTCTTCCCGCGTCTGTAGCCCCTCAACCCCTTGGAGCTGGGAAGTTGATTTGCGAGCAAAGCTGCTTTTCCGCTCCTTGGCCTTGACTAGGTCTTTCTCTCTCAACACTCATCTCTCTGACTTTGGCTTTTTGCAGGATAAACTTGTGGACTGGGCTCAGGAACACTGCATGTTTTTGTCCACTGCCTGACTGTGGCTTCGTTGGGACCCTCCCCATTAAAGTCCATTTATTCACCCCATTTCTTAGTGACCATCTAGGTATTTCCACTCTGCTAGGGCGACCCCTGTGGCTCACCTCTTTCTTTTGCTGAGTTTTACGCCATTTCTTCATATCCATCTTCCTACATTCTCCACCTTCCTGGAGCAGCTGTGATGGTCCTCAGCTCATCTATGGGCCCAGGGAGGCCAGGACAGCCAACACGAGAGGCTTCTCAAACTCTGCTCGGGTTGTGCAGTAGTCAGGTCAGACAACCCCATGTCAAGCACTCCCTCGACCACAGCACTGGCTGTGAACTGGGCTGTGGGGGACTGAGACTCCTGAGGCCGAGGGATCTCTGGATAGAGGGCTCAGGATCCTGTTCAGATGCTGGTCAGAGAGGGCCCGGCCTGGGTGAGCTCCTCAACTCCAGGCAGCCTGTGAAGAGCTGCAGAGAGACACCCAAAGTAGCAGGCCGGAGCCTTTCTGCAGTGAATCTGGGGAGGAAGGCCCAAGGTGCTCACACGGAGCCTCCCCTGCTGGGGGCGGAAGGGCTGGTGCGAGGGACCTGCTTGTAGCTTCTGTGGGGGCTGGGATCGAAGTCCACAGGCCAAGTTTCCAGCAAGGAGCTGTGCCCAGCTCCACCCAGCTGGAACCCTACCAACTTCCCTTTGCTCCTCCCCCTTCACACCCGAGCCTTGTGTTACATTTAGGGTGTCTGAGATTGTCCCCTTTGGTGCCTTTATTGATGCACAGCATGGCAGCTGCCACCTGGGTACCACACTTGGCATCTGTGGGTGGTGGCCCACATCCCCTTCTGAGTGAGCAGCCCTTTCAGTGCCTTCTGTCCAGGCTGCCTGGCTGGCTGCTCTCTGGGCTGTGGTCAGCCACCGGGGCTGCTCACAGGGTTGTGGGTCCTACATGGCCCCAAACACGCTCTTTGATCAGTCTGCCCTAGTCAGCCTTTGCAGCTACCCCGCTTGGTGCCGTGTTTGCCCTTCACCCACCCCGACTGCCTTCTTGGTGACCAGAGTGTCACCAGAAAGCCAGGTCCTGATGCACCAAGGAAGCAGCTCCTCACATTTTTGGTCTTCGTGCCCTTGGTGAAAGAGTTCACTCAAGACCCCTGGGTGGTCGACAGAAGCGCAGGTAGAATTTGGGGTAAGAAAACAGAGAGCGCGCCACGCCTTTGAGGGGCTGGTGAGCAGTGCCACGAAAGCATCGGCACCCAGAGCGAGCTTAGTGGCCTTTTTACACTCACAGAGTTACCCCTGGGGTTTAGGAAGCCGGGGTAGTTATGCTGGTTGTGGACGTTTTGCTTAGAAATTACTTTGGAATTGCAAACCATCTCCCTGTCCTTTCTAGATGGTCAGTGTTTCCTCCAGGCTTAGGTCATGTGAGGAACGTATGGAAGAAACCTGGGAAGACAGTGAAGCCCTTCATTGAGCTGGGCCCAGCCCGGGCACCAGGGTCCTTAGGGAGCATCTCCCTTCCTGAGGTGTGGCGTGGGCCGTGGGCCGTGGCACCCAGGAGTTCCGGGAGCCTCACTCTGGACCTAGGGGGCCGGGGGCCCAGGTGTGGAAGGACTGCACACGCGGGCGACCCCAACGCCACTGCGCTCTGGGGCTGGCGGTCTGAGACCTCACAGGCGAGGCTGGCTGGATCGGATGTGGATGTCTTTGTTTCCTTACTTAACTGGAAACACTATTTTGGGCCCCCACACACACACAAAGGTCTTTACTGTCTGTGTAATTTGCTTCCTGCAGTTTCTCTCTAGGGGACCTCTAGGAGAAGGGCAGAACTCAGACAGCCAGACACTGCGGTCCTGAGGTGGGACAAGAGGAATAAAGGTAGGTAGACAGTATAACAAGTGGCATAGAGGGTGGGACCACCCGAGAGGCCAGTGAAAGCAAAGAGGCACAGACATCATTTGCCTGGGCAGAGGTGGGCGGACGGCAGGCCAGAGGCCACCAGCCCCAAACAGAGATAAGCCAGGAAGCTTTATGGGGCACTGGAAGAGAGGTCTGCCACGTCTGTCACGTGTAGGTTGGGGTCCATGCAGTGACTGAGGCAGGCATGTTTTCAGGTGACTTACGTGGCAATGAAAAGATGCTGTACTTCATAGCTGTTATCCTGTGTTCTGTCTGCTCTGAGATGGCCTGGCTTTGGCCGGGGACAGCACCTGCCCTAGCTGCCTGTTTTGCTGTGGTTTTTATATCTTGTCAAACTGTAGCTCAGAATCAAAGAGCATGTTCATTAACCATCTCATGAGCAGATCAAGCCTGACAGAGAGGAGACAAGGAAAACTGGGATTTTAAAATTGTACTTTTGTGCCCAGTTACTGGGCTTGAACCCACTTTAATTTTTTTCTCTTCTCTCAAGATACAACAAGCTTGGGCAACTCTCTTTCACCTGCAAATTGGCTCTTTTCGCCTGTGAATGGCACTTATCCTCAAGGAAGCAGCACTGTAGTGGACAGTGGCTCTCAACTTCAAACCCAGGTAAATGTTTCCCGATACAGCCGCCCGACGGTGACCTGGCAGACAGGAGCGCGCATCCCAGATTGCCCATCTGAGGACACCCATGCCCACACGTGTGCCTAGTGCCGATCCCAAGGCTCCTCTCTTTTTGAGGGCCCATACTCTATTTCTTTGAGTGAGTACTTTTAATTTGTGCCTATTATATCTCTGTGTGTCTTACTGACTGACGCATCCTGAGAGTTCAGGAGTCCAGCTAACCTGGAACTTGGTTCTATGAGCACAGGAGTCTAGGTGCATCATCTTGCAGGGGACCTTCTCAGACCCTGTCTGACCAGACCACAGGTTTCTGTGAGCTAGGGCCACTCCACACCCCCGTTCCCTGACGCCAGTCTGAGGAAGCAGGAGGAAAATGTCCTATGAGCTCACAGCACAGCCAACCCCGTGTCTCCCTGCTGGCAGACACCAGCCTGGCGTTCCCTCCCCAGTTCCATTCTGACACTGCCTCCTGGGCCCAGTCTCTACCACTGCACCCCAGGAACCAGCCAAAGTCCCCCTTTGTCTTGCCTGTGCTTCTCACCCACCAAGTATAAACCCCATGCCCCTCAGGTTTGCTAACTGGCTGTAGCGGCTCACAGGAGTCAGGAAAACACCTGCATTTACTGGTTTCTGACAAAGGATGTAAATGAAGGTGGCTAGGGTACCATGTAGGGGAGAGGAGCCCTACCCTGGCTGGTGCCTCCTCCGGGACTCCGTATGGTACCCTCCCCAGACACTCTGAGCCCTGTGACCCAGGCCCGACTGAACCAGGCCTGGTGCTGAGAGGGCAGATCCCACAGCGGGCAGGAGCTGATGCTGGTCGACTGCTGGAGACAGAGGAAGCCGAATCCTCAGGTTCTGCTTGGCCTCTCTGAACAGTGTTCCCTCCCCAAGAACAGCCAGGACCCCTCCTGAAGTGGAGTCTTGTGACCTTCTCGAGGTAGGTAGAGAATTGCGCAGGCCCAGTTCTTACCCAGAGGAGCGGGAACACGTGCGAAGCTGTTTCACTGTCTCCACGGTGTGGGGATGTGTTGAGGAGCTCAGCTTTACCTCACTGCGCACTCTGGATTTCACCTGGTAACCACGAGCAGACAGTCAGGCACTTTTATTCCCAGTCTTAATTACAGATACCCACAGCATTGAGCTACACGTCTCACGTCAGGCCATGACAAGCAGTTGTGGGAAACAGTTAGTAGCAGCTGTAGGACTTGAGGAGGCAGACCTGGGCAAAGACAGAAAGCCCATGGAGGGGTACAAAGTCACCACAGGTGGCCAGGTAGGATGACAGCTGATGGAGTCCGCCGTCACTTGTCGAACAGCACCTGAATGGGGGAGTGAGGATGAGGAAAAAGAAAGACACAGAAATAGAGTCGGGAGGGCTCCCAGAGAGACCGAGAGTGCCCGTTTATTTTTCTCCTTCCCTTTATAGCACAGGTGAGCTTGGTCATTAATCATGACCCTTATCCAAAGACACCTGCTTCCTTGTTCTCTAGCTCTTTGGAAATTCCCCACCTTCGTGGGCTTTCTTGTTTCTCAGGGTTACAGAACGTTCATCATGTTTCCAGGACAATTTCTAAAGGTAAACATCTAAGTTGGCAAGGACGGGGTTCCTCATAACATAGACTCCTAGCTCTGTACAATGGAGGGTAAGATTTAACATGGAGCCTCTATGGCTAACACCGCTCTCCACAGACAGCCTAGGCCAAACTCACTCCAGGCATGGCTTGTTGAGGGCAGAGTTGGTGCCAAGCCCGAGTCTGAGGCAGGAGTTGAGTGGGCCACATTGAGCAGGAAGGTGGAGTGCGCTGACCCTGGGGTCAGAAAGCCAGAGTTTGTCACCTGTTGAGCTCCTGACTCGCTCACCAGGTGGTCTGAGTAGACGACAGGTCGGCGGGTCACTGCCACTCCCCAGTGTCGTGCGCCCCTCATTTTAACAGGCCGGGAGAGGATTGGCTCTGTTGTTGGTCTGTCTGTCCAGTGAGCTCTGGCCTGGTATTCTCTGGCCTGACTCAGACACTGCGTCAGGTGTCCATGCCCCCCCTGTGACGTATAGTTCACAAGGGTGATTCTTTTTTTTAATTATTATTATTTGGTTGGGGGGAGGGTACTGGGAATTGAACTCGGGACCTTGAGCTTTCGAGGGAGGCCGGCAGCGGCACCACTGAGCTAAATCCCTGGCCCAACAGGGGTGATTCTTAACAGGGTCGATTTATTTATCATTTGTGTCCTTATGATTGTGTTGTGCAGCTGGGGAGCAACTTCAGATTCGTTGCTAAGTTTGTGGTTATTTATTTACACAGACAAGTTACCAAACCATCTACTTCAGCACTTGTACTCAAAATGGACCAAACTTCTGGGCTCTTTGTAGTTTGTTTTGTGGTACTGGAGATGGAAACGAGGCGCTTCACACTGACCTACACCCCCAACCCATCTTTATTTTTTAGTTTGGGACAGGGTCTCACTAAGTTGCCAGTTGTCCAGGCTGCACTCGAATGTGCAGTCCTCCTGTTTCAGCCTCCCAGAGTGCTGGGATTACAGGTGTGAGTCACCATGCCCAGGGCAAACTGCTGTTTTGGCAAATGGAGCCACTCAGAGCAAGGCCTTGCCTGCTGTACACAGGAAGACCCACTCTGGGGACCAGGACTTCTAGTTGCAAGGCCTGCCTTGGGGAGGGAGTTCTGCCAGGAGCCATGGACAAGGCAACATCGAGGGAAACAAAATCAGGCTCCTGCCACCCTTTGCCCACAGCAGTTTACCTAATCAGTGTGAAACCTCATTTTGTGCGTCTGCGTATTTGAAGTCACCTTCTTTAATATATGTATATTTTGATTTATTAACATTAAACTCACAACCAACCACACTATAACTCACATACGGAAGCCATCCTGCTCAGGTATTTTCTGCAACATTTTGTGCTTAGGACACCAGAGAGCACATCAGGATATACCTGTGGCATTTTCAACAGCGAAACTGTCCCAGGACAGAGTCCAAGGAGGCTCCCCAAAGCAGAAATGGGGAACCTTGACTACTCCACCCACAGGGCAGGTTGAAGGTTGGCTGACTCCTACCAAAGAAAAAGAATTTTCAAGACACGTGAGTGAGATGCATAATAGAGGTTTATTGGGCAGAAATGAAAAGGGACATGTGTCCAGTGAGAATAGAGTGCAGGCCTCAAGAGAGGCATCTGTGGTCTGGAGTAGGGGTTTTGTGTGGACTTGGGGGTCCTCAAGATGGGTATCCAGGCTGTGCATCCTTAATGTCTGTCTGGTTGTCCACCTGGAAGCTGCTAGAATGCAAACCACTCATCTTTGTGCAAAGCTGAGATCTGCCGCTCCCTTTCTGCAGGAGGAAGTGTAATTTTCAGGGGAAGCATGAGCCCAGGCCTACTGTGTCTTGAAGACATGGAGGACATTTTTTTGAGTGAGTTTCCTAGAAGAGAAAAAGGCTTGAGTGACTTTTGTGTCAAGAGCCGCAATTTTCCTTAAAAGTATAATTTTTAAATTATGATTTTCCATGTCTCCTTTCTATGTACCTTTATTTCTTCCTACTTCCCCCTGAGGCTTTGGTCCCTTATTCCTGAGGGTTACAGGGTCCAGTGGTCTCTTCTTACAGCTGCTTTAGGCTAAGAGTGGGCATTGGTCTTGCCCAGCCAGGGACTGAATTCTCACCCTGACTGATGTAAAGGAGACAAGAAACATCCGGTTCTGTTGTGTGAAGACTGTTATCCTTTGATGATCAGTTGTTTTGGAAAATCAGGACATCAGCAAGTCACTGAAGCCTAAGGCAGAGTCTGTGTTGCACTAATTTCTGAACGTTGGTCTTCAGAAGACAGACACATCTGCAGTTGTCAGGAGTGAGTGCAATGTTTGCTCTAATAATAGCACAGGTGAGCGTAGCTTGGCTCAGAGCGGTAGAGTCTAGAAGATATAAATACAGCACGTTAAATGGGCAGGAGCCGAAAATTAAAAGTAGAACTGAAATGGAAAAACGAAAGACAGAGCAGAGACTGACAGTCTTACAGCTCACCAGAGACTGAGGTCTCAAGGCTGCCGGTCTAAGGCTTGGCCCTCCTGCTAAACCCACCAAGGTCGCCCGAAGATGAACTGCTGAGACACAGCTGCCCGCCTCCCTATGTCTTAAAGACAAACCATGAAAGCAACATTACCTCCACCTCCCCACCCTTTGCTAAGTTCTGCTTCTGTAAAATCCTGCTTCCTCCCCTGCCTTGGCTAAAGGGGACTTCCTCTGGGCCCGCTAGCCAGCGAGGAACCCTGGCTTCCCTGCCGTTATCTGAGAGCTGCGCTCTCCCTTGGTCGGCCTGCCTCCGACTGCCACCTCAGAGCAATGCAGGCACCAGCCTACAAGCTCAAACCTGACCAAGGGGTGACGAGGATGAAAAAGAGACACAGGAACAGGTTAAAATACGGAGGACGGGGGCTCGTGTCTCCCTCTGGGATGGAGCCCCAAGTGACTGGCACACCTCAGCTTTATTCACTCAGACTCGGGCACAAGCAGTGAGGGTTCACAGGGTTCATCTGTCTCCCACTCTCCACGGATCGTGTCGGGGTGAATAACAGGATCTCAGATCTTTTTCTTTTTCCCTGCAGATGTCAGCACACTTGCATGGCCTCTTTCTTCTTAGTCCTCACTGAGGAGGCCAGTTAGGCCTCGGTCCACCTATCTGGTCTCTGACAGAATAATGGCGAATACTGGTCCTCAAAATGATAGATGTAAGATAAAAGGAGGCCATAGTTGGCATGAGTTTTTATCTTTAATGTTAACCCCTGTTTGTCCTGAGGTGTTTATCCAAGTATGAAAAGGGAATTTCTAGGCAGACAGATATATTTCTAACAAAAATAACTAAATGAGACAGCTATGAGCTAACTGCTATTAAGCGACTATGTGTTAACTAGGTCACTGTGCTCTTTGTGGAATGCACCTGAGTATCATGACAACTTCTGTAATCTGTGACCACAGGAACGTAACGGACTCAGAGAGTCCTGCCAGGACTCTGCCCTGGCTCCCCCTCCGCTGCTCTGCTTTGTGTAAACTCGGCTTGCTGTCTTCCCAGGGAAACGCCAGTGGAAATAAGCCTCATAGATGTAAAAAATGTCAAATAACTAACCAACCAAAGACGGCCAAATACTCTGCTTCTGCTTCTGCACCTCCTGGTTGCGACCCCATAAAACTGCCGGCCGGCCGATATTCTGGGCCTGACTTCTTTGGGATCCATCCCAGGCAGGTCTTTCCACATAGTAAGAGTTGTAGACAGCCTCCTGCCTCCCTGGGTGTCTTCCTTTCCTGGGTTCAGGTTACTACAACAGCATAGCAGATAGAGTTTAAGAGCCCACAGACTCCTCCTTGTTGTGGCAATAGGAAATCTAATCTTTTAAAATTTTAATTATAATGGCCAAGTGATAATCTAAATAAAGATATCTGTGATTTTATGTAAACTCTTACTGAAGGGCTCAGCACCTCCGCCTTTCCTTTGTAGACCTGAAGATCTTGATAGTGACTGTCTTCAAGATAACACAAACCTACAAAGCCCAAAGTAAACAACAGAAAGTGAGTTTATGCCCCCAAAGTAACACTATACAGAGGCTACAATATTTATATTGGCGTTTCTCTCCATAGGTGACCTGTACAGGAAGTTAGATCTTCACCCGAGGGATGCTGGCATGTACATCCAAGTGTCACAGTGGGGATACCCTGCGGCAGGCAGAAGGACAGGTGGAAGCCTGGTGGGACAGGAAGCTGCCCACAAGGGCTGGAGGCGCCCAGAGCCTGGCAGTAACAGCAGGTGCGGAGTTTGGAGCCTCTTTCTCTTTGGTTAGACTCTTCTGCTGGGTGTTTCGGACTGAGTCAGAATAAGACCTGTGAGGTACAGTTTTTTTTTGAGGTCAGTTAAGGCTCCTCAGGTGACCCCTTGGGGAGGGGCCTCTCTGCTCTTATCATTATTCCCTTCGCCAGTGTCGTCTGCCCCGTGAGTCTCGGTCTTGCTTGGCCATATGGCTTCCTTTGGAAGCATGGGGACGTTTTCCCCAGTGAGCTTCCTCTTTGGGGGTCTCTGGGGTCCCTCGCTGGAGTTGCAAGGTGTAGTTACTTCCTGGTCATGACATGAAAAGCACTGTACGTCAAGGAACAAGTGGAGTTCACTAAAATGTTTGAATCTGCCCTGGGGGTGCACTATTGAGACAATGAAAAGACAAGCCATGACCTGGAGAAAAGATTCTAAAGTTGCATAGCCCACAAAGGACCAGTGTCTAGACTATGTAAGGAACCCTTTAACCCTAACACTGAACAATCTGATTAAGACTTAGGCGAAAGAAGACATATTACCAAAGGGCTAAGACAAACATCTGCAGAGGTGTGGAGCACCCGGGGCTGGCGGTGTCACCCTCGAGCTTTGGGAGGCTGAGGCAAGGAGGTCGCGAGTTTGAGCCCAGCCTGGGCAACTTGGCAATTTAGAGAGACCCATCCCAAATAAAAACAAAACTTGGAAAATAAGTTAAAAAAAAAAAAGAAAAAGGAACTGGGGATGTAACTCAGTGTGAAGGCCCTGGGTTCAATCCCCAGTATGGGGAGGGGTGACGCGTGCCTGCACCAGAGATTTCACATCACTGATCCTTTGGGAAACGCAATTTAAATCCCCAGTGAGGCCACATGGTCAGGTGGGCTGAACACAAACTGACAGCGCATCGCCAGGGTGCCATGGATTGGGTCCTGCTGGTAGAAGGCGGTGGGCCAAGTTTCAGCTGGCTGAAGCCTCAGCCCCTCATTACCCTCCCACGTGCACCCCCAGGTAGGGGCCATCCCAGCAGCCTCCCCAAGAAGGCTCACAGCAGCCCTGCTGGGAAGGGCTTCTGTCCACAGTGGGCACAGGCACTGAGGAAGGAGCCCCAGGAACCTCTGCAGCCAGCCAGAGGCCAGCGACTGAGCGTGGACAGGCCAGCAGGGGCGCCAGACTCCCGGGAGGTGGCACACACGGACTGCGCTTGGGGAGAAGGAAGATACTTTATCTCATGATTGAAAAACAACCAAGCCAGGGCTGAGGGAAATGGCCCTCCTGAGTCCTCCCCGCCCCAGCAGTGGCCAGCCCTGTGCGTCTTGCCTCCTGGTCATGGTCACCTGACTGCCCTGGACAGGCCTCACAGAAGGGCAGAGGGCAAGGTCCAAGCTGCAGGGCCCGGGCTCCCCCACACCTACCTGTCCACATCCCCAGGGCAGTCCTGAGGTCACCGCGAGGACCCTGCCTGCTTTCCTCCCCTCCCAGGGTGCCGGGGGCCAGGGGTCAGCACCGTGGGTGACACAGGCAGAGGGAACCCTGCTGGCAGCCCCCAACCTCTGTCCCCAGAGCTGCAGACTTGGGCCAATGTGCCTGCCTCCTCTGCCCCAGGTCCTGGTGGGTGGAGACTGAGGAGGACACAGCAGCCCCAGCCCTGCGTGGTCAGCTGACAGGTGAGTGTGCCCGGAGAGTGGCCTGGCTTGGGACTCTCCGGTCCCAGGACGATGACAATCCTGCTGTAGGGATACTACTTCTGCTCCAGGTGCTCATCCCGAGCCTGGGGATCAGCTCTGTGCTCTTCCCACCTTCCTGGGGCTGAGACTGCAGGGTCTTCGCTGGCTCCGTCTTGGGGGTCACTGTGTCCCTGTGCTTCCTGTGCCACTTCTCCTGAGGGGGCTTGAGTGCTGGGCAGGTCACCTGTCCCCCTGCCCCTGCCTTCCCTCCCTCGAATGGGCTCGGTCACCACGTGCCTGGTGGGGACACAGCCAGGCCCCTGCCTGCCCTTGCCTCGGTGACACATATGGGGGTGTTTGCATTCTTGGGGGGACAAGCAGCAGGATAAAAGTCTCGGGTCTCAGCATGCTGGGCTCGGAGCATTTCTGGCTGGGCTGTCCTAGGCTGCAGTGTCCAGCGGGCAGCTGGTTCCAGGTGCAGGGCTGGTGAGCAGCCCCTCTGTGCAGCAGGCCGGAGCGGTTGGGGGCGAGCCCTGAGGTGGGCAGGAGTGGGTGCCCAGGCCCAGGAATGGCAGGCAGTCCACCCAGTCAGCTGCCCCGGGGCCTCTGGGGCCAATGGGAAAGTCTCCAATTCAGGGTGGAGACTTTCAAGGCTGGATTTTCAAAAAGAAACAGAGGTCTTTGTTAAGAGGCCCAGCAGGAGCACCGCCCAGCAGCACCCCCACGCTGCTAGGCCTGGCTGAGGCTCCCAGAGAACCGGCCCTGGGCGAGGCTGGGTGGGGCCTGAGTTCAGTCTTGGGGGCAGAGGAGGCCTGGGGGAGGGGAGCGGGCCGCCCTGTAGCACAAGGTGGGGCCCTGTCCCTCCTGTGGGTCCCTCGGGCACCACAGCCCTGATGATGGCTTTGGAAAGGGCTGTCCCTGTGGGCCACCCTCAGACCAGACCCATGGCAGGGCCAAATGTAACTGGGCGGCTAGGCAGGAGTCTTGGTGCCTATGGCTGTCCCCGCTCACCCACAGGCACCTGCGCCTGCCATGGGGCTGTCCTGCAAGGAGCGGATCTTCATGGTGCTGCTGGGGGTGGCCACGGCCTCAGGTCTCACTGTGCTTGTCCTTCTCCTGGTAGAGGCAACCAGCGTCCTGCTTCCTGCAGAAACCAAGGTGCACCCTGGACTGCCGGGGGGGGGGCAGGGCAACTGGCCACAGGACCCCCACTGACCCAGTGTCCCCCCAGTTCGGGATCGTGCTCGACGCTGGCTCCTCCCACACATCCCTCTTTGTATACCAGTGGCCATCGGACAAGGAGAAGGACACAGGCGTGGTTAGCCAGGCCCTGGCCTGCCAGGTGGAAGGTCAGCGGGCAGCTCCCGGGCGGGCCTGGCGGGATAGGCGCCCGGTAAGAGGCCAGGTGGTGTTCCGGGTGGCACGGCTGCAGTACCGGGCTGGGCTCGACCTGGGCCCACCTTACGGGACCCTCACCGCCCCCCCCACCGCCGCATCTCCCTGACCCTCGCTACCCACCTGGGGAACTGCGGGGCACCGATGGCCAAGACCACAGCTCCACGGCGGGCCCGGGACAGGGCCTGAGGACACTGCACAGGCACAGGCCCGCCAGGGAGTCCAAGCCCATCCCAGGTCCTCAGTGACACAAACGAGGCCGTAGCCGTGGGTCACCAGCCTCGGTGTGTTCGCACCAGGAGCCGCCATCCGACCCCAGCTCTGGCCTGGGCCTTATCCTGGGCGCCATTGCAGGGCCTGGGATCTCCTCCTACGCCTTGAACCCCGTGCGGGCGGGCGAGAGCCTGAAGGACTGCCTGGAGGAGGCGCTGGCGCTGGTGCCACGGGGCCAGCACCAGGAGACGCCCACCTTCCTGGGGGCCACTGCCGGCATGAGGCTGCTCAGGTGAGGGCCAGAGTTGGGGTCCCAATGCCCAGAGCGGGGCCAGCAGGGCTGAGCCCGCTTCCCACCAGCTCGGCTCCCGTCCCCTGCCAGACAGAAGAACAGCTCCCAGGCAGGCGACATCCTCGAGGCTGTGTCCCAGGTCCTAGGCCGCTCGCCCCTGGATTTCCGGGGTGCTGAGGTGCTGGCTGGGCAGGACGAAGGTGCCTTCGGCTGGATCACGGTCAACTACCTCCTGGGAAGGCTGGTCCAGGTGCGTGGGGCCGAGGGCGGCAGACAGGGCAGGCAGGCCCCTGGCTGAGCACCTGTCTCGCACAGTACTCCTCCGGACAGTGGACCCAGCCTGCCGAGGGGATGCTACTGGGCACGCTGGACATGGGGGGCGCCTCCACCCAGATCTGCTTCGCTCCCAGTGGCCCCATCCTGGACCAGAGCTCCCAGGCCACCTTCCACCTGTACGGAGCCAACTACAGCGTCTACACGCACAGCCACCTCTGCTTCGGGCGTGACCAAGTGCTGCTCAGGCTCCTGGCTGGGCTGCTCCAGGTTGGGCGGTGGGGGGCGGGCAGCATGGGGAGGCCAGAGGGCACGGCTGGAGCTCAGCCCTCAGCCCTCCCTGCAGAGCAGCCCGGCCAGCCTGTTGCGACACCCATGCTACCACAGCGGTTACCAGACCACCCTGCCCCTGGCTACCCTGTCTGAGTCACCCTGCGTCCGCACTGCAGCGCCCCTGGACCCCACACAGAACCTCACAATCGAGGGCACAGGCAACCCCGGGGCCTGTGTGACAGCTCTTCGTGGACTCTTCAACTTCAGCTGCCAGGACCATGGAGCCTGTGCCTTCGATGGGGTCTACCAGCCCCCTGTACAGGGCCAATTCTACGTGAGCACTGGTGCCCCCTCCCTGTGGGCCAGGCATCACTGGCCCCAGGACGGCCCACAGGAGCCCTGGGGGGCTCAGGGACACAGGTGTGGCAGGCACAGCTTCTCCCATCCCGTAGGCATTCTCCAACTTCTACTACACCTTCCACTTCCTGAACCTCACCTCCAGGCAGCTGCTGGGCACTGTCAATGCCACGGTCTGGAAATTCTGCCAGAGGCCCTGGAAGCTGGTGGGTGACCCGTTCTCTGTCCCAGCCCCTCCCTGTCTCATGGGGTTTCTCAGGACCGGATGGGATGGTGCAGTGGGCAGCAGCAGGGCAGGCGCTGTAGGTAGGGAGAGGTGGAGCCCCTTGTTGTCCTCCTCAGGTGAGGCGCCCCGTGTCTCCACCCCGGGCACCAGCCTCTGGTTGGCATGGTGGCTGCCCCAGGCCTCTCCCACTCTGCGTGCTTCCTGCTGGGGACAAGGGCGGGCAGCTGCTGTCTGGAGGCTCCACTGCCTCCAGGGCACACAGGGAGCATGCCGAGTCCTCACTGGCTTCTGGGCACGTTGGCCCTAGGTGGAGACCAGCTACCCTGGGCAGGAGCGCTGGTTGCCAGACTACTGTGCCTCGGGCCTGTACATCCTCACACTGCTGCGGGACGGCTATGGCTTCCAAGAGGAGAGCTGGCCCAGCATAGAGTTCCAGAAGCAGGTGAGGCCCCGCCAAGCCTGTGTCCCGGGTGGGGTCTGGGGCAGCTGCCGGGAGCCCTGAGCTGCTCTGTGTCCCCAGGCCGCCGGGACGGACATTGGCTGGACGCTGGGCTACATGCTCAACCTGACTGGCATGATCCCAGCCGAGGCACCCGCTGAGTGGCAGGCACAGAGCTATGGGGTCTGGGTGGCCGGAGTGGCACTCGCAGTGCTGACCCTGCTGGCCGTTCTCGGGGCTGCTGCAGTCCATCTCTTCTGGCTCCGGGACTAGGCCAGGCCTCATCAAAGCAGACTGTGGTGGTTGCAGCTGGAATCGGTGAACATCTGAGTCATCCACACATCAGTAGCCCGGGCCAGTGAGCAGTGCTTGAGGGAGGGACCTGGACGTTGTGTGTCCCTTGCTGTGGCCTCCCTGGCCCTTCCCTGGAGCATGGCCCCTCTCCCCCTGGCCACTAGGCAGCCAGCCCTTCGGCACCTCAAGGTAGCCTACAGGACCCCTGTCGTCCACAGTGATCAGAGGACCTGTGAGTGGCACCACAGGCCAGCAGGCCCCACGTCCTCCCAGGAGCCTAGCCGGTCCCTCTCTGGGGCAAGCCCACGACACAGAACGCACAGTAGCACTGTCTTTATTAAACCTTCTGCCACAAGAACTGCTCAGAGCCAGTCTTCCTGCTGGGGACCTGGGGCCGGGGCAGGCACCTCTCCGCTGGCTGGAACCACAAAGCTCTTGGGGAAGATGCCGACGTTGCCGTCCCGGTGCCCCTCCAGCCAGGCCTCATCCACTGCAGGGAGGGCGGACAGGAGTCAGCGCCTGTGCCCGAATAGCCTGGGCCCGGACTGCACCCACCTGGGCTGCTGCGGGTACCTTCACCCAGGACGTCCACCAAGTCCCCGCGGCGGAGGTCCAGGTCCTCAGGGCTCTGGGCCAAATAGTCGTGCTGGGCCAACACCTGGTACAGCACCGGCCGGCCCCCAGCCCCCTGCAGCAGGAGGTGGCTGAGGGGTGGCAGGGCAGGGCCTCCCCTTGCCACCAAGCCCCTGCCCAGTCCCACACCCACTCCCTCCTGGGCTTAGCGCCCTGCTCATCCCTCTTGGCTCACCCGGCACTGGAGCCGCAGCCCTCGGGGGCTGGATGCCGCATCCCTCCATGCCTTCTGCAGCGTGTCCTCCCCGGGGATGGGGACCCAGAGCTTGCCATCCTCTGGGGCCCAGTAACTGCCAAGAAAGCGCTTAGGTTGGGCAGCAAGGGTCACCTGCCCACCCCACAGTGCACCCTGCACCCACCTGAGCTGGGCCTGCCGGGCCTGGGCAGGGAGGGCCTCAGCCAGCAGAGCCCGAAGGCTGGCCAGCCCGGCTCCTCGGGGGGCCTGCAGTCCCACGGTGAGGGTGCACTGCACGGTGACCATTGCAGAGTCCTCAGAGTGCGCAGCTGCTCCCTGGGTGGGGTGGGCAGTGCTGAAGTCCCCAGCCAGTGGGTTTCCGGCCAGAGTACGAGGGAAGATGGGGCTGGACAGGGGCTCAGTGCATCCCTTACCCTGGTGCTCACAGGGTCCTGGGAGGGGCCCGGCCCAGGCAGCCCTGAGGGAGGTACAGGGGTCAGGTGAGGCTGGGGAGCAGAGGAAGAGCTGGAGGGCAGCTGCCGTTGCCCCAAGCTCACCCTGAGGGCCAGAAGGCCTGGCCCTAGCTTCTCCCTTTGTGGAGCCCCCAAGCACCCAGGACCCTCACCTGTAGACCGAGGGCCCGGTTTGCCAGCTGGCGCCACCTGGGACCTCTGCAAGGCAAGACACAGGTGGGGTCCTAGCATGGGGGCCCCGGGTGTGAGGGGGCTGGGGACCCCACGCGTAGGGGCCCTGGAGTCCAGGAAGGAGCCCTGAGGTGACAGCCTAGCCAAGGGGCAGGGCTTCGGGGGTCCCGCCAGGGCTGTCTGCTCCTCGCCTGTCCCAGGCTCTGTCACCTCGGTTCCTTGTGCCCCGGATGGATAGGTAGGGCCTGAGGTGTGGTCGACACGGTTCAAGGCCACCTTTGCTGGACACTTGTGCTGACCTGACCACTTGTGTCCCCCTGCCCAGGCCCTGGGTCCCCTTCTGCCAGCGTGCGGGGCTGAGACCCCGTCTGGCACCGTGGTGGGCTGGCTTATCCCCTCCCGGTGCCACCCCACTCACCGTGTCCTGGGAGGTGACGGGCAGGCAGCAGTCAGCCCGCCCAGTGGGGTCAGAGCTGGCTTCCCTTGCTGCAGCTTGGGAGCTGTCATGGGTTCTGGCTCCTCTGGGCTCCAAGCTCCTCTGGGGTCCAAGGCTTGGGGCCTAGGAGGGGGTCCCTGAGGTGAGGCCTGAGAGGTGATGCGGGTGCAGGGTCCCAGGATTTGTCCTGCTCCTGATGCCCCCAATTTGAGCGACCCCAGTCTCAGGGCCTTTGCGTGCCAGACAGAGCGCCATTTCACAGCCCGGTGAGGCCATATCATGCCCTCCCCTCAGCCTGCAGCTGCCCGGGCTCCTGGAGACCCTGCGTCTCGGCCTCCACCACGTCCCCTGCTCCTGGACCCGGGAGCCCCAGGCAGTCTCAGTCTGAGACAGGCAGTGCTGGTCATGCCCTGGCAGGGCCTGGCCGTGCCTGGTCCACAGGGCCTTGCCCTAAAGGAGTGTGGGGGGGGGCAGGCCCCTCCCACCATGGTGTGGCCCTGCAGCCAGCTTCACCATGAGCTCCCCTCTCTGTGGGCATAAAGTGACCGAGGGTGGAGGGCAAACGAGAGGCCCCTACCCCAAACCTTAAGATGGCCCATGGCAAGACGACCCACAGGCGGACAGGACAGCCACCCCCTTTACCATCAGAGGTCGGGGTCCCGGGGAGGAGGGACATGGGAAAGAGGCTCAGCACTGCTGTTCTCACAGTGGACGGTCCTGTGAAGCCAGGCAGGACAAACTGGGCTGCGGGACAGCCCCCTACCCACCTGTGGGGGCTGGACACCTGCGGGCCGGTCGTCAGGGATGGCAGGGACCACCACCTGGTGGGGGATGGGGACAGTTGGGTAGGGGCCCTGCAGGGTGTGCTCCCCCCCACATCTCAGGTCCAGGGTGGGGCCACCCATGCCCGGCCCAGGACCATTTTCCTGCCACCATGGCAGGGAAATGCATATCAGAGACTCCCACGGTGCTCATTTCAACATCTGGCACGACTTCTATGCACGTCCCTTGTACCAGTGGTGTGCAGCGATAAGCGGGCTCTGGATCCACGAGCACAGGCCCTGCACCTGCCTCCAGGCAGTCACCCGGTGTGGCGGCTCCTTGAGCACCAGCACTGTCGCCAGAGGCCACAGGTGTGTGGCCAGCCTGGCGGCCCCAGTGCCAATCCCAGGTGGCCCCGCGTGACCCTGGGAGCTGCTACTGTCCCTGAGTTGCTCCCCTGCCTTCGGAGGTGAGGGGCTCACCTGGCTTGTGATTTGGCCATGCTGCCTGGCCCTGAAGGCTGGCAGGGCCCCAGCCGGCCACTGTGTCCCTCCCAGGCCCTCGAGGTCTGCAGCGGAGACGTGGAGGCCCGGAGAGCATGGCTACGGCCGGGCAGGAGGGGACAGCACCTCCACTGGGTCCCTGTCGGGAGGGCACTCCTCCAGGTCCCCCTCAGGCGCGGTCACCCCAACCCTGCGCAGCTTTCAGATGACTTTGACAGGACCCACATGTCCCTGTGAACACACTGGGGTGCTCCACATAGGAGCCACTGTCCCTGCTCAGCACAGGCTCGGGCACCCTGGCCCCAAGGCAGCCCACACCTTACCTTGGCCTTGCCCAGGAAGTCCATGGGCTCCAGGTGCTCCAGGTACCTCCTGTGGGGCCGGAAGACCTCGCCTGGGGGAACCTGCCTCGGCTGCAGAGGAGCCTGCTTCTGGGGGCAGAGCCATGGCAGAGCTGGTGGCCGCTGGGCATAGCTGCAGAGCCCCAGGCCTGGGAGCAGGGGACCTGCTGGAGCCACCCACTTCCCACAGACCCAGGGCCACCTCCCCCAGAACCCTCTTCATGTCGTCCAGCTGGGTGAGCTACAAATACCAGCCCAAAGCTGCAGGCCACAGGCCAACCTGCAGTTGGCACCCCTCGCCTGCCCTCACCTGCACTTGGTACAGGGCTGCAGTCAGACCCTCCTGTGCCTTCTCTGGCCACCTGGACACAGCCTCAGCCAGGGTGTCAGCAGCCTCAGCCCAGAGTCCTAGCTGGCACTGTGCAGATGCCACGTTGTACAGTACCTGGGAGTGAGGGCCGGGGCGACAGAGGGATCAGGTCCAAGTCTGGTTCCTGTTCGGGTCCTCACACACCCGGGCTCCCCAGCCACAGCAGCTGAGGCTCTCCTGGCGTTCAGCTGACGTGGGGCTGTGAGCGAGGACCAGGCTTCCTGTGTCTGTCTGCCTGTCATGGGCAGCGGCATGGCCGAGGGCCGCGCTGTGCACAGTGCTCCACTCCCCATCTTGAAACGCCTCCGGGCCTGTCAGCTCCACTCTGCACACAGCTGCAGCTCCCCCCACGCTTGCTGCTCCCTGCACCTGTGAGTCTGGGAGGCATCTGAAGGGGGTCCTGAGGGCCCTAGGCCCGACAGCTCACCACCGAGCTGGCTTTGCTTCATCAAGAGACACTCACCAGCCTCTCCTTGCACCTCTGTCCCTGCGGCTGCCCGGCTGCATGGCCCCAGGTTCCTGCAGCCAGCACCCCATCTCCCCTATTCCGCCTAGTGCTCTGAGCCAGTGAGCAGGGCGGGCCTGGCCCTGGCTTCCAGCTGACACCGGGGCTCCCCCCGGACTCCTATGCTGGGCATGTGTTTTCCTGTGCCCTTAAGACAGGGAGCCCCAGAGTCCACCCTCCTCCACTCTGCCCCAGCCCCCTCGAGCAAAGCTTGGCCGGGGATCTCGAGGCTCTGGGAGTCCACCCACCTCACCCATGACAGCAAGCCCATCCACTGGGGACACCACAGGGCACTAGGCAGCTGGCATCACATGAGCCCCACGGCCTTACCTCCCAGGCCTGCAGCCTGAAGCGCAGGCCCAGCTGGGTGTAGTCAATGACGCTGTTACCCCGCAGCTGCGCCAGGGCCAGCTGGAAGTCAGACAGAGCCTCCTGGAACCTGTGGGCAGTGGGGTTCCTCGGTGGAGCAGAGCCTGTGGGGGCACTCAGGAGCACCCAGCCTGCCCTGCTCTAGGGAGACCCACAGGAGACCCACAGGAAGGCAATGGTGGTCATCAGGTCTAGCACCAATGGGCATCTAGTCCAGATGGACAGGCCAAGGCTCAGCATGCCATGTGCTGGTGAAGGGGCCAGGGCCAGGGCTGAGTTTGCACCCATCTCTGCCGGGGTACCCGCTACCCCACTGCCTGCCTGACCCAAGACCTCTGCCCACCCGCCTCCCTACAAAGGGAACTTCCCACCTCCCCCAGGCAGGCTTCCTGGCTGACTGGAACCTGCAGCCTGACCACTGGCCTCCTTGATTCTGCCTCTAGGAAGGGACAAGGTGCAGAGGCCAAGGTGACCAGGATGTGTCCAGGACAAGCCCTCGGTTTCCTCATTTGCCAAATGGGCATAATCACCACGTCTGTGTTGCTACAGAAAGGTAAGGAGAGAGCTGGGGATGCCAAGAAGGCCTTGTATTCGAATGGTGGCAGAGATGAGGGCCACATGGGGCCGTGACTCTGGCAAGACCAGCAGCCTCACTCAGGGCAGAGTCACAGGAGTGGAGGGGGGCCTGCAGAAACAAAGGGCTCCTGTGCTCACCGCTCCAGCTGGAAGTGAGCCACGCCCCGCTGGAGGAAGCCAACAGCCATGCAGGTGTCCTTGGTCACTGCTTGGTCAAACGCCTGGTGACAAAAACACCCATGGAGCGCCAAGGCCTGTAACCTGGGTGCCACCTCCCAGGGGTTCTGCACTGTCCACGCCTTTGTGCACGAGCCTAGGCAGGCGTCACACAGCTCTTCTGCTACCACAACCTGCAGCAGCCCAGCTACCCACAGTATCCAGCCACAGGCTCAGAGCCCGTCCCAGTGGGTATGAAAGCCAGTTTGTCCACCATGAGGACAAAGATGCAGAAGGAAATGTCCTGTTGTCAGGAGCAGCTGCCCCTTGGGGGTAGAGTTCTGCAGATTTTTTTTTTTTTTGGTACCGGGGATCGAACTCGGGCCCTCGCACTTGCGGGGCAGATGGCAGAACCACTGAGCTAAATGCCCCGCCCCAGGTTTGTCTTTTTAAAATCCCTTTCAGGAGCTTACACAAAATGGCACAGTATATCTGTGAGGGTCAGAGCAACCCAGAAGTCAGGATGGGAGACCTGTCCATGTGGAAACCACTGCTCTTCACACCAGGCTCAGAAACAAGGACAGTGCCCAACAGTGAAACCGGGCAGGAGGAGGGAGTTGTGGCTTAATTGAGTTTGACCTGAGGTTTGCAGGTGCAGTTGGGCCTGAAGGTGGGGTGGCTGCCGTTTACTGCCCCACTGCACCCTGCAGCCAAATCAAACATTGCGCAAGTTTCTTACCAGCAGGCAGCAATTCAGCTAGTCCCCTCCTTGCCTGCAGCCAGCTTTGTCAACTGTAGCTGCTCGGCTGTTGGTTAGAATCTCCTTCACCCAGAATCTACCTCCCCTAAGCTGTCAGGTACTGCTCAGGTTCCACTTTTTTTTTTTTAAGTTTTTTTTTTTCTTTTCTTTCTTTTTTTTTTTGGTACCAGGGATCAAAATCGGGTCCTTGTGCTTGTGAGGCAGGTGGCGGAACCACTGAGCTAAATCCCCAGCCCTCAGGTTCCACCTTTAGACAACACCTCCTCCTCATCTTGAGGTGGAAGACTTCACCTGGCCCCAGGCCCTCTCCTCACACCTGTTTTGGTGCAGGGGAGGACGGGTCAGCCTGCCTGACTCACTCTGGCAGCTCCCTTCCTGGATGGGCTTAAGGCGGAAGCGTTACTGAGACAACTGGTGCAAATGCAGGAGTAGGAAAGTGGGGGCAGCTACGCCTGCCCAGCTCCCCTGTGGGGATGATCTACAGGCACTGGGTCCTCATCTGTGTGTTGCCCGGGCAGCTGCCACAGATCGTACGACGGCAGGAACCTGGCTGTCCAAGGGGTGGCAGGGTGCTTGTCGCATCCCCAAGAACAGGCATCACTTTGATGACCAGGAAGTGTTTGGAAAGGGGGCTGTGTGCACCTGGAGCTCCAGGGTGTTTCCAGAAGGGGTGGGGACACAGCAAGAGCTGAGAGCTGACAGGCCCTGCTAGGCCGGCAGACCCCCCACCCCCACCCCGGGCTGGGGGCAGGCAGCCTGGGCCTGGCGCCTGAGCCTGTGCCGGCCCTGGCCTCCTGCGGACGCTGTGTCTGGCCCTCGCTGCGGAGGCACCGAAGGATGCTGGGCAGCATTCCAGGCACACAGCTCCCACCTGCCTAAGCCTCCAGAAGAGGAACGCAGGGAGGGGCCATCCCAGCGGAGCCTCAGGGCCAGGGCAGGGCAGCGTGGTGACCGGGGTTCGCTGCAGCTCTGCCGAATCCCCTGGTTGGAGGGCCTCCTGGCCTCCCTGGACCCTAAGGGGTCCATCCGGTTCCAGCGCTCACCCTCAGCGCGGCCTCGGGATCCCCGGCCAGCAGATGCACGCAGCCCACGTTGAAGCTCATCCTGGAGGGCATCTTCGTGACGCCCGAGAAGAGGCGCAGCGCACCGCCCCAGTTCCCACGCGCCACAGCCTCCGCGCCCCGGTGCCAGTCGCGCACCTGCTCCCCGAGCGAGCGCATGGTGGCGAGGACACCTGCCCGGCGGGACGGAGGGTGCTGGCGCCGAGGCCCGTGAGTGGACAGAGCGTGGGCTGCGGGGCCCCGGAGGCGGACAGCGCTGCCAGCGCGCGCTGGGCGGTGGAGCCGGAAGGGTGCCGGGCTGCCCCTGGGCGCCGGGCAGCACAGGCCACGCCCCCACCGCCCACTCGACGTCGCCGCCCGGCCCGCCTCCAGTTTTGCCACGCCCCCGCTCCCGCCCCGCCCTCCCCACTAGGTCCCGCCTCTCTGAACTCCGGCGAGCGTCCTCCCAGCCCCGCCCGCGTCGGCCTCGGTGCCCCGGGTAAAGCGTCCAGGGGCGGCGCTGCCGTCGTGCGGAGGTTCCGGGCCGGGGGTGGTCGGTGCGCGGCGGACCTGCCGGCGCAGGGGAGCGGCCTGGGAGGTGGGCGCCCGGGCGCCGGGACGCAGCCACGCGAGCCTCAGTCCGCGGGCCCGCGCAGCGCGTGTCGCGGGCCGGTCGGGGTCGTTCGCGCCGGGGCCTTCACCTGATTGGGTGAGGCCCACCTTCAGTGTGGCGCTCCACATGCTTTTCTCCGATCCGTGGTTTAAGCGTTAATCTCACCCCAAACACCCCTACCGCGACACGGCCCTCAGGGTAAACAGGGACGATTGAGACCCAAGGGAGCTGCTGCACCGGGTCTAAAAGCCCAGTCCGGATTGGGGCCAAGCCTCGGTTTCCCTTTCGGGACGAGAGGCTAGAGAGACCTGGGGGATTGGAGAAGGTGAGTGGGGTTTGGGGCGGGGAGCTGGAACCCTGAGCAGATGCAGGCGGTCGGTGCAGTCCGACGGGAGGGAAGGGCCTGTACCTGTGCACGTGGGCGGTGCAGGGACAGCCGTGGTCAGGGGCCTTTGTACCCCCACTGGAGGTGGCAGATGCACGGCTCTGACTGCCAGCGTCTGCCCTGAGGGTCTTCGCCCCCTGCCCACCCTTGTCGCTGAGACTGAGCACTAGGCAAGCTGCAGAGAGGGTGCCAGGAGGAGGGGCCCTTGGAGGCCCCTGGGAGACGGGAACTGAGGCAGGGTGGGACCTCAGGTGGGAGGTTGGCAGAACTGAGAGTGTCAGACTGGTCGGGAGCACCTGTCCGTGTGGTGCAGTGACCAGAGGGACCGGTGGTGAGTGACAGCCTGTGGCTCCTTCGTCCTGGGCTTGGGTGACATCTGTGGGTGACTGGACTGCATGGCCCTGAGTGTCGGTGGGTTTGGGGCACAGACTCAGTGGGCTGGGGTTGAGGTGTCCTTCCTGTGCCCTCTTGCTGGTCACATCTGTGCAGTGCCTGCTCAAGCAGCTCCCTGTGCCCCAGGCCTAGGCTGGGGGCCCTGGGGCAGGGATGCAGGGCACATGGGGCCTCCCAGATGGGGTCCCAGGTGCTGAGGGAGCTGGTATCAGGCAGCCTGTGGGACCTCGAGTTGTCCTGTGGGCCAGGCGATCTGGGCTCTGGGACGTGGTGGGGGCAGGAGGAGCCACCGATGGAGGGGATGGGCGTCACCAAAGGCCCTCTGAGGTCTCCCCTGAGGCATGGGAGATCCCAAGTTCGCCACAGGCGACAGCAGCATCCTGGCCTCCTGACACCTGTTCCTCAGGGCACAGACCCAAGGGCCTGGCCTGGCAGGAAGAGCAGACCTCGTCCCAGGGGTGCTGGAGCCAAGACCTTGCTATCCTGTGGGATGTGGTGGAAAAGACATATGTGGGTGAGGCCTGGAGAAACAGGGTCCCAGTTCCACTCCTGGGTCTGTGCACGGCAGCACTGTTCATGGCAGCTGAGGTGGCAGGAGCAGCCCAGGTGTCCCCCTACTTTGAGGTGATGACCTGGGTCCATCTACATGTGGGGCCACTGGGGAGCTGTTCCAGGGCAGGCCAGGCAAGCAGGAGGGGAAGCAGCACCTGTCCTGCCCTCTGCCACCCCCGTGTCCCCAGCCCTGTTCCCAACACAGCTGGCCCAGGCGGGCACCAGGCCCACTGTGTAGCCCCCCAGGACAGAGACCCTGCACCTCCCGTGCGGCCTGCTGCTGGCCGGGTGTGGCCGGGGGGCCAGGCAGGGGCAGAGCATGGGGAACCTGTGCCAGGCTCCAGCAAGAGGGGTCAGGCAGGCACCAGGCACGCTGGTTATTGGTTTTGAGCAGAAGCCACCTGGGCCCTGCCTTGAGTTAGGGCTGTTGGCCAGGCTCTGGCTGCGCCGGCTGAGACCCGTTCTAGATGAGGTCGGTGTGGGAGCCTGGTGGGTGACTGGCATGGTCTGGCTGTTCGTGATCCCCCCCCCCCCCCCCCGAGCCCCAGGAGTGAGCAAGGTGGCTGCCCCCCACCCCCACCCCCGGCTCCTGGGAGCACTGCCTCCAGGCTCCCTGCAGGGCGGGAATCTTCTCCTTCTTCGTGGGGTCCCGGAGAAGGGGTGCAGTGGCCGTCAGACCTGCCTCCCCACCCCTTCCCCTGTGTAATGGGGGGGTCACCAAGGTCCCAGAGGCTCTGGCCTGAGAGACAGACCAGCCTGAGTGGGAGGCACCGCCGGGCTCAGCCACCAGAGGGGCCCAGAGAACGGCTCCTGGCCCAGCTTGGCGTCCCTGGTTGGTGCCCTGCAGGGCTCTCCACGCCCAGGCCCTGGAGCCCAGGGGAGACTGGGGGACCTGGGCTCCGGAAGCTGAGCCCGGCAGGGTGGGAGGGGTCTGCCCCACTGTGGGTGAGGGTCTTCCTGAGGGGTGCAGTGCAGAGGACCCAGCAGGGAGCCGTGGGTGGGGTGCCCTGCTCACGTTCCTTCTTCCACTTACTTGTTCACTTGTTCGTTGGTTGGACTTTCATCCTGGGTGGTTGTGGGGTGCTGGGCTTCAGGGACCTGGCACATCCATCACCCTCTCTGGCCCGATGGCTCACCCTGGACACCCTGTTTCCGTGTGGAGCTTTATACGCATTCTTGTAACAGCCATTTTATTAGTTTATTGAGGGGGATCTCACCGTGTTGCCCAGGCTGGTCTTGGACTGCTGCGCTTCAGCAATCCTCTTACCTCAGCCTTCCAAGTCCTGGGACAACAGGGCCACCACTGCATCGGCTTTGCCTGTCCTTGAGAACAAGGGACCTTCAGCCCGGCATCCAGGTGCGAGGGGAAGGTGTCCATGGGCATTGGCCCCATGAGGGCTCAGGGCGCCGATGGGCGGTTTGGCGGGCAGACTGTGCGCCCTGGTGCCGTCCGCCAAAGCCAGCCAAGGAGGAGCCTGGCTGACTGAACCTTGTGAGGAATCTCACTGCTGTGATGCGGTGGAGGGAGAGCTGGAGTGTTCTCAGGAGGAGACCGGGAGCAGCAGGAAAGACACGCAGGGGCTTAGAATGCTGCCTAAAAAGACTTCTTCCTGCAGAGTCTTTCCTGTCTAGGGTCACAGTTGGACACTTGTGTCCCTGGGATGTCAGAGGGTCTGCCTGGCTTGTCCAGCCCTCTGCAAGCCCAGGCCACGGCGGGTTGGACTGCAGTCCAGAACTGGACCAGCCCTCGCTGGTGCCAGGGTTGGGGTCTGGGACTTACTGGAGGCGGGGAGCAGATGGGGTTGGGTTCCAGCTCCGCCCTCACCACCTGCTGCCATGGTTCCCCGGGTGTGGGCAGAGCCTGGCGCCAGCCCGGGGTGGCCCTGTGGATTGGCTGGAGGCAGCTCTGGAGGTGTGGATGTGCTGGTCCTAGGGGCTGCAGAACGTGCCGTGCTCCACACCCAGCTGGCCCACAGAGCCACAGGGGCCAGCACAGCCACAGGCCACGTCAAGGCAGGCTCTAGAGGCGGGCCAGGGACCATGGTCCTGAGGAGCCTGGGGCTTCTAATCACCATCTGTGCATTAATGGTTCAGAACTTGCAAACTTATCTGCCCTCCCAAAGAGTTCACTGTATGCATACATTGACTTTGTAGATAGAAAAATACAAAGCAAATAAATAAAGGTGGGTGGCAGAGGGGAGAGACGGGGTGAGGCCAGGCTTAATGCTGGCCGAGTCCCCATCTGCATGGCCTCTGTGGGGCGGACGCAGCCCCACTCTGTGGAGACAGAGGGACAGGGTCCAGAGTGCCCTGGGGTGTTTGGGCCCTGCCCAGAGCACCAGGTGGGGAGCCACCGCCACTTCCTGAGGAAGGGCCTGTTGGGAGCAATGCTACATAATTCTAGGGAAAAATCATTTGATTGGCCTAGTTCTCCTGCCTACAGGCCAGCTATGGCATTCCAGACATAATTCCATTTTGGCCTCGGATCACAACTGAGACCTCAGTGATCCCGTGATGCTGTGATGCTCCAGGGCAAGACCACACCTTTGGGAGACGCCAGGGAGGAACCAAATCTTCTTCTGCACAGTTCCTCATTGTCCTTAGATTTCCACTGCCCCCCCCCAGTCTTTTTACACCTTGTTTATCCCAATGTGAAGTACTGAACTCTGCATTTTTCACTTGTTAAGTTCGTTTCTCCTGATGTACTGAATAAAAGGTGCTGCAAGCTAGGGGGGCTTTTGTCTTTGCTGCCCAGAGCAGCACTGATCAGACCCAAAGCTCAGCTTCTTCTCAGTCTCATTTATCTACCTTTCCTGTAATTCACCGTGTGCTGCCATGGCTCGCAGGAGACTAGGACTTACTGCAGAGGTTCTGGTAACGTCCCCTTCCCCTGTTCCCTACAAGGGCCTGCAAGGCCGGCCCCTCCTGTGGGCTGAATCCTGCTCCTCAACTCATGTCGAGGTCCTGACCCTCAGTGTCTGGAGGTGGCTTTTTTTTCCAGCCCTCATTTTGCCTTACTGACCCCTTTAAAAGCTGTCTCAGGGCCGGGGGTTTAGCTCAGTGGTTCCGCTGCCTGCCTTGCAAGCACAAGGTCCCGAGTTCGATCCCTGGTACCAAAAAAAAGAACAGAAAAGCTGTCTCAATCAGTCAGTCGGTCAATAGCGGCCTCCAATCTGGGTGTGGCAGCACACACCTGTAATCCCAGCTCTCCGGGAGGCTGAGGCAGGAGGAACGCAAGTTCAGACTGAGCCTGGACAATATAGCAACTTAGTGAGACCCTGTATCAAAAAATATAAAAGACCTGGGGGGTAGCTCAGTGTGGCCCTGGGTTCAATCCCGAGTACCCTAAAAAGGCCTTTGTTACCTCCAACATGTTGGCCACCTGGGCACTGCTTT